TACCTCCAGTGAGTGTAAGTAACCCACCGCATGGCCAATGTCAGATGGCGAAAGAACCCAAGTGGGCTTGCGGCACTAACAAGCCGACCTTCGACGAATTGATCACCTTAGCCGAAAAAGGGGCTACATAACCATAGCTGGCACATGTCGTCATCGTATCGGCCAGGTGGCACTATCTTCATGCGGAGTTGTCCGAGTTATTGTCATGTGCACTTGCTGGCTAAGTAGATACTATACTGCACAACCACTAAATCTCGCACTCAAACACAACCAATAGCCCAATCAATGGGGACGAATGTAATATACTAAGTGAAGCGGATCCTCGTTCTCTGCTTCTGTGCATCGAGAAGGAAGCAAGCTTAGCTAGCTAGCCAATCCAAACCAGCGACTGGGAAAACCGCAGTAAATAAGCCCAGAGATTGTAAAGCTACGAGTATCACCGCTCCACTGAGGGGTTCACTTCGACCAGTATGGTCCCAAAGAATCTAGATGGAAGTAAATTCTTGTCCCTATTCCCATTCAGAACTCTGGCAGCAATTGGGGATAATTCAAATGTTAAGGCACGCTTCCAGCCAATACGCGAGTCTGAGTGACCTCACTCTCGGTAATCATTGGGTAGCTGCAATAGTCGCAACAGCTAGCCTCGTGGAACAAATGGGCTTCGGACACGACGTTCTTAAGATAAGATATTTTCGTCTTTTGGAGCTCATGAGTCGACGCAATGCGGTGAGGAAATATCCTTTAGGGGTACTGAAATGTTTTATCCAGTATTATAGTAATATGATGCAGATTCGAAAGATGGGTATCGGAGCGTCCGTGGGAGATCAAGCCGCAGAGAGCGATCAACGGCAGTCACACGGCGCCTGCCATCGCATCATGATGGGATACGGTACGAAAGGGGCAGCAGCGGAGCTGTTGTGTCTGTATGCACGCAGCAATGGCGCCGCGGAGTTTATCTATGAAAAACGCATACTAAGTGATACGCACTAGAGTATCGCCTGGAGATCAGGCTCAGAACCCTGGGGTGATAGTTTCCGGCTGATACTTAGCACAACAGAGGGATCCATAGCTCTTCAAGAGGCGACATTGGTAGCCACCGTAAAATTGCAAGAATCAAGTTTTAGTAACGACGGCTTCGGATCGTACACTCACGAAATGGCACAACTCGCTCCTCAAGTGGGTTCGGAGCATCGGAGCATGTTCGCCTGGTGAGCCAATTCATGAGGGCTGGACCTGCCTAGAGACTGGAGTTTGTGGCCCGGTCGGTTATTGCCGTTTCAGATCGGATCAAAAAGTGAACGTGATCACTCATCCGGAAAATATGATTTTGGACTAGTGCTGCTCTTCAGTCTTCTGAACCATCATCGATATTAATCAGAGTTGATTTGTACGCGCGGTATGGGGACGCCAGCAAGGAGCTGAATGGAGCGCGGATCAGTGCTACTTGATCAAGCACTGGCGTCTGTAACTGTGAGCTAGGCATTAGTGCACAAGTCGAGTAAGAGGGCAGGTGTGTGTTGACCGCTGAGCGGGTGCATTGGCGGGTTGCCGCTTGTGCCGGAGTACGAGGTTGTTCAGCACATTGAGTTCTGCAAGTTGTACTACTTAAAGCATTGAGCTGCGAGCCCGTGAGCCCAAGGGGTTTATTATAGTAGGTTATGTGCGCTGTTGGGCCTGGCCCAGAATTGGATTGATCGGGTATGATCCTTCATTATGATCTGGGGTTGGAAGTGAGACATGGTTTGGGAAGATTGGAGTTTAGAGAGGTACGCTAAACTTGGATTTAGCACGGCAATGTGGTGCCTGACTCGAGAGCGATTGCACCGGAGGGAAGGGGCGGGTAACCCGAGGGCGTGGATAGCTAGTCCTCGCCTGATGATGGAAGCGTGCCGGGGAGAAGACGAGTGTGCAGCGTCGAGGGCTCCGAGCCCCAAAACAGTGAGAGGGTTCGGGCTTGCACCGATCCAGATCTGCAATATCCACACCGTAAGATGGAACAACTTCGTATCTTATAATCATCTCAGACGTCGTAGTTCAAGAGTTTCTGATCAGGGATATCAATTAAAATTATATGGAATAATGCCATGGTATGAGGACATCACGATGGAGGCGGCGCTTCTAAAATTAATGAGTGCCAAAAAGAGAGCTGAGGCGCGAACTGATTATGTAAGTGCATGATCCATGATGGATCAGAAGCATCCAAACGGACTTACGGTTCTACAGATATGCTCCAGCAGAAACATACTCACTTACACCGTTTGAGGCTGTTAGGAGGAGGCCTCGGGCTTGTATGTGATCGGGAGTGAAGGACAAGCGAAAATGGCAAATTATCGTACAAGTTACTCAAAACTAATTGCTATTGGATAAGGAAAAATGTACATTCCCCCTGATCAAATCAAGTTCCTTCAAAAGCAAAGATCGTCTTCCTTCCCGTTCCCCTTTCCTCCCTCTCCGCTAGCCACAGCGAGCTTTTACTCGGCATTTTGCATTTACCTCCCTCGTGCAGCAGGCGGTGGTGTAGTCAGCACAAGCGCTTGTACTTTAGCGTGACTTGACCTCCTTTCATACTATTACTATTATTACTTTCGACGGGAGCACCCGTGCTGCAAACAGTAAAGACGTCCGGCAGATCTGAGGCCAGCAATCCATAATGATGGACGTCTCCAACCAACCGCAACCAAGCAGAACGAGCACCACGACCTTGCTGTTGGGTAACCTACCTGCTTTCATCACCCGAAGAAATAGAAGCACTTCCGTCCCACCTCCCCTCAACCTCGAGTCCACCACTCCTTCAAACACCACCAACAACAACAGCAACAACAACAACACCAACAGCAGCGACAGCAACGCTCAACAGTCACCTCCCGGCAGCAATACTCAACCATTCCCCGTTTTATTATCTCCGGGCTTGCCATTCACGACTGCTGCACGCCCTCTCATACGTCGTCTCGGTTCGTCGGGTTCATCCACAACCTCTTCCCCGAGCCTCCACAACAGTGCCACCTTCCCATCATCCGCTTTAACTACCATCACCGCTAACGGCAGCAACAACAACAACAACAACAACAACAATTCTGGTCAACCCTCACCAAGCAGATCATCAGGATTTTCAAATATGCTTCGTCGTTCGACAAGAAGGGATTCCAATCCTGCTCTTTCCCCTTCTACTAACAATAACGGCAACAGCAACCAGCAACACTCCCCTTCCTCACTAGCTGATGTACAAGGCCATCAAGCACACGAAGCATCTACCGTCCCACACGTCCTCGTCACTACTACCTCCACTTCCGACTCACTTCCCACCACCACCAACAACAATGCAACCCCTAGCACCATCAACAATAACACCAACATCAACCCCGACACGACACGACCACCTGGAGCCCTTCATCGAATCCGACTAGTCCCCCACCTCGAATCAACACGTTCACTCCCTTTCGAGCCCATCATTCGCGATGCAATTGAAAATGGGCCTGTCATTCGTGTGGGTCGATTCACTGATCGTCAAACGAATGGGAACAATAGTGCTCCGAACGCGCCTAATGCATTGAAGATAGCCTTTCGAAGTAAGGTTGTTAGTAGGGGACATGCGGAGATTTGGGTTGAAGAAGGGGGAAAGGTGAGTTACTCGTGCAATTTGTTGTCGATGCTGTTGTCGCGTTGCCCGTGTCTGCGTGAGCTCTACCGGTGGCGTTGTCCGTTCTGTTTGAGACGACCGCAGCAGCGGCATCTTTCCCTTTTTTGTTGCCATGACCGCATGTTGATGCAAATATTCCAACCCTCCCAGTTCTTCATTCGTGATACCAAGTCCTCCTCCGGAACGTTCCTAAATCATATCAGACTCGCAAACGCCAACGTCGAAAGTCGGCCCTTCCCTTTGAAGGATGGTGATATCATTCAACTTGGGATCGATTATCAAGGCGGTCAGCAAGAGATATATAGATGTGTGAAAATTAAAGTCGAGATTGGAAGGGAATGGCAGAGCGCTGCGAACGCTTTCAAGTGAGTTTGATCATATTCCATTCCTCGTTGTCTTTGAGCGGTGAGATGGATTCTATTTCTTCAACCGCTTTCATGGGAACAGTACAAATGCCCTTCGGAGACTCAACAATCTAGGCGTGCACTCAGTCCTCCCTTCATCAACGCTCGCACCTCCGTCGAACTTAACCTCGATCCCTTCCAAACCCATCAGCACCATACCCTCAGACCTGTCTGACTCCAACGGTAATTCAACAGACTGTTGTATTTGTCTCTTCCCTATAACGGTCTGTCAAGCACTCTTTGTCGCGCCTTGTTCACATGCATTTCATTACAAATGCTTGCGACCCATGTTAGTAGCTCATCATCCTGGATTCTCGTGTCCCCTTTGCAGAAGCTTTGCGGATTTGGAGAGCGATGTCGAGGTTGATTATACGGGTTATGATAGGACAGGTATGATGGGTAGCCCGGGGATAGGGGTGAGTGTGGGTGTGGGTGTGACTGAGCCCCCGAGTGTCATTGTGACGAGTAGTGATGGCGGTGAGATGGTTTTGGAGGTGTTAAGTGGTGTTAGAGGAGGGCATGGCGGTGTTCCACAACCTATTCCTGAGGAAGACGAGGCTGCTGCTGCTATTGTGGCTGTCGTTCCCGATGAGGAGAGTCATGGTGATGATGATGATCGCCATCAGCAATCTGCGGCGGACCCGAACACGACGATGCTTGGAATGGATGGGAGTGGAGGGAATGAGGATGAAGTAGAGGAGATGGTTACAAGTGAGAACGAGGGTGGTGTTGTTCTCGACGATGAGGTCGTTGGGAGCAGGGCTAACTCCGAGGGTCTTACGAGTGAACATGTTGATGGGGAGGAGGCCGATGAAGAGGCTGAGGTTGAAGGGCATGTGAATTCGAGGTGTGTCGACCCCCCGTTTTTCGTGCGTTTTGGTTTATACTGATGGTCATCCCCTGATTGTGAGTGTAGATCTGCGTCTGTGGCAAGTGATGCAGTCGGTCCGGATCACCATCTTCGTCCGTCTTCCCCTCCACGACTGGTAGAAGAGGCGGAAGCAGAGCAAGATGAACGAGATGTTGCACGTTTAGAAGTCCCACATCCACGTCTAGAAACATCTCCGAGGTCCTCGGCGTATGATGACGCACGGTCAAGTTCATTTTCTGATGCCGATGTTGATAGGGAACCAGCCGAACGAGATGGGGAAGAATATGAAGACGAGGAGGAGCCGCTCATTGTGAGCCGATTTGACATTGAAGATGGCGATATTGTTGAGGATGAGAGTGATTGCGAACGGGATGATGGGGGGAAGGAATCTGAGATGGAGGTTGATGAAGAGGATGGGGTTCCTGTTAATGTCGGACGAAGGATGAGGACGAGATCTATGGGTGTAGGTGTCAGTGTAGCTGGAACTTCTGTGCCTAGAGTTCTTGCGGTAGGGGGAGGGGACGTCGAGACGAGTAGGACTGTTGGGAAAAGGAAGCGGAGGAGTCAGGCTTCTTGAGTTATCGTTACCTTGTGCCGGTGCGTGCGCGCGCCCATAGTACATGTTTGGTCTCCACCCCCCCTCCATCTCTTCACCGACCAGAATTGGAACTTAATCCTGACACGACTGTCGAAAATCTCTCGTTTTTTTTATATCCTTTTCCAGTTCTCTCCCGGGACTGGCAATTTTCATTCTCAATTCACTGTCCCCTTTCCACACCTTATTGATCAACCCTCATTCAGCTTTCCTTCACTCTTCCCAATGCAGTTAAAATTGTTTCTTGCCAGCGCGTCCCGGACTTTTATCCACTTCCACTTGAATTTCGGATTTACATTAAGTTTGAATCCTGGTATATGCCGTTTACAAGCCAATCATATCGCACACATACCTTCTCGCTCACTCAAATCATTCACTCGCGTTTTTCTGTTTCTTTTTTTCATGTTTCCCCCGCGGTCTTTTTCTTCTGGATATATATTTTGACACAGTCGACGTCAGCAAAACAAGTCGTTAATTGTGTGCATCGGCCAGTTCAATCACTCTTGGTGAACACACGCTCACATGAATTCGCCTGCAAACTAAGGTTGAGCAGGGTATTCCCGGCGCCGTACAAGAGTTTCGGTCACCGACGCAGCAGTGCTGCAGCTGCAGCTTCATGACGAAGTCACGCGGATCAAAGTCTCAGGCCGTAAGCTCAATCTCCCAGGTTGAGCCCACCGTGGTAGGTGAGTGGTACTACGCGATGTTGGAGATACATGCATATGACCTCAGCAACATGTATTTACCTCTATTTGTGTCGAACATGATCTATAGTCTTAGAGTCGACGACCGAGATCTAACACGCGAGTTAATACGATGGTCTCATGCACCAACGACGCTACCGGAGTTCGAGTCACGGGCGGTTTGCCACCACGCGTTTGCCGTGGATCCGGACACATTGCAATCCTGCTTCAATCAAGCGCCAGTCTATTTCTCCCATTTTGCATGGCCCTGCAGACCCTTTGATCTCGACCAGCTGTGGGGACCCGCCTCTGAGGTCAAGCACAAAAAAGGAGATATTGGTGCCAACAGAACTCTGGGGTCTGTCAGAACTATCCGCTATTTTTGGTGGCCACACCTGTCGATGGAGTTTGGTTCCAACTTCCAGCACAGAGGAGAGCTGTCAATCCCTCCTGGCATCGAGAGTTGACGGGAGAGTGTGGGCATGCCTCTTTCCCGACTTCAAGCGCAAGGAAAGCCCGGGACCCACGTGCATACCAAGTGATGGGACACGAACCTTTGTAACCGCTATCTGATCTCCGCTCGGAGTGCAGACTCTGACACCTGCGGGAGCATCGGAACTTGACATCTCCCTCAACCCCAGGGGTTGCCTGGCGAGACTGCAGCGGAGGATCCCTCTGCGTTTGGAAGGAGTCTGTTGAATCGTCTCGACATTCGCGATTGACAGAACTCGGCGAACATATTTTTTGGTCTCTGGAACCCACATCACTTTGGGTGGGTTGGGTTGGTGGTTAGTTCTTGGATGTTTTATGGATGCAGGGATATCATGGAATTCAGTTCTGTCATGACGCTTAGCGCGGCGCCAGGGACCCTCGCGGACAGAACGGACTCGATGAATCCGTTCTTGATTGTTCGAGGAAGAGTGAGCGCTGTGCACCATCCTGCATCCGTAAGATTGCTCCCATATTTCGGCGCCGAGTAGAGGCCGATGTTAACCCATCTGCTGAAATGACCAGAGTGTTGCGTATTATGCACATATAATATTGGCCCTGGAGATAGCGGAGCGGTTGACTGTTCTGTCGATAAGCTCATGCACGCACGACATGATGTCATGCCGGGGTCTAGTTGCGGCTGAACTAGCGGCTTATGCCGTGCTTCTGGTTTTGGAGCGAGTGCCCAGTTTTTCTGAGTGAACCCAAATGCGAGCGCATCGATCATCACATCGAGCCCGCCATAAAAGCTCTAGTTAGGGCGCTCTTAACGTTATTCCTCGTAAGCGGAATAACATGCTGAGTCTATATCTGTACTACTGGTATCTAGCCTCAATTGATTGAGCATTTCTGACAAAGGATGCGGAGGATTCTGAGCGTGCCTTCGTTCAATCCGTCATCGATTTAAATCGCCGCTAGCCATAGCATGACGATCAAGGCAAAGGGCAAGAAGGGAAGTTATATCCAGTTGGCCAGATGTAAATATCAAGTTGTTTCCGATGTTCCATGGTCTTCAGATTTGGCCCATACTCTCCCGTATGCATATATATCCGTAACCATTGCTATGGGGTGGCGTATACAGGCAAAAGTGCCCCCTTTCCACCATGCGTCCGTCTCTTGCAACACAGCCGCGTGTATCCCTTCAGCTCCGCTCACCGTTCGCGATCCGTATCTTGGTCTTTTGGTCTTCTCTGTGCGCATTATGGGCTCTATCCAGATGGCGGTACGAAACTCTCCCGGAGACGGACGCTGGTGTGCGCATTTACTGGTATGAAGACCGAAATAAGCCTCCTCTATACCCTGCTCTTCTGGAGAGAGAACGACGGATGCCTCAGCATAGCGAAGCTGCCCCACCTCCGGATGGGAGATCAGGTACGCTGACAGGGGGATCATATACCGCGTTCCATTGACTTAAAGGGGATTCAGCGAAGTATTTGCGGTTCTCGAACCAACTACGGGGGTAGGTGCACTTTCGCGTCGCTATGTGCTAGGATCAATTTCTCTGGCTCAATCGTCCATTCTAGCGTTGGTTTCAATAACCAGATGCAAGAAATGTATATTCAGTTTCTCCGTTACCCACAGCCAGATGTTGATCATATCGATCCAGTCTCCTGAACTCATATATAGCCTACCTATTAGGGAGGTCCTACGTATTCTCACCCTACACGTGGGACCTTAAAAACGAACCATTCGTTCCAGTTGAACATAACACTCACCTTGCTGGCGCGCGCCATGTTCGACCGTCGCGCGTCCCCCTTACTGCTTTCTTGAATGGTCCGACGGCTGGGGCTCCCTGGATAGTTGATTCCAGCCTAAGCGTAGAGCAGTTGGAGAAGACTCCTCGCGCAATATCTGCCCGGTACTGGGATGAAATTTGTCCCGACGATTCTAGATACAATATAAATACGACGGAAGTTAATGCTCGCATTGGCGTTGACTTCGACAATGACGATGGGGCCATAATAGTCGACAAATGGGTCGCATTTCTAGGGGGCATCGACGATCAACGATGCATTAATATCATGCAGGACACCCCTCGCATTATAGACTTTGGGTGAGTCTTTCCGTTGCGGGAGGCTTGAAACTGAACTTGGACCATTTTCAGGATACTTAGCTCAGAGCGACTCGTATCTATTTGGCCAGGGTACTCGAAATCGCCAGTGTTGACTCAGTTCAAATGGTCTCCCATTGTCTTGGGAGCGGTTCAAAAGAACTTACCTTTGTTATTGCCGCCTTCGCGCCTAGCGCGAAAGATCTCAAAAATAAAAAATCAGTACCTCGAAATTCCTGGTCTAGTGACTCTGCACATACGTCGAGGTGATTTTGAGAGCCGTAAGCCTCTTCCGTCTCTGCTCTTTGTTATCTTCGACGATGAATGGTCTCTTTGCCTTTTCTAGATTGCGTATTTGTATCGACGACGTTTGCGAGCTTCGAGGGATGGAATCAATTACCATTCCTTCCAGATGGATTTAATTCGCCTCAATCCCCACAGGAGCGGGGGAAGTACACCATGGAAAGATGTTGGATCGAAATCCCCGATGTTGTGTCGCGACTTGAATCCTTAAGGAGGCAATATTCGGAGTTGACCCTCGATCGCGTATTCTTGTCAACCAATGCCAAGCCAGAATGGTTGGCGGAGCTCAAGCATGTCTTATCCCAGCACGGATGGCGGAATGTAGTATCGACGAGTGATATATCTCTCACTTGGCAAGAAAGCGGCGTCGAAAATGCTGTAGGTGAGTGCTTGCGGACAATTTTATGCCAACACGTTCGTGGGCGTTATGCATCTTTTGTCAGATATAGAGATAGCATCCCGCGGACAGATATTCGTTGGAAATGGCTTCTCAAGCTTCTCAAGTACTATTATCCGCCTTCGTATGGTGCGGGGTCTGAATCCGAAATACACCCGCAGGTGGTAATGTTAGCCATATTGTTGGGGGTCACCCGTGAGCTAGACCAATAAGGATTAGAGTTGTTCCAGAACACATATACATGGCTTTGCTGGACATAGGACCCGAAATGTTTGATTATCTTAGGACCGTACTCATGATGGATCGAGTATCCCCCCCCGTTTTAACGTGCAGCGTCGTCTTGTTACCCACGCTCGATCGATAGTCACTGTATATGCATATGCTGTCAAGCCCACATTAACTGGATGGAACAAAGAACACCGTGGGAGGCTGCATGATCGATATTCTGTCCCTATGGCAGGGGTGGTTATGTCATAATGAAGACATCACTATATATATACTGCACTCCTGGAGAGCCTTGCGATCGCTACATTCGTCCGGCCACAACGTTGGCTACATCTCCACTGCAATGGGTTGCGGGGCTTCAAAGGTGAGGCTGGATGTACATAAACAGGGATAGTTTTCTTAAGCCTAATTAGTTCCCATGCTATGATGCACAGGGTTCTCGTGCGGCCAATAGGGCCCTGCATTAACCTGCTGTCCGACTCGCAAACGCGTCCTCTCTGCCTGCATGCTGGTCCGGTGACGCTATACCCCAACCACGTATTTGTCAAGCCCTCTATCAAATTCGGATCTCCCGGCAAACAGCCGCCCCCTTCTGGTAAATGCCCAAACCATTGTTTTAGATATGAGGAAGGTGTACGAAGCTGGCGCTATCGGACCCGCAACGATTAGTTTTCCAGGGAAGGCTTTTGAATGATGATAATATAATGCGGTAAGCTCGTTTCATTGAAAATGCATGCAAGTGACTAGTTGTGGATCCTGGCACATAGGCTTTCCTTTACTTTGACCTCGTCATTGAATCTGCAAGTCACATTTGCCCTTCCAAGGCTGCTCGCAGAATAATCGGGATGTTCACTTGTCCTGCGACAACCGTACGAGGCTCCGGCCGAGTCGTCCTAGCCGATAATCGCTTGACCTGTGGCAATGGACCTGCGAGCTGTCACTGCCTCGTACGCATGTTGCGCAGATCGCTTTCCCAATGTAAGTGTAGGCCTCGACACATGGCGTTTATTTTGTGACTGCGAATCACTGGGCATTAAGCACTTTGCTTAAGAAAGTTCCCGTCGCGCCAAAACTCTCACTCAACGCCCAGGGATCGTTCAAAGGCTTGCTTCTCGAGCTTGTCTTACTGTGTACCTGGGGACATCCGGCGGCTGTGAGGGAGTTCCAGGCGAGATCCCTTTACCGTTTTGCACCAAGAACGGCCTTCTCCACAGCGTCTACCATTGCGCAACCCCCTCAGCACTGACTTACATGGCTCGAGCAGACCTCAGGTCCTATCCAACTCTGAAACTTCTACCACGCATTTTCCGTGTAGGGCCTCGGATGAGCGTAAACAAGGCGTGCAAAAGTGCGTCGGCGCCAAAGTAATATCACATTGAGCGATAGGACCAACCTATAGTGACCATTGTCAATATCTGGTGTGTCTGTCTAGTTCTGTAGGGGATAGCCCAGCCATCATCTGAAGATGCCCCCACGCTTTTCGATACGGAAACGTTGCTGAGATTAATTCTCCACCCCATTCCTCCGTACTTGAGATATTCCCATAAACTTGCATCTGGGAAGACACTTTTCCCAAGAAGTAACTACATGTTATCGGACCAGCGTGCATATAAAGGATTGTAGCACTAAACTCTGAGGAGTTTCTTCCGCTATGGGGGGTTGGCCAATGTACACTTCTCAATGCCTTGCCGTTCAGGAAGAAGCAAAGCCAGTCATTGGGGGCCAAGACAGTGCGCATTACCGCATCATCTATGACCAAACTTCGCTTCCGTCGCACTGAAAAACCGAACCCCCTCTGCACGACACGTCAAGGCCTAGGAATCTTTGTCAACCTAACTTGTTGCTCGTTCCGGTCCTAACCCTGTCAAAAATTATGGGCATCACCAGCAGAACAGATCAATATACCTGTTCCCGCCCGGAGGTCGACTTTCAGGACACCGTCCAAGTCTTCATGCATGAATCGTTTAAATTGGCTGTGCCTCCAATAGTAACATGTGCGAGCAAATCCTGAACGTTGTGAAGATGATAACGTAACATTGGCGTGAAGTGTACGAGTCGGAGTCGGAGCGCCCCGATGTTAACCACTGGAAACAGTCTCAAGTAAAAGCTCCCCAAACTCGTCATGAGTTACCCAGATGGAAGGGGAAGGGCAAAATGAATCGGCGGTCATGACCACCGTACGAAACTCCGGGGAATAAATGTTCAAGTAGCTCAAAACATGCAGACCGGGTGGAGCCGTACCCCTGTCTCGGGCACAACTATAGCTGGGAGTTCAACTAGTTGGAGTCCCCATGGCTACACGAACTCCCATATTGTGTATATGCATTTTCCTGCCTATAAACTGAATCCACTCACAGTTTTTCCTCAGGAGGTGCCAGGTACGTAGTTGGGATGTGAGGTTGTTTCGAAGTTGGGAACACCCTATGGAACATCTGCTCGCCGGGACTAGTAGTAGAGGTGTCGTTGCCAATAGGTCTGTTGGTATGGTTGTGATGGCATTCGCTTGTACAGTAAAATCCAAGGCAAATAGTAGCCCAGAGCAGAGGCGCCGGGCAAAAGTGAAGAAGGCATGATGTGATGCTTCGGGATTCGGGGAGCACGTATTTTCGAGCACAAAGGCAGAAATGGGCAATGTGTGTTTGTGGACTTCGTATGCGCTGGTCGGCATATGACGGAGCATGTAATAGGTTATATTGAACACAATGGGTTATGCCAGATCTGGGCCAGGCCAGGCGCTCAACTGGTGCTGACGAACCCCGAGGACCAACAGAATGAAAATTACGAAGAGAGAGGATTAGATCTAACTTCAAAGTATTGGCGGTATCGGACGGCTCCCGGGACTTACTTGTCACAATGTGAAAGAGATCAAGATGAAACGTTGGCGCCACAGTTACATAAATTGACGTTCATAATCGAGTCTGCTGAAGCGACATCGGCCAACATGATAAACCATAAAAAGGGGGGGAATGATATCGTTAGGGACGTGATCGAGATCTGTATGCAGAGACAAAGGACTTGCAATCACTATAGAAGGTCAAGACAAATTGTGTTCGATCGTGGTTGGCAGACACTTATGTACCATCACAGTCATTTGCCATGTCGGATATGTACATGAAACAAAGGGTCCCCCAATGACGATCGTAATAACCAGGAACCGTATGCATAGGAAAGTCCCTTGGCAACCGGGCACTAGGCAGAATGTGGTCGCCAAACCCAACAGCTTGGAGAATGAACACAGAGTTGCGGTAGATCTGATATACATAAAACCGTGAACGCCGGATGGACACAGAGACAAGATTACGTGAAGGCCAAGACTCCAGTTGTCAGGTCTTGGAGACGTCCAAGCAAGATCCAGGAAAAATGGAAAAGGGAAAAGATCTGCGTTACCCGATCTCTGATGAAGATATTACGATCTCTATTTCAAGTTCAGCCGCTGTGCGGAATCAATATGGTGATCAGCATGTGTAAACTCATTACAGTGACGCGAACTGGCCTCGTGCAGCCTGCTCGCCATCGCGGCCTTAAGGTGGATGATGACGGGCCTATCTGTAACGAAGTGCAGGCTCCACTGGACGCCCATGGATCCACTGCAATAGATATGTATCCAAGAATGAGCTCATGGTGAATCAACTGATTTGGAGAGGCTATGCAGTGCGGGAGGGAGCTGAGTGGCGCGAGCCAAGATGGGACGTGCAGCGGGCACTTGGTCTTCTTAGTGGATGCCCAGCTCAGAGAGAGGTACAGAATGTCTCAGGTCTGCAACAGCCTGAATGACGAAGATAGAAACTGAGTGCCCCACTGCCCATGGTATTCGTTGGCGGGTATCCCGACAGGACCTGATGATGGGAGTCGAGAGGTAGAGGAGCCGGAGCGCCTTGTTATAAAGTGGAAGGGGCAATCATTGAGGAGCCACTTCCGTATTAACTGATTGACTGGATGACTGGAGGGTTGTGAGATGTAAGATCAGCGTGGGATGGTGCGGATGAGAGAATCCGCAGTCATTACTTATTATTTGATGATATATTTCGGGCGGTGCTGATTGGATAATTGACAGGAAGGAATGTGGTCGCCTGCCGGGTCCAAAAGATCCGGAAAAAGCGATGATAGATGGATCTTGCAGCGGTTAGGCCAGTCAGTGAACTCAGGGAAGCAAGATACAGAAGTCCATTCGCGTGACGTGATTCGTCCATGGAAGCGGGTCATCGCTTTAGGGATGAAATTCGTATCAATGTTTTGCACTGGAGAGTGATCCGCTGGAATGCGCAACGCTGTCGAACGGGATACGGAGGAATTCATCTCTTATTTGGGAAAGGGGCCAGTGGAACAACACGAGGACGAGAGAGCGCTCGAAGAGGTAACGATCGCGACTAGGCTCGGTCTGTTAATTCATTACTAGTCTGTCGCGAAGACGGGAGACGCCTTTGTCCAGCACTGTCGAGCTTAAATATTGCTATAGAGGTTGCTTCAACTTGTAATGTCATGGGCTGGGTCGGGCACAAAGGCGTGGGCGCGGAGAACCGGCACGAGCCTAAAACGTCACGTGAGTGACCATGATGTTAATAATTCAACAACGAGCTGACGAAGGGGACAAACAGGAGCGAAGGGAGGATCGGGAAAGCAAGAGGCAATGTATCGCAGCAGCATGTTTACATATGCCGTTTTTTTTTCCAGATTTATTTGCAAGGAGCAACTGCCGACCGCGGAAATGTTTTCTGTGTCAGAGATAGGAGACATAACTGTATTGAAGGGCTAAGCGTGGGAGGCCAACGGGTATGACAAGAGATGCTAAGAAGGATTTGGAGCTGAAGAAGAGAGATGGATGGATCGTATGAATGGGGTGACCGAGGAGGCGTGATGAAGACGAAGGCTCGAGCACTGGTACTGGTGGGTGAAGATGGGACGCAGCGGCTGTGATTCGTTGTTATGTGAGAAGATCAGTCAGGGTCAAATTCCTGATTTAGAGCCATATTGAATGGCCTTTTTCTGCTCAAAGTCGGTTGTGTTGTGCAGGCGGCACTGGTAAAAAGTAGTGCTCTAACTCACTCACGACCCGCCCTCTCACTTTCCCCTCTTCTCCCTTTTTCGTCCTTCACTTTGTTCATCCTCCTCATCCCTCCCATCATACCTGCCTGCTTCTCTATGGCTCCCGTGCGACGCTCAAAGCGCTCAACGGCCGAAGGTGCGACTTCCCCTCCTACCTCAATTCCCCCTCATTCTCCGCAAGCAACCAATTTACTCACACTGGCTTCCATCTAGCCATTCCACGCCCTCTGGATGATGACCCGGGCGCATTCCAGTTCCAGCCCAATCTTGACCCCTCCACGTTCTCCCCTTCTCAACTCAGATCGTCTGCTTCAGAGGGAACTGGCGCCTCGGATGACTTCTACCAACAACCCCAAACCCCTCAATCTCCGCATACGGATTCCCTCTTCGACACCGCTGCCCTTTCTGTCACACCATCTTCTGCCGCACCCCCTGGCTCCATCTTCAGCGCGACACCAACAGCCGAACAAATCGCTGCTCAAGCACCAGCTTCAGCCCGCCCAGTCGGGCGTGGGTCTTCTTTTACTTTCCTGGAGCCTTTAACTTCCATGACCCCAATTTTCCCACTTAGACGACAATCGCATATTACCCTTGGCGGACGCAGATCAAGTCGATCGCAAGCTGCCAGAAGGGTTGTCAGTCATGCTGCTAAGAAACCAGACGGACATATCCCGCGGCCTCCCAATTGCTTTTTACTGTATCGGAGTTGGGTAAGGCAGCAAAATAAGCTGTACGGAAAGGGGGACCATCAAAAGAAGAATGAACAAAGTGAGTGAACGCTTGCAACACAGCTCGTAGTGTGACCTGATTATCGCAATTTCCGTGCAAAAGATGTTAGTGTTATCGTTGGAACACTCTGGGAAGATTTGCCGGAGGAGAAGAAAGAGATCTTTCGAGCAGAAGCTCGACGACTCAAGGAGGAACATATGGTACGCCATCCTGCTCGGTTTTCATCCTTACCCAAGCCCTCTCGCCTCCGTTTGGACACGTCCAACTTTCTGACGACTTGCGCCTGACAGCAACGGTATCCGGGATACAAATATGCCCCGCGTTCACGAAAGGACAAAAATAATGCTAACGGAGGCTTCCCTAACAGCTCTGACTCCGGGACACGAACACAACCAAAACGAATAACGAAGAAGATGGCACCTGAGGAGACTGCCTCAGCTGTTCAAGAGGCCAATGAGATTATCGCCCGTGAGCGAGAACAGAGCGCGAGAGCAGCCGAAGCCGCTGCGGTGTCTGGAGACATTCTTCTGGATACCCAAACTCCTGCTGCGGGCTCCTCGTCCACTGGCTCGCGGACTTTCCAACAGCCTATCAGTTTCATACCTTATCGAAGATCTAGTTCCTGCCCCCCTGTGGGTGAGACACTCGCTTCCTTGTCAAGTGCCATTCGACGTTCAAGTCCAACACCAATTGCTCGTGCCCCTGCTACGAACGGTAGGCGCCAACATACCACTTCGACCGGGTCCAACAAATCGGCATCATCCTCTCGTAAGGGTGTTATTAATGGAGGAATCGACATTCCAAGTGTGTCATTCAATGCTCCTTCATTTAATGGTTCCGTCGCCCGCAGAACACCGCTGCCAATGCACGGGACTTCGTCTCCGTATCCACCTCCCGCTACTCGCGGTCGGGGAGCAGCATCAACCCCGCTATTTGATCCTAACTACGCACTAACTCGATCATATGAACCTCTCGCCTCAACTTCAAGTTCTAGACCCTCGAGTAGTGGAAGTGGGAGAAGAGGGGGGTTGCATACCGATGACCTGGGACAAAGAGAGGCGCTTGAAGAAGCAGTCCGCTCAAGACCAATTCAGAGGGCTTCTCCGGCAGGTCTGTTTGACCCAGGCTATTCGCTTGCTACGTATTCGCTTTCTGGGAATCAGAATGTAGACGGAAATGCGGGATCACCGCCTGCTTACGCGCCATCGCCCGCGTATCAGCCTCTGCCTCCACAAGTACACGGTGTAGGCAGCCCAATTTCTATCATGCCGGATAGGGTCCCATATGCGCCACAGAGTCCGTTGGAGGGGGCGGCCCCGGCATTTCAAGCTTTGGGACTCAATTCTCCTATCCCCACTACGCTCACTGTGCAGTATCCGGACTCTGCAGGTGCGAACTCTCGGGAAGGATGGGGCCAGGATCATGCCAGTGGTTATACCCATGGCACGAGCGCGGCAACAGGTTTCGACATGCAGTACGATGGGTCTGGGTACGTTACCCATACTCATCAAGCTGCATATCATCAAGGGGGCAATGGGATGGTTGGTGGTGTGCCAGAGGTTTTGCCTGTGCTAGATTACGCGCATTTAGGTGGGGGAGATTCTTCAATGGGAGGATTGATGGGCGACGATGGGCGAGCCTTCCAATTTACAGGATCGATGCAGCTTGCGCCTCTAGAGATACCTGCTACGCACAAGGGACTTCCGCCTTATCAATTGTCCGATCCCTCGCACCATTTTTCACCTCACCTGCCCCAGTTCCATCAGCACCAACAAAGCCCTCAGCACCAGCCTGGGAATGTGACACAGCAGCACGTTGCCTCGCTTTCACCTCCATCTGCAACAGCAAATTACTCATCCAGCTCGTCCAGCTCGCCTGCACCACAGTCTTCCTGTAACGGTAACCTCCCTGTTGATGCACAGAAAGCTAACAATCTATACACTCCTGCTGTCCTTCATACTCCCTCACCTCCCGCCCAACCACAACCTTCACCGCGCTCGCCGTTCCTTGCGATCCCTCAACCCATCTCTGCCATTCCACCTCGCCTCAGCGCATCGAGTGATTTGTACTTTGACTGGAATTCGGCTTCTACCTCACCAGCGGTTGCCACTTATCCCCACCCCCCTCAGGGACAGAATGAACAACATCCTCACAGTAACGGGACTAATCTGACGTCACCGACGGCTGGTCCGACCGTAGGCCCTTACTCGTCGGGTTCATTCGACATGGGTGCATACAGCTCTGCCGGGTACCCAACACATGGTGCCGGGAACGCTGGTAGTGCTGCGTCGTACGGCGCGTCGAATTCCACCAGCGGATTGTATGGGTTCAACGTTGGGAGTGGCTTTGGGGGGTCTGTATCGGGGAGCTTAGGTCTCGGGAGTAGGAGACTTTCACGCAGGGCGAGTTCGTTGTGGATGAGCCGAAGTAGCCTTGCGGGGGATTTGGCGGGCGTTGGACTGGGCGAGTTTTGAAGAGAAAACACACGGTTCTAAGCTCGTTCGGATCAATCGACCCGTGTGTTATCACTCGCTCCCGCGTTTCGTCGGGCTACATTATCTTTATTCGCTTCTTTCCACAACGCCTGTCCTACACATCACATTTCTCATTTTTTCAGACCGACAACGTAGGTCGTGCACTTGGATGTTGTTGTCGAACATATCTGAATCTTTCTTTTCGCTTTCCTCTGTACAACCACCTAATTATGATTGTTCGTTCTCGTCTACCTTCGACTTTCGCCTCGTGCTCGTGTAGTACGCCATTTTTTAACTTTTGTTTTGATGCCTGGTGGCTGGTGGCCCTTGTCCTACCCCATAAAGCATGCGCTCTGCCTTTTCCGCCTTCTCTTTTCAATCTCCATCGTACAATCTATACACATCATTTTTTTACCTTCTATCATCTGATGCAAACTTGTACAAATTTCGCTTGCTTTTATTAGGCCCAAGTTCATAATCTGGGACATTGTTTTAGAATCCCAAGGAATTAACTGTCAACTCTAGCACGACTTGGCGAGTGTGATTTCAACCGACTGACCCTCACCAATTTCTGATACAGAAAGCGGGAGCCCAGTGACTGCGTTATATTAGATAAGTGACTAGGTACAAGGAAGTCCTGGAAGGTCTTGAAATCTTCCTCTCAGAAGGTATCCACGAAGCTGGCCTGATGGCTCCCTCAACCTCGTTCAATACTCACCTGGACCATGAAGTTACTAAAGAAAACATGAAATCCCCAATTCTAAAGGGTTAGCCTGTGCAGTTCACCTTCTCCAGCCTGAGGCTGAATATTACAAATTACCCCACTCCGTCATTCTGCGGCTTTCCCTTATTCACTGTTTCAACAACCTCCCCGGCTCCGCGCGTTTTCTTCTCTGGTCGACAACTGCAACCTTGGGGTTCAAGTCGCATATATCCTAGGGGCGGAATACTTAGTTCATCAGGGAGCCACGAAAACGTAGGCGCACTTTGCGGCTCTGCCGGGATACACAAAGCCAACTGGAGCGTAGTTGCCAAAGTCGGGAGAATTCGTACTTCAGCTGGCGGAGCCTTCATCGCTGGGTCGCATCGGGTCTGTGATCGCTTCGCTTTCATCAGGTGATGCTGCCAGAGGTCGCTGCATTACAGACGCTGATGCGTTAGGGAAGGGTTGGGGGGGAGCTGAAACACCCAAACGTGGTGTTCTATGGAAGAGCGGGACTATTTGAGGACACGAAGGAACATGGAATGCCGACTGCCGCCGACCGGGAAGTTCAGGTTTTCTTGTTGACGCTAATGGTGATTTATCTTTACCCTCAGGTCACGTCGGCGTGTCATTTCTCCAAGAGCTTGGTGCATCATGATATCAATCCGGTATATATCAACTTGGACACAGAACAATTCCCACCTTGGGGCCCACCCCGGGCACCCCGGGCGAACGTCCCTTACGTGGAAGTGGAAGCGAACAGCTCTGCGATCCCGGATCCCATAATTTGATGGTTTCCTACTTCCGGGCAGAACTCCCACATTCGGGTTCGTCAGGCTTCCACGTATGTTGAGACATCATAAAGGACGGATGATTGCACAGCATGTCGTTTCCTGTTCCTGACCACGTTCGCCAAGGAAATGACCATCAGAGAATCTGATCACATAAGTACAAGGAAAGGAAAGGATTCACTCAGTGCTCGTGGAGAATTGTGGCTGTTATCATGATAGCGGGGACACGGTAAGAAATATGGAATGTCTAACAAGTTCAATCGTACAGTTTCAAGTCCCGACTTTACCGCCATATCCCCCTTCAAGACCTCCAAGTACTCTTACCAGTGAGCTCTGAACCCAATAATTCAAATTTTAAATTTTAAAAATCTAAAAATCGTGCAGATATGCACTTACCCCCTGTATAGCGTCAACGACGACCAAGCTACCGGTCCCTGACTCAAGGTTGGAGGCGGTGTAATGGTGTAATAGACATGGACAAATGCCTCAATGTGGCCTTTGGATTCGCCGCTTATAGAGGTGTTGCTGAACGTTTTGTGGGAATGGTCTTTGTGTGAGAAGGTTTCGCACAGCACCTTTTGCATCCAGGCCGTAGACGTTTTGAAGGCAGTGGATTTCATCGGCAGTGATAAGGAGGGCATCCAGGCCCCAAGCTTCTAATTTCACGGCGCGTGGCCTTCAATCGTTTGCCTCCTTTCAATTCCCTTTCATCATGCTCCCCTTCGCCTGACGCCGGTCCGACTTGGTCTTGACCAGCATGCATCCGCTTGCGAAGCGACTTCGTTCCACTCGTGTTTTCCCTGATCTCGACGCCCTTTTCTTTTTTCGCGTTGCTGTTTCCCCGGATCGGCCCTGTCCTGTCGCATTATTCACTTTCCAAGATATCCAGAACCTCAGTTATTAGTTTGCTACTAAGGCTCTAGTTGCGTGACGTGGCTACTCCGAGGTTTATCGTGCAGAATGGATCCAACCTGACATGTTGGTTGTCTCACTTAGCTTCTTCTATTGGGCTCTGCTACAAAGTCCTCGGACCACTTCTCAGCGACATGCTGTCTGTCATAGAGATAAGAAGAACTATGAACACTAGTAGGGACTTTCCAGCCGGATTGATGACATCGAAAATTCACGTACTGCACCACCACCTCAAGAGAGATGAAGGCATGGGAGGACTTAGACCACGGAAACATAGTGAAATTGGTTTTGCGACCGAAGTTCGTGGTACAGTGCCACTAATCTCCGAATGGTACTCAAATGGGAACCTTCAAGGGCAGGAAAACCCAACAAGCGCTCTTGAGTGCTCTCAAGTGCTCTAGCATTCAGGAGCGCTCTAGAGCAGGGGACCTCGCTCCTGAAGCTGTTGGATTTTCATGATAAGTTGTCCAACAACTTCCATCCGGCAATCGGCTTCCCCCGGTGAATGAGCACACTTGTCTTTTGGTCCGAAGAGATACACATTATCGAACAGCTTCTTGATGTCTGACCTACCTTCACGACCATGACCCTGTTGTGGTCCACCGCGATCTCAGGCCTGTAGGTCAAGATGTTTTGTCTACGAAGCCGATTTAAAGTAATCGACAACATAAAATAGCGCAGACTCTTGCCCAGTTCGTCGTCGGCAACTTAATTAGATTTTGAAATTGCGTGTTCGCAGCGCGCGTACACGAGCGACGACGAACCGGGTAAGAGTCTGGGCATGGCGGGGACTCTCAATCTTAATGTGATCAACTTGAACTGCGGTTCAATACAGATACGTAGACTTGGGTGTCTACGCCGCAGCACCGTGCAACCGCCCATGAAGCCCAGAGTTCGCTTCAGTTGTGCCGCAACGGGCCTCGCCTAGCGCTTCACACCGTTCGGGAGTTTAGGGACGAGATTAAAATCTCGTTGAACTGGACACCAGTGATCTTGACGACGTGACACCGACAACTTGAAGATAGATACAGAGACAGAGAAAGCTACGTTCCGCAGCTGGATAACCCTCTTAGGTGGATGGACTCCAAGGCTAAACGTATGGAGAAACTAAGTACTTAGTTGCACATCAGGTATGATGGGGTTAGACTCATGCATCCCCGGGCCCTCGATATACTAGCTTGGAATCAGCGTGCAACATTCAGATTCCCGAGGGATCATTTTCTCTCAAAGAAGACGTGGTTCAACGCGTTAAAGCCACGAGATGGTGCAGACCATCTCATGTCCTCCAAGAACATGTACGACTTTTAGACATGCTCTTCCCCCTGTCCCGAGATCGGTGCGTAGCCAGCGCCCACGCTTTTTTCTTTTACTGTGCATCGGCAACGCTGCCACCTGGTAAACAAATGGTTCTCAACTTCGAATACACCGTCTCGGGAGTCTCTGTGCCCGGTCTGGAATCATCCCGGTCAACATTGTTGATTACACAGGTGTTGTCACCAATGATGTTGGGACTTCCCGTGAGTTGTGTTACATATATATTCCTATCACGGTCTTATGGTGACACAGAATCCCTCATATATCGGCCAAATATCCAGCGCGTGGTATAGCAAATCGAATCGGTGTTGAGGGTTTTTGCCGTCGGAGCGAAGACTCTCGACAACCACGTTCTCACAGGACTCACCAGCTACTGTGCACACATGAGGATAGTCCTTCACATTTGGTTTCGCGGGCGAGTTACGTCTTCCGATCTGGACCTCGCAGCAACGTCCAGTTTCGCCGTTAAGCAAACCAATCATCTTCTCCGAGGCCTGCACGGCCGTTGGTACCAAATACGATGCCATTGAATATGACATCTGATGTGAGGCTCCTTTGTTGTCGGAGTTGACAGAAAGCACAAAGAACAGCCATCCGGAACCGCGATAAATTAACGCCGTGCGTTGCATAACCCGTGTCACAAGTCGCAGGTCGTGGCTCAGTGAGGTATGATGTTGCGCACGTAAGTTACATGCTCTGTCACGACGTACCAGTTAAGTTGAGAGATGAAGGGGGCACAGGGAGTCTCAAGCCCGATTTCAAGATTGTTCTAGGCTTGGCTTCAACTTATTAGTGATGACGTGACGCTCTATTCCAATAGAGGCTGGTAACTTGCTTAGCGTGACGTCCGGATTGCTTTCTTAGTGTTGACAATATGGTATCAAATAGAATGTTAAACTTTGATGTGTTTGGCATGAACTGACACTCGTTATGAAACGATGTAACTGGCACGAGTTACATGAAACTAAGGTCTGGAAAAGACATACGTCAACGAAGTGAAAACAAAAGTAAGACTTCATCAAGAGAGTCGGGTTAAATAAAGAAAGCAGGCGATAAGAATATGCAATCTGCACACGAACGACAAGGGGACATCAATGGGGGGCCGTAGATTGGGTATAACCACACGGCCCATTGTCCTAAAAATTCGACCAAGAAATCGTATTCGTTCTGTCCCAAGGCGCGGCTGGTCCGGCCAGGGTCCCTGGGCTAGGTGGTGAAACTTCGACAGTGATGGCCAAACTGGTGCTCCTCATTGTCCTCATCGGCGATGCCCCCTCCTTCCCTTTCGGCATGCGTTCAAAGACCCATAATGGAACGCAGCCCATTCTAATGTCACCGATGCTATTAGAAGCTGATCCAGCAGGCTCCTCAGCAACGCATATGCACCACCCATCATCGAAAGTCTGTAGAAGCGATAATTGATCGCCAACTTTTACATCAAGCTCGTCAGGAAGTAAGTGTTGGAATGGTCGTAATGCAGTTTTGCGCATCCCGCTCTTGGCATTGAGTGCGTATATAAGCGCAGAACGAGTCGTCGCGACAGAGGACGCAGTCGAATGTCCACGCGAATGAGAAGTGTCCAACGGGTCCAATGGGAAGTTGCGACGGAAGGGCGAATTTGGGGGCTGAAGGGGACCAGGAGAATGCTGGGAGTGGATGGACAGGAAACTAGCCCGGGAAGGCCCGTCAAGTGAGGCTACAGAGTGGTGTATTGTCGGTCTCTGAGAACCACCTTGGGAACTTATCGAGTCGGAACGGGGAGAATTACGAGTCCTCCCAACCGACACGGAGACAGAGTAGTTGCTAGAAACGGAGTGGCGCTTCAGACCTGGTGGGGACAACGGCGGCTTCTCAGTGAACGATACGCCATCCCCGCCAGCGGGATCACTGCCAAAATTTTCTAAGAAGCCCGAAAAGGGCAAGGGAATCTCGTTGTTCGCTTCGTGATGCCGAACAATGTTCGCATTCACTTGAGCCACCGCCGGATGATCTACGGTCCCATTGGAACCTAATCCAGCGGAACGCCGTGAGGAAAGGATTTCGCGGTTAGCAGCTGGCTTCGGCATGATGATGGAAGCAGTGAGGCGAGCGCGCGAGAATATCCAGGATGTAGGTCGAGGGCTTGCTGGGTTCTTCAAAGAAACCTCCCAGCATCAAATGGAGTCCCCGTGAAGACTATGAGCAAAAAAGAGGACTCACTCCTGCATTGACTCACGGATTTCATACCCATTCAGCACGCGGGATTTTCGCTTTTTGAGGTAGTGATATCCAACTCCAACGAGCAACGCCAGTGCGGATATGGACACGATGACTGCCCCGACGAGGAGAACGGTACCATTGCTAATTCCACCGGAACTGTCGTTTGATCGTCGATGAATTGCAAGGATGGACGGCATATGTGAATGGCGTAGTTTACAAAGCAAGGTTTTGAAGTGAAAGGAAGGAGCGACTAGCGCTGGAGCGATTCAATCCTGTTCCAGCTTCACAGCAACAGGGGGAGAAGGATGAAAGGAACGGTTGACTCTTGTCTTTCTGCAGAAACAAGAGCACGAACGAGTTGAAGGTTGAGGGACAAAAGATGCAAAGGAAGTAAACGAGAACCACAATATGTAGTTCATTGACCACTGTTGTCAAGTCGATACAGACCCGTTCTGATTGACAGATATTATTTGTATTGTGATCGCCAACTTATAATTAGAACCCCGTGGGACACTCTCTAGCTCTGCCTGTGCGAGATAGGATGGGTTATGTGCTCCTGCGACGTTGACCCACGATCACCTAATTGTTGTTTTCAGAGGACGGTCCCCCTGTATCGCTGCGACAGAGCTCGTTCATTCCTATGCATCCATTTGTATTTTTGCGCTTTCTCGTTCATAATGAGCTAGCTCATGAGACTTCACCCTTGAAACTCCTCTCCTATGCACCATCGCATGAAAGAAGATGGACGACGGATGCTATGCTCACTCATCAAAAATAGTCGGTCGCATTCGGCCCGTGCCTCCGTTGATGGAGAATTCGGTCCCCAGGTGCGTCATAATTGGTTTTCAGCATCTTCAATTTTTTTTCCACTATCATCCTCACAAATATCACGAAATTGGAGTCATTTCTTATATACTCCCGTTCCTTCACGCTTCTTTCCCGTCTGGCATCTGCCCTGCCCACCTTACTCGTCCTCTGTACTTAGTGTGGTAGATCAGTTTCCTACTTTCGTCAACGCTGCCGCTGCGGATGACGAGCCTAAGCGCCTTATCGAACGGCGTGTTACTGATCTCCGTATCCAACGTACTCCGACTGATATCATTCATATCGTGGGTTGCTCGATTCGATTATGACTGAGATTTGATATTTTACATCGTTTAGTGGCAAGCGGCCAAAAATTGCAACGTGAAACTTTATCGCAGACGAGTAGTATCAAGCCCAGCATATGTTATTGATCTGAACGAGCTACGGACGTATCGACACACTACAGACTGTTAAACCCCCATCCCCATAATTAAAATTCCTCCCCCACCAAAGTGCTCGACATCAGCTACTGCTACACCAGGCTGCAACAGCGGCAGCAACCACCGTCGCAGCCTGAAATTCCGAGCGGGTCCCAACAGCCCCACGCTAGCAAACCTCGTCATCGGTTCTTCCGCTCTGTTTGAATCATTCATACGCAATATATCCAATTTATTTACATGCGTGATCCCATAGCCGCACTCCCTCTTCCCCCGGCTACACAGCAATGTCTGCAACCGCGTGTAACACATTGCAGATTTCCTGTATCTCTCCATATATCATCCGCCTCATTCATTCTTCTCCTGCCTTATTTCGTCGTCAGGAGGGGCCTTATCCCATTTCAAGACAGTCATTTTGCGTCAAAACTAACCATCTGTACCTAGGATGGGGACATTGGTTGCTCATATCAGCAATATTGAAACGAAGCTCTCCGTACGCATAAACGTTTGGATGGAGTATATTCGACAAGGTGGCGGGTTTATTGGACAGGACTCGTCGAACGTCAACTTGAATGTTCCATCCTCGAAGGGAGTGTCCGTTTAGCTGAATTGTGAGCGAGTTGTGTGCTTCGTTAGGCCCTAGTGTTAGAACGTTCATCGCATTGCCCAGTCGCTTCATCGGAGTTGCAGAGCGGCGATTCTGACGCTTCAGAATATTCACTGTCTCTTGTCATTAACGACGCAAGTGTCAATTCATCGATGTCACTCATATCTCCCGCTAACTCTCTTTTGTTTCGGTCTTGCCACCAAACTCGCCATCTCGACTTCATGGATTGGCTCGAGCGCTTCAGACTCTACGACTCTTCCTTTCGATCATCGAATGTTTCTCTCGACTCCTGGTGATTTTTGATCAGCGATTGTACAACGTCTGTGGTGGCAGGCAGCTTTTATGAACATTCAGAATGTGTGGGCAATTTCGCGGATCGATCGACAACGTACGGATTGGTGATGACAGGCTGCATCGTGCTCGGCTTTTGCGTCGATTCCGCTAGGGTTTTGAGAGTTGGATGGCCGGTTTATGGCTGTTGGCTGATTTTTCCGGTGCGCTTTCACTGGTTATTTCCACTCACCTTTATCCCCCTTTCAAATCGCTGTTCTGACCCTTCTCCGACCCTTTTCTCACAAATGGAGCCTGAACAAAACTTGAGGTCTTGGCTCTTTTAGCTCGCGCCCCTGAGCTCCTCTGCCTGTCTTTCATACCTTCCATACCGCCATCTCCATCTCGGCATGGGCCCCTCGCTTGATCGTCGCTGCCTCTGTCTCCATCTCCAAGGTGCTTCCATCATTCGATTCGTCTTTTGACTCCGTAGGCCTTCATGCCCGGAATAATGTCGCTCAAGATCGTTAACTTCGGGAGAACCACTGGTCGATTGGACTTATCAGTAAGTATGCCCATTCCCACTTCTGACCGCTTGTTTCAATGGCTCGCGACTAACGTTGCTTACTTGCTTGGATCATCACGCTCAGTTGACTCTGCCCGAAATTTCGATCCTGCACGCGAAACGTCCTAGCCTTGGCACCATTATCAACTCTTAAACTTAGCATGTGTCTGATTCGGCTTGACGCGGGCTCCGGGGAGTCCTCCCCATGGTGGAATAGTAGCCTCTACGAGGTGCTCACAGTGCAAATCTGCACTTTCTTGACTCGCCGATGTCGACTCTGAGCACATCGCATTGCTACCAAACTTGTCACATATATTTACATGAGCCCTAAGAGGCAGCAGAAGGAGAGCTGACTGTTTGTACATGCGGAAATATGTAATCAATCACTCTCAAATGATGCTGTGTCAGGATAAGATGACCTGGACGAGGGTTTGGGTTAAAAGTAACGAAACCCATCGGGATGGGATTGTGAAACAAACAGTTGGATGCTCGTTAGTATCGCAGCGACAGCGTGGGTAGGTGACCAGCGATTCTGAAGCAAAGCTCTCCGTTCGCATAAACGTTCGGATGGAGCATATTTGACAACGGTGGCGGGTTTGTTGGGATAGGACTCGTCGAACGTCAGAAGCAGCTTGAATGTTCCATCGGCTATTTGGTCCGAATATCACTGCATTCCATAGCATGAGGTTGTCATTGCAAGGAGCGCCTGATATTCTCTGAATCTGACGCCATGCACCATTGATGGCCCAAGTTCGAATAGGTTCATTGTGCGGCCCCCAATCAAGAAATAGTACTTAGCGGCTGTTAGAGTGAAGAAGGTCACCACCTAGGGACCCATCGGACCACTCATGATTTGGCCTATCGACAAGTTGTCGAATTTGCTCAGCCATGTGTACATAATTGTCACGGAGTTGGCCGAATTTATTGTTTGTTTGAATGTGTGGTTCGCTGTCATGCAACGCTGGTGCCTCCTCGTTGATCACAAAAACAGGCCTGCTGGAGAGCCGATCCAGGTTGGGGTATCCTCCGAGACCAATGTCGCCAATTTGAAGAAGATGGTCAAGGATGAGATGTCGCCCCTTCTTGCCGACGCTGCTGCAGCCGAGCTCAAAGTGTGGAGATGCACTGATTCGACAATCAATTTCCTCGACGTAAGCAGTGAAGTGTTGGAGGAGCGAGTCAGAATGGCGTTCGTAGACAACAAGGTCCAACTCCTTCACGTGGGGCAGACTGTAGCGACTCTGATCTCGGATAACGAGGTGTTTCTCGTGGGGGGGCCGGGTATGTGCATTTCCACTCATTCGTCATCTCAATCTGCATATGCGATGATGGTCTCCATTCTTCCCCAAACCCTGTCAATTCCTACATTTTAATTCCACCTCAACACCTTCAAAAGTGAACCGAGCTCCCGATCCCACGCAACTTCTCTCGCTCAACTGTCTCGTTCTCAAAGTTGATGGGGAGCCGAATCAGATCTTCACGGTCAAGATTCTGAAGACCGAAAACGTCAGCACCCTCAAACGCTTGATCAAGGAGGAACAGTCCCCTCGTCTCAATCACGTTGTTGCCTCAGAGCTTATCCTCAGCCAGGTCTGCCGACGCGTAGATGATGACCCCCATGAAAGTCTCAAAGATGTCGATCTCACACCATTGAAGCCGCTCCTACCGCTCTCGCAAGTGTTCCCTCGTGTGGAAGGGGATCACCTGCACATCGTTGTTCAAGCACCAACTGATGGTGAGCCTATTTCGGTCTTCCTCCACGTCAATCTCATTGATTTTGTTCAGAGGGCTTGAGTACTAAAGATGCAGGAGGAGAGGAGAGGAGAGATCAGCTCAAGTGTGTACGTTACATCGAGGTACTTGGTCTGAACTCTACTGATCTACATATAGCGTCCTCTTACGCCAGAGTACATGCTTACCCACGAGCCGTGGTCCGGTCCTTGGCTTCCACCTGAATACATCCTCAGCAATCCTCCTCTTATGTTTTTTGGTATTGGTCTCCAGTTTACTGCCACAGACATGCTTCCTCTTGCCCAGGCTCTCGGGGTACCCACCACCCCAGGTGAAGGAAAGTCCCTGCTCCTGCTTGAGAACATTTATATGGCTGTTCGCAAGAGTATTCGTGAGAAGTTCAAGTCACGGTGGCCAGTCAAATCCAGGGGAATTATATCGCCCAACACGAAGATGACGCGAGTGATATCCATCTCCGACAATACCTTGGACACATTATCTCACTGGCGTTCGACTGTGGACAATGACCTTGACTCCATCATATGGAAAGAACTGCAGAACGCCGCAGACGCTCTGTGTGCGTTGACAGGAAGGGAGCCCAAGTGGTACATAGGCGATCGCAATTGGCCATAGCGTGTTTGGAATGTGATGCCTGCTTGTCCTTGTATCCTTGTGTTCACGTTCACGTTCCCGTTCCCCTCCTCTTTCCTTGTCCTTGCACTCCCGCTCCTGCCATCATCCTCTCTGTCCTATCACCTGTATACTAGGGCAAAAGTTTTTTTGCAACGTTTTTTGATATAACTACTGTAGACCTAAAATGTTGGGTCAAACAAATCCCTTATGTTCTCCAAACTTTTTTCACTATAGTACGGCATATGCAGCACGGTTACGTACTTTAAAATGAAATCATCCATCCATCCATCCATCCATGTATCCATGTGTTTCCATTTCGCCATTGTATTTTGTCTTTTTGTTTTTGTACATTAGCTTCTGTGTTGTGTTTGATTTTTATGTTTCCCTACTTCCAACTTGGCTCTTATCCTTAGCCCTTTTAACTTTCGTCTGTTTTCGTTTCGTCTTTGTATGTTCGAGCACGGGTCACGCATCGCGCGTCGCGCGCATGCTGCCAATTCCACCTGGCCCTTTACGACCGTTTCCCGCTACAAACGCTTGTTAGCCCTGATTAGTTCTGCAAAACACCAAACTTATGTGCAAACACATATACAGTCACAGTGTGGGCTCTTACATAAGGGAGAGCGTCATTTCTGCATCGAATTGCGAATCCTTACATAAGTTTGGGTCTAGCACGTCTGCACACCACCCGCACCTAGAATTCTTGTCTAACAGGACAACTGTGCCGGTTAGATGTCTGAGAACGCCACGGAAACCGAACCCTTAATTCCTGTGGACTCCCAGAACGAAGGAGTTGATCCCACCGCGAATGGCGCCCAATCTGTTCGTCCTCTACCCCTGACTAGAACAGACACCGAGTCTGTGATGAATGCTCTTGACGATGCAACGATGCCCAAAGAGAAAGGAAAGCGTCATGGTGATTCCATTGGCGTCGCGCTCGGAATTGCATGTTCATTTCACATATTCACTCATGCATACTAACTCATGTACCTGTAAAAGGGGTCTTTGCTTGTAATGTGGATATTCACCCTCATCCTTGTCCTTCGTAGTGACCCCAAATCGCTACGATATTTTGCTCTCCACCCACCAGCTCAAGTCCTCGCCATCAATCTATTTACCATCGGGATCCTCACTCTTCAACCCACTCGCCGACTTAAGCACAAGAAGGAAGGCCTCCTCCGACATCAGATTATTCAGTTGGGTTTGGGGCTATCCGTCATCCTCTTCGGTGGCATTGCAATGTTCATCAACAAAGTTGAACATGGTGCCCCTCATTTCACAACTTGGCATGGAAGATTTGGCCTCATCGCACTCATTTGGCTGGTGTTACACAGTTTGGTCGGTGGCGCGAGCGTATGGTTCCCTGTCAAGGCATTCGGAAGTGTCGACAAAGGGAAAATGACATGGAAGTGGCATCGGTGAGCACTGCAAACAACTTTATCTTCCTCCTACTCGCTTACCTACTTCATCTAGCGTATCCGGCTACCTTCTTGTTGCCTGGTTTTTGATTACTGCACATTTAGCGGGCGGCTATGCCACCTGGGTTCAAATGGAAACATCATGGGCGGAACGATTCTGGATCTATACCATTCTCCCGATCATAGCTCTTATCGGCATCGCGAGTAGAATTAGGTAAGTTTTAAGTCGGCCCTTCGTAACCAAGCTCACTCCAATACTTCATGTAAAGAATATGGAAACTTCCAGGATTCCAGAAACCTGATTACTCAGTCGGCATAGTCTCTTGAATATTGGTATCCTGAACCCATTCACATACAATACGTCGACGTCGTGATTTTTATGGTTTCGTTTCGACACAATGAGTTCCGTACACCCAATAAATCTTTAAGTATTATGAGAAGTATGACATACGATATTGAAGATTAAGACACATAATCAATGTCCCGCAGTGAGCAGAGAAATTAGGAGCTGCCGTCAGGCGATAATGCGTCGATATCGTCAGAACGACGAGGACGTTCGACTTGAGCCTCGAGTAGCTATGGGATCGAATGAATTTCCAGGTTATCACAGTAGGTGTACCTGACACACCTCTCGCTTAAGTTCCTCGCTACTTATATCCACACCTTCCTCGCCAAGTTCATCAGGTCCAAGGAGCACATTGCCTTTTCTGAATATCTCGCCCTCCTCCTCGACCCACACCTTACTCAAAACGGTAGGCGATGGTGCCTGCGCCTCCGGAACCTCAGCCATATGATCTCCCGCTTGAGAGTCAGATTGGAGCGGCTTGTTATCGTCATTATTCTCATCATCTGAATCGACGATGGCGAACGAAGCATTCGGAATGACATCCGAATGCTCGAAAGCCGGCTCCTTGCCCTTCGAGTTCCTCCGCATGACACTGGGTCGTTCGGAGCTATAGGGAGCAATGCCAGTTTTCTGTGGAGGGACAAGGATCGAAATGGGAAGTGATGAGATCTTTGTTCTTGAACTTGAAGAAATGTCAGTAGGCTTGAAAGTTGAATGACTCACGAGATCCTTTATCAGGCTCGTGAGACGGTCGTTGAGGTCGAGCAGTTCCTCCATCCGAGTTGGGTCCTTTTCGACCTGAACCATCTCCTGGAGAACACTAACAAGGGCGTTGCCTTTCTCGATAAGTCCTTCAGATTCCACCTTCTCGGCGTCGATATTATTCGATGTGTGAGACTCGAGGAGCTGAGTAAATGAAGGATATGAGCGTGGCACGGGTCCATACGATGGGAGGTTCGACGAACCAGATCACGGGCAGCCTTGACGATCTCGTCAGGTGTCTTCGTCCAGATTTCTAGCTTGTGTTTCCCGTCAAGCTGACCTCGCGCTTCCTTTTCCTTGCCGACCCTCTCCCGTTCAACATCCTGTTTGACGCCTCTAGCAAGTTCGCTTCGCTCGATAAGGCCCCATACTCCACCACGAGCAGTGTTCCCCAGAAGCATATCTAAATCCTCGCTCATAGATAGCGACGAGCTTCCTTTCCCCTGGTTATCGATCGGTATTTCTGCACCACATTTTGACCGTCTATCAGCAAGCTCTGTATTTCGCACACAGCAACGAAGGATTTCCCGGCTTAGCCGCGCCATTTCCGGGTCGTTCGGGGGGACGTTGACGTCCAAGCATCGTATAACGCGGTTGACCTTCAGGCCAGCGCTGAGCGCCATAACACCAGCTAAGTCAAGTGAGTTATGGGTAAGATCAAGGTGAAGGAGAGAACGAGCATCGGGAAGGAACTCCGCAAGGGCGATGGCACCGTCCGAGGTTAGTCCTGTGTCAGAAAGGAATAGTCTCTTGAGCGCAGTATTGATTGTGAATGCAGTTCGTATTGTTGTGACCTGGGAGAACAAACTCTGAACACGGATGATCCGTGAAACTACGTGGTATGGACCTTACCCCTTCGAGACCAGGGCCGCAACACGGATTCCTACTCATGTCGAGGATCTCCAAAGTGGTGTTATATTTCTACGTAATTCGATGACCAAAGTGTTTTAGAAGACGTTTTAACGTGCTCACCAATGCTTCTGCGATCGCCACGAAGCCACTCATTTCGATCTTGTTGTCCGACAGGTTTAATGCCTTGAGGGTGCGATTCCGCTTCAGCCGTTGTGCAATATACGTAACGCCAGCCTGGCAAATGTATACTAGTATTGAAACAGTACATCATTTAGCCAAGGTCAATCACTCACTTTCAAATCATTCCCTCTCAAATCAAGTGTTGTTAATGCCCCTAGTCTTGGCAAATTGTCCAAACTCCGAACCTTGTCTAGCAGCGCCAAGGAATGTCCATCAAGCAAAACATGCTTAGGAGCATTAATTGTCCCCCCAGTGCTTATCCGTGAAACTGTTGTTGACGGAGCAACATCCCCATTTACCAAACTAGAATGGGATGTTGAGGCATGCCGTGTTGTTACGCCGCCAGATCTGGAAGAAGAGAAGGAGGGTACTTCGTTTCGCATGAGGGGTGTCGAGGTGTTGATTGAGGGGCGAGTAGTAGACATTGTCAATGGGTTGGGTGACGATCGGGGGGAATTCAAAGTCCCAGTATGTGTTTGGGGCTGGGTCACCGCAAGGTTCCGCTTGGAGCGTGGGATGTACGGCGTGTATGTTGTTTGTAGAGGAGGGCTTGATTGTGGGGGTGGGTTGCTGACATTTCCGAACAGACGGTTGATAGAGAGTCGTGCATAAGGCTGTGAAAGTGTTGGTGTGTTCGGCTGTGGTGATGAGGTGATAGATATATGCTCAGGAGAGGGTAGTAGTAAGGAAGATCGCGGTGAGGGAGTGGGTGATTCAGTTGGAATAGAAAAAGATCTAGGAATCGGGCTTGCAGAAGGGGGCGTTGTTGGGCTGGATGATCCAGGAGCAGGCAACGAGTCGGGATAGTCTTTCAGCATTGTCGCTATCGAGACTGCACCGGCCGGACCAAATTTATTCAGTCTTAATGACAGATTCTGCACCGATGACGTCCGAATCGCATTTGCTAACGCGAAGACCGTTATCTAGACGATTCGTCGGAGGGAATATCGGACAAACCTAGTACATCCAACGACCCCCCACGGATACCACATTCATCCAAGCGAACACTCAGGAGCGTGACTTTTTCTGGAGGCAAATTAGGATCCTTGATCGACACTTCAGCCTTAGACAGGCCTAAGTGACCAACGGAAGACATATTTGGGGATAACGGTGAAAACAACAAAGATCCTGGAGGATCAGGAAAGCCATCAACTTGAGGGGACTTAACCACTGCATCTTTGGGCGACGCTGCTCTGCCATCCTTGCATGTAGTATTACTCGGCTGCGTTACAGGTGCTGGGTCGAGGGCAGAAACAATGTATTCTACAGACTTTTTGTCCAATGAAGTTTGTGATAAATCGAGAAATTCTAGAGTATTCGCCTGACCAGGACGAGTGTGAGCTATAGGCACTGTTATATAGAAGACCGCTTACTTTTGAGACGTAAGTCCCTATGAATCGACATGCCGCAGATTTCAACCGTTTGTTAGAGGAAAGGGAGAGATATGGCAATGAGTTTGGTATTAGAAGCGCGTGAAGTAACAGCTTTAAGCTCTGGAGCAAGCATTAGGATAATTGCTCCCTTCATTTCGGAGAATGCGGTGAACATACCGTCTCATCCAGGTCGCAATCCCGAAGAATCAGTTTCCGTAACCCCCATTCAATGGAGAATACATCCGCCAACACAGTTGCAGCATCGAAAGTTAACTTCACAGAAGTCAAATCTAACGTTCGCGGGGCTATTAAGTTGGCTTGCTGTGTGCAGCGATGGTTAGGTGCGTGTGGTTTAGATGGGTAGAGTGGAAACGCACCCGGAGTGCCCCGATAACTCCCCCGAGCGGTGCCTCATCTCTGAGGTGACAGCACTCACGATAGAACTCTTCTATACGCCCCAGACTCCATGCGCCAGCACCCTCTTCCTTCTCCTTTTCTCTCTGAGCCTTAGTTTTGTCCTCAATTTCGAGCCTAGCTACTGTAAGCTCGGCACTTGAGGGTGCAGCACTTGACGAAAAAGAGTACACAGTGCTTAGATGCGGCAATATAAAGTGTGCACGTTTCAGCGGCGTCCCGCGAATGGAGCCATGCGAAGTTATGTCATCGTATGGTACAGCAGATGGCAGAAGAGCATTGGAGGCTGAGGGAAGCTTAAATGTCGTTTGACTAGGTGGTGCAGAAGATGGCACGTTGCCATTATGTGAGGGAGCACTAGATCCTTGTATGAATTTCGAGAATGTCCCAGGAAAAATGTCGCGTGTGAGTCCGCCGAGATTGAAGAATGATTTGCTGGGAGGTGGTGGTCGCTTTAAGATGGACTTGTGAGGGACAGCTTTACGCGACCATGATCGAGGGGCACTACTAGTCGCAGGTTGTGCCGAAGTCGATGCCTCAGGTGTTGACACTGCAGCGTTAGTGCTTTCCATTGTAGATCAGATACAAAGTGGGGCTGCAGCCAAAGTTCGGACGCCGAGCAATGAGCAGCCCGATCCTCGCCGGATTCGTCACAGCCTTCCAGAGAGGAGAAAGGTCAAATTGCTAGAGTGAGGGTCAAGTGCCTGAACTGAATTATTGCAGCCAACAAACCCTATAGTTTTGAATGGGAATACATTCAGTTGGCGCTTATCTCGGAGGCGCAAGAGGCCACTGGCTCCCGTGGCGATGGAAGCTCGCGCCCCATTGGAGAATTAACTACCGTACATGCAACCATAGCCCTACACTTCGCATTTGTGCGTCACCAATCGTCCAAAAAACGAAATGCGTAGCCTGCCAAATTGCCAATGCTGCTAATCGTCATTAGTCGTTCCTGATGCCCCAACATCCCTCCCACCTTTCACCGTACAATGGTTGCATGCCGCTACGGTTTGCGAGATTCTGCTTTGGGGCCACGTCACAACAAAAACAATAAAAAATCCCTACCCAATCCATACGAGACCGTGACCTTGCATCATCTCATCTCTTCGTTCATTTGGAAACCGCTACGCCCGCATGCAACGATACATGAAAGGACCTAAGATGTCCATGCCTCGATTCTCATGGGAACCAGCAGGACTCCATGTGTGCCCATTCCTGCTTATATTGTAACATTGCGATTTCTGCTTCAACATGTGGGGGCTATCTAGATTTTTCAGGCTGGCTCAACCCTAGCAGGAACGGATCATCATCAAATCTTTAGTCCACGTGTGACTCGTCAGAAAGGGGAGATGTTATTCACCGAATGCCTAAATTTATCATGCGGTGCTGGGACATGAAGATAATCACTTCTTCCCTAAAAGCCGGGAAAACGACCGGTGACTTCAATTCTCAAAGAAGATGGTCTCACAGAACGAGCGGTCACCTATATTCGTTAAGACTGCTAAGTGTCAAACAGAAAAAGAGGTATACGAGAGGTCTGTCATCCAAAATTGACAAGAATAACTTCAATCCTTAGCAGTATCCCCCTCTCGAACGACAGAAAAATCTCTCCAGACGACATTTCGTAAACTCGCCCACCACTGAACGGCGTAACCAGGGAACACAGCTGAGTGATATTCGAAAGTGGATCTCCGCGAAGTGTAAAATCGAGGAGAGCAGTAACTTACCCGTATTCCTCCCCAAACCATTTCGATACCAACTAGAGCAACCACCTGCCCATGTCGTTTTCTCCAAATTCCTTTGCAGCTTCTCGTTATATTTGACCGTTGCCTCGTGGTAGGTTCAACAGTCAAAGTCCTGAGCTGGGTCTTGGGCCCCCTTGGGCGAAACCACCTCTTGTGTTGAAGCCATGGTTCAAGGATAGGAGTGATGAGATTCAGGATATAATTGACTTGTACCTCCTCCATATAGATGGTGCTCACATGCCCGTTGATGGTATTAGGGCCCGATAACATGAACATATTCGGGAAAAAAGGGATTGTCGTGCCTCGGTACGCAATTGGACCACCTGAATCACTGAATAGCGACTTTATGGTGGTGCCTTGACGCCCCTCGAGTGGAAGGGCATAACTCACGCGCTTGAAGGAAGTAAATCCATGATGGTTTTTGTATGGCGAAAAATTCCCTTACCGTATCGAAGCCTGTTGCCAAAATGAGCACATCAAGCGTGTGAGTGGTCCTAGTGTCACTGTCTACTCCAGAATTGCTTGGCTGGTTTGGTTTGGTCACAACACCGTCTGCTGCAATCTCCGTGATAGGATCCCAGATCACTTCAACGTTCGGTCGGTTCAGAGAATTTAAATAACCAGAATCTCTCACAATCCTCTTGCACCCAAGAGCTATCAAATACACCAAAATCAGTCACTCCTCTGGACGTCAGCTCGGAACTACATACGATAATTTGGCATCAAGTCATCGTGAAGCTGCTTTGGCGCTTGCTGACGAATATACCGCCTGCAGCGTGCTTCGAAGACCCGACGAATGATGTTTGTGACCGGCGACGTTATGAAAAACAGGTACGTTATATCTGTCTGAACTCAGCGTCACTGTCTATGCAAGAAATGCACGAAACCAGCACTGGCATACCGTTAGGAATATGCTCAACCGGAACAGCCAGAGTATTCCGGGAACATTTTTGAATACCCATTGAGTGAAGGCACTAAAGCTCTTCTGAGACTAACCTCACGACCATCAGGACATTGCAGGAGGGATTCATTAAATTGACTTGCCCTTGGAATGTACCATTGTGGGGTTCTGCAGAAGTTTACGACTTTTGTGCTTGGATCGTTACTGATGACCGGAATAATTTGGTTTGCGGAAGCACCGTTGCCAATGATTCCGACAATTTTCCCCTTCAAGTCGATATCGTGCCTCCATTGCGCGTGTGAAAAATAGGACCCGAAAAGACGGACGACGAGAGAGAAAATAATCCAGGAATCCAGGTATCGTTGGATTGTGTATACATCCGACAGCGCAGATTAGGATGTCAGCTTGTGTCGTGAAGACCTGAGGGTCAGTAGGTTCGGCGTCCTCAGGTCCGCTGCTGAGGGCTCGACGTTGGATGGTAAGGGTATACTGCTTTTTCTGCTCGTCCCATTTCCCGGAAAGGAACTCACACCCATATTCACAGTGATCTTGAAGGCGGTGCTTATCAGCGACTGACGTGAGGTAAGCCAGGATTTCCGCTTGTTCAGGATATGTTTGTGACCATGAGGGATTTGGGTCGGAAGATATAGAATACCAATGCGAATCGGTGTCACAAGCACATCCCTATGAGAACAGATTAACCCATGAGCTCCTTGCTTGTCAATGAGTAACCAACAAGACCAACCGGGTACGTGTTCTCGCGCCAAGTACCACCCAATCCAAACCCCTTTTCGAAGATCTAGGACAGGAACCGTTAATGATTCTCCCCGACCAGGTAACACTTCAACTCTCACAGTAAAATTGGAATACTCGAGGCGCTTCTTCAGGGACAAGGCAGTGATTAGACCCCCAGCGCTGTTTTCCGTTGCCAAACAAGATCAGTGGAGGATGACGAGTCCAAATAATGAATGCAAGAAGGGGGAAGAGATTTACCCTGCACCTATGATAACGATACGAGGACTGGATGCTCCAAAGTCAAGGGTTCCATTTGCACGAGGCCCAGTGTTCGACATTGGGGTCAGCTTGCGACGGCTCTGGACTTGCAAGGAAGTCGAAAGGATGTCACCTCCGACCGTCACCAGTACATTAAGTACTTATCCAATAGACCCGGTGGCTTGCGGACAGGGAGGTCATTCCCTCTTAAAATCCGAACGAGGGTGTACACGACTTTGGTGGCTTGCAGAGAGGGAAAGAAACCTATGCTCTCTGTACCTGTACAGTGGCATCTTCCCAGTTTTTCCAGTGGCTAAAGGCAGAATCGCGTACTCAAAAACATGCTACATTTGTGTATCATTCGAACGAATCATACGGCATGAGGGCTTATCAGGGGTACCAGACGGCGACTGAGGGTCCAACTGCCTCAGAAGTATCCTTTCCAGAACTCAATAGTGTATTTAAGAACAGAACACTTAATCCCCATAACGATGACTGGATTCAAATCAATGGGTGGAGCGGCGTGCAGTTCGGAAAGCCGCTGCCAAGCTGCACGCGTTCTGAGCTCCATTGCGCCACTAGACCTAGACTCATCCCGCCAGTCCCCACCACCACAAGCACGGTTGTCCCAATATTTGGCTAAGCGTCCCTGCTGGACAGGCTCTGGGCAACGATGTCAATTCTAAAAATGATACAGGACCTCAATAAGCGGCATGTGTACAGGAGAGAGACGGCAGCCGAGTTCATGCAGTACAAAGAAGAGAGGAGTCGACTTTGCGGCAATGAGATCGAAGCGCCGATTTGGCGCAAAATGCAGTCCCTCAAATTTCAGCAGGACAGGATTTCTTTCCTTTCTCCAGTGACCCCAGGATGAACCTTTTTCCAGGAAACCAAGCGAAATTACGCTCTAAATCTTCGCGGACGAACAATCAGCTATAGTTAGGCATCGTAGAGGTCCGTATCCCTGGGTTGAGTCACTTCTCGGCGCTTCAACGCTTTGCTCAAGGTGTTAAATCTTCCCTCGATAGTCCTGTGTCGCGAAACGTGGCGCCAGATTTGTTGGAAATCAACCTCGAAACATGTACAAAGTACCATTTACACCAAGCCATTATATTCTGCCTTAGCAGCCTAACGTCATCACGTCGTCCGAATGCGTACCAGTCATATCTGAGTAGCATCAAGGTTTTGCTGGGTGTGAAGCGCCGTGCTGAGCAATGCACCCGCGCACTCCTGACTAACCCGTAATCACTAGCATAGTGAGGGTCAGTAAGTGCCCATGTTCTCACGCTTTTGGAGCTACTTTGCATGAGTTGCAGTACACACGGGAGAAAGAGTGTGCCTGCGAACTTGAGTCCCAAACAAGAGAACATATCTTACAGGCATGTCCGAGGCTCAAGAAATACAAACATATGCTGGGCCGCAGCTCCCAATCCGGGTTCAGTGCCCTCATGGGCAAGCCAAAGAGCATTCTGAGACTAGCGGAATTCCTCAAGAAATCCCGTGCGGTCGACCCCAGAAGCACACCGAACTCCAGCTCCACCACGCACCAAAGACGAAGAGCAACCAGGGGAGGGGCTAGGAGTGGGATGAGACAGTACTGTTGGAGCAGCAGTTAGACATGACCTCACATAAACCCCGACATCCTTACCCAACCCCACCGGACTACACAGACCAGAAAACCCAGCATATATTGACGCTCCCTCCATGTGACAACGAGGCCGCGGGGGCAACAAGAGAACGACCATGTATGAGTTGCAGTATCAACGGATTCTTGCATTTCCCTTTTCTCCCTTTTCCAACTTTTCAATAGTACATCGGAACGGCTTTGGGTTTCATTTTGGTGCACTTGGAGGCAATTGCCGAACAGTATTGTATAACATTACGCCGAATGGGCGACTAACCGTGGCGGTATCGATGTATGACATGCAGCTGGACGTCGCAAGATGGGGAAAAGGACACATAATTCGAGCATATGCAGAAGGCAGAATCCAGTTTGGTTAACATATGAGCCCAAAGACGAAGTCCGGCGGAGGAAATTGATCTGGCAGGAGAGAGGACACGGGTTTCTCGGATGTAATAATGCTTCTTGGAAAAACTTCCTTCCGAGTAAGTTTACAGATAGCTAGTGCTTCTATCCAGTTTGTAACCAAGACTCAACAGCCCTAATAAGGCAGATTATCGTGGTAAAAAGGTACAAGCCATGAGCAGCCCAGCAATGCACAGAGGAGGGCCGCACGCCAACCTGTGAAAGCGGCGTTTGCCGAGGGCTGGCGTTCACGCGTTGTGGTAGATTACATATCATTTTCACTGCGGACTTCAAGGTTCTGTCAGTTAGAATGATGAAAGAAAGCTCGCTTTATATCCAAAATGTTGCCAATGACTTATCTGTTTGTTTGAAGTGGTGACCTTCTTCATAACCAACCCACAAACAACTAACGGGCAATGCTGTATTATGTGTCAATCACGAAAAGACTTTCGAACAGTGCATCCTTTGAATTTGGATGACGCACTACTAAGGTATGTACTGAAATTATGGCATTTCGTTCATCAAAAGGTCTTTATACTCTTCACAGAGGAGAAGCTTAGAGCAGCCACGATGTCTCCCCAAAGTGTGAAGGTTATGGCGAGTGGCATTACGAGCCATAAGCTGCGGACGATGTTGATGAATTAGACCAAGGCGCACCACCAGGTTTCACTCACCCCTGGAGATTGTATCAACGTCCGCAAGACAGGGATCAAAGAGACAAGGTCAAATGAACATCAGTGGATAGCATCGATTTTCATTTTTACCGAAAACTCACATTTGGAAAAACCCACAACAAGATCCATGTTGACCAATCATTATGCCCAGTCGTACACCACCCGCACAGCCAATCTTGTAACCAATACAGTACCGTTTTCCAGAAGGTCATGGTTGCTACCGCAAACCCAGCAATGGGCGCAGTGGAAGGGTCCGGGGAAAGATGCACTTGATATAGGTATAATAACTATAAACGAAGTAAGATGGTGTGAATGTGGGTCAGTAAGCGAGACTCACATTCAAGATATTCTCCGCGAGGTTCATCAGAGCTGTGGAATGTGCAAAAAGGTGAGACGGAATAGGTGTGAGTTCTCGGTATGTGCCCACCCTGAGCCGAAGGGAAACCATCGCCCTCTGCAAGAGCAGCAGCCCATAAACCTATTCGCCTATACATAAGCTGATGCTTAGGTTGTGAGACTTCATACGCCTGCATACGTAGTCAATTTTGGAATACAAGTGATACGGTCGCCACAACCAGAACAAGTCACCGCCTTGCATCGATCGGGGTCTAATTGGGTGATAAATCCAACGCCAGAATAGTAGCTGATCAGAAGGGACGATTCACTGACCTTAACAGTAAATAGCCCGCATCCCATGTGACAATGAGTGTTGACAAGGCGAACCACACACTAATCCAGAGACGTTTGGCGGGGGTACGGAACGACGAGGGAGCTGTCATCTGCGGACGTGCCCTGAGCTTGATCGTGCGGTGCAACAATGGCGCATAGCCACAAGGATTTTATTTAATAAGGACATAATAACAGGACTCTATTTGATATTACGAAGTCATAGAAGCTGGAATCCTGCCTACCATGGCCCAGTGATATGGCCCAGTGATACGGCCACAGGATTCAAGCCCTGTACCCCATGTCCAACGAGGATATTTTGGAGTGCATGTCCCTGGTGATACAACACAAGACTAGACGAAGAACAGTAAACGCAGTCAAGCGTTTGACGGACCCAAATTATCCCAGCATTTTACGGAAGGCATCTTGATCCAGACCACGTTTGGGTTTTGGTGATTCACCACCGCGCTGGTGATCAATGCTGTCACTACCTGGATCTATATCCATCAATTCCTTGGTGCTTTTCACTCCTTTGGTGTTCCCGATGGCCACCTTTCGTTTTGCACGCCCAAGGGCGGCTCTGGGTACAAAGGGACCTTGAGCCCCTAAATCACCCGCCGGGACGAAGCGGAGGATGGCGGCATTAAATCATCCACCGGCAGCCCCTTTGCTACTTTGCCTTTTGTCGAAGTGCTCACAATTTCCTCCGAAAAGGACGCTTGGTGTCCTTGGAAGTCGAACTCTCGAATCAGTAAAAGCTTGCCAGCGTGCTAAATTGAAATCTATCAGAATTGAAACCACTGCAACTCCCGTTTGATCACATACGGCCGCATTGTCCATTTCAACAACCGCTTGACCCTCATCCGCAAAGACTTCCACGCGCTTCACGCCTTCAGAAAGCTTCTCTAACCTCTGCTGCAATAGCCCCTCTTGAGCACCTGACGGTAGGCCGCGAATACGCACACTTCGGTGGGCCGCGTCAGCACGCCGACTGAGACCAGATGCAGGAGTTAACCTGGGAGGGAGTCATCAATGCCAGATTTCTACGAACGGAGCATTAGGGGGACTAACTTCTTAGTGCGAACGCGTGAGTCCGCTAACGTAACAGCGATGCGTCGACCTTTCATGTCATAATTATTGGCAGCAAGAGCGGCCAGTGCCGAAATCTGAACGTCAATCATTGGCACCGCTGAAACACTGACCAAAGAGGATGTGGACTCACTCGGTCGCCGAATTCCACAAACGCAAAGCCCTTGCATCGACCGTCGATGTCAGTTGCCAGCCTCATCTCCTTCACCGGTCCGTACTTGATTGAGAGGTCATTAATGAGGAAAACATGCAAAAGCCGCTGGCATGCCTTGCTGAATACCGTTTCCAGATCACCTGTTACCACAAACTTGCTCAACCCAGCTACATACACCTCCCGCTGATTAGCGTCAGCATCTGTGCGTTCCTTTCTTCGCTGTGGGTCCGATGTTGCGACAGATAATGGTCGGTTTTCATCCAGCTTAAACCCATCGAGGACAATTGCATCTCTGGCCGAGGTCTGAATGACCCGAACTTGATTGGATATTGTTGCAGAGGGAAAATACCAAACGAACGTACCGGAGAAACGTATTGAACGTAACAGAATCGCCTCGTGTTTTTGAACTTTTTACTGGGCCAACGAACATCAAATAGGGTGCCATACTGACACGCTCAGTAAGGATGGGCGCATCGACAGGAGAAAAGCGGTCATACCTTGCCGAAAAGCTCACGAATCGCGGCGTCATCATATCTCTCGGGAAAATTCGTGACGTATAGAGTCGATTGCCAAGCTAGATGCACAGATATCTCTCCGCCCTGTAGCCGTTTTCTGTCCTTGGTAAGGGCAGCGGGACATTTGCCTGAAGGATGTGAATATGTGACCATTCTGAATGAAACAAACTACTCACACTGTCAACGAACTCCACAGTGGCAAAGTGATTGGGATCTATGGCGCTAATTTTTATTTCGCGTATGTCACCACACTGGAATTGTGAGTGAGGAGCGGGCCACCCTGTACGTGGAATAGATGCATACTTACGTCCTGAAAGAGATTATAAAGATCACTATCGCTGACGTTGTTTTGTAAACCGCTAACAAAAACAGTGGCGTTCTCTCGGTCCCTGCGCCAACGGCTCAAATTTGCGAAAATTACACGGGCGCAGGTGCTTACCGCTTAGGCGGTGGCGGAGGAGTGTCTGCAGGACAGATTATTGATCGGCACAATTAGAGGGCTGAAGAGCGTACCTTGCTTCAACCTCTTGGGTGCAGGTCCTGGTTCATCGTCGAGCTTGCGCTTAGATGACTGCTCCGTGGTTTTGTCTGTTCCTTCCATTTCTACGTCTTGGAGCTGAGGCAACTCCGGAGCCGCAAGGGTGATGGGATTAATGCTGGAACCGCTTTGGCTTTCGACCTGGGTTTGAGAGCGCATGTTTTTGTATGCATCCTGCAGATGTATGTCGATCTACGAGAAACAAGTGGCGCACACGAAGCTTCGTACCTTCGATCGCTTCTCACCGAGAGCTGTAGTTAGTTTGCGCACCCTCCTCAGAGCGAAATCCAAGTCTTTTTCCGTCCCCCACGTTTCTTCGAACATGATCCAGGCCTCATACACACTTTCCGGATAATCGATAGCCAAATGGCAGGATTGCATGTCCTTGAAGGCCTTTCTAGCTTGTTGAAGATCCTTGATTGTATGTCTGTGGGAACTCAATCAGCGATAATTCGTCCAAGCCCTCAATAATCCTTACACTAAAAAGTCTGCGTACGCAATCCAGACATGCCACGACTTTCGGTTGTGCTTAACGGCCTGCTCCCAGACCGACTGCGCAGCTTGATGTGAAACATCATCCTCACCATCCGACGGAGGCAATCCAGACGGATATAGTAGCTTCGGGAGACCATTGAGCGTGTATGTTGCGTCGGTGCAGGAGGTCACTTACAATATTGACGAGCAATTTCTCAAGTTTAAGCCTGTCATCACCCCCAGCAGCCCTAACACGCTTTGTCGCATCCTCGATAATCTCCGTCAGGCCGGAGAAAAGAGTTCCGTCACCATCTTGCCCTATGAGACAACATTCTAAGAAAAACAAAATAACAGATCGAGTTACTTACGGTGACGGATCATGCGATACATCGAAGCAGATATGGTGAAGGAGACATCTGATATCCCTTCAGCAGTAAGTAATATCTGCGTTGAACGCTGGTACATTTCTGGAAATACGCGTAAGCCCAAGGGTGCATATGCGTCCAAGCAGCACGCACCCATAACCTGGTCCCAACGTCCGTGGAGCTCCTTTCGATGACATTTGGGTCCCAGTAATGCAAAGTTCGCTGAAACATACCGATGTACTTACCAGATTATGGACGTAAGCCACTAATATATCACTATTGCTTGGGAGGGAACGAATGGCTCTGCCAAGCACGAAAGTATCGGTCGCAATATCTCCGACAATGTCTTTGTTAGGGTCAACTTCGTCTTGCTACTTGGCAGATAGAGTTCATTGTTATTGGCGAGCTATGGGACAAACGTCAGAGGTGCTCACCAGAAATGAAGTGTAATTTTTCCAGAACAAAGCCAGCCATGCCTCAGCCACTTTCACATCGCCCTCACCCCCAGACAGTAAGGCGTCTGATTTGCGTTTGGCAGCATCTGCTATTGCGCGCTCATATAAATTGATGATGGGTGCGGGATCGCGGACTCTGATGTCTGATGTTTTTGTACGCTTCCGTTGCTCTGCTGCAAGATGCGTCTGGAAGCTTTGAGGATCGTACTGATGGGCATGTGGTCAGTGCCGACGTTCTGCGCGTTTCACGGAAAAAGAGGTACGAGATTTGTCTGATACTGTTCTCGATTTCGCCAAGCCGCTAAAGCTGGCTGACGTGACTGCGATGCATGAACCAGTGATGATTCATACTCGGAAGCAGGGAGATATGTAGATACAAAAGTAGAATATTCCTGAAAGGTCTCATGATTGGCTTGGTGAAGTCAGGCCGCGTAAGATGGGGGTAAGGATAAAGGTGCTGACCGGAATGGGGTGTAGTAATCCTCTTGAGATATTCGACCTTCAGAAGTTCAATCCTCTCATTTCTGGCAGCTGGCTGGTCAGCGAGGCATGCCACATGACACTAAGAATTCTCAGCACATGCCTTCCATGTCCCTAAGAATGGGGAAATGTCAGCGAAACGATAAGAGCCAAGGAAAACAATACATTGGACGACTCGACCGCATTTGTCATCCAGTCCCGCCATATGTTCCAAACTCGATGTCCCTAGGTGCGAAACCCCTACGTCATCGCCTACATGAAGGGTCAACTAAATGGACACACCTCAGTTGTGTGCGCACCACCACGCGAGGCTAAGAGCTTAAGTTTCTCATTGACAGAGTTGAAAGGCAAGAAGCTAGTCCCGTCGTTTAGCGCTGCCTCGTAACTTTGAGCCAAGAATGTTGCGTGGACCGCGAGGATAGGGATAGCTATAGTTTTTCCATACGCCGAAAGCAGACATCAGACTCCGTAGCCCTGATATCTTTGACTCACTCACAAAAGTAGTCCTGTTCAGCGCGCTCGAACAGCGCTTCAATCTCTTCCAGGGTTGCCTCATTGCTTTTCCATTTTCAAGTTCCACGTCAAGTAGTGGAAGCCATATATCTATTCGGTGTTTCGTCAAAGAACTATATGTGTCATGCCAAGAAAAAGTACCATCAGATGCTGCGAAGTACGTCGTGAGCATTTCTCGGGCAGAGTTGACTTCTGATTGAGGAAGTCCAGCTTCTTGGGATAATCTAACGTGTTGGTAGTGCAGAGGTTCATTGTACGGGTGCTCCGATAGCGATGTCAATAATGCGGGAAGGCTCTCAAGAGCGGCCACAGTGGATTCGTTCATACTTGCAAAGTGCGGTTGCCTTATACGGCTCTGTCACGTGTGACATTAAACCGCCACACTGACCACTGACCTGTTTCTGTGCTGTCAGTGATATCCCGTAGATGATCGGGAACTAAAAGGCGCAATACTTAACAGTTTCGTCCTCTACAAGAAACTTACTCATGTCATCCAGTCTTCCCTCGACATCTGAGAAAACACGATCGCAAGACTCCAATGAAGTACGCTAGCCTTTGAGTTTCCCGGAAAGATATTCGCCTCACCTACTTCTCTGTTTCTCTGTTCAGTGGGACGCACGCATCCTTGATGAAAAGGTTAATAATCACGGGAAGAAATTCTATCTCGTAGAATGGGTGGATGAGCCCAAGCCCGGGAAACCTCCGAAAACCTGGGCGAATGAGTGGATCTCCGCCAGGAGAGCCTCCAGGGAGCTCATAGAATCATGGGAGACCCAAAAAAGAGAAAATGAGATGCTACGTGAGCAGGGGAACCTTTTCTCCTCATCACGCTCCATTAGATGACAATTGGCGCCTCTAGGTGAAACAGATCGCCAAAGGGAACTTCGATTGGCGCGCGAGAACGGGAAATTGCGGGAGTCGAAGAGGACAGCTACCGAGGCCTTCGGCTTAAATCACCGCAAGTCTGGCACCTCAAGACTGTCTGCCTCCGCGACAAGGAAAAGGAGGAAACTTTTTTTGTCGTCGTCTCCTGAAACTAGTGAACATGGGACTGCCCCACCAACTTCCCAATATCCTATGAAGGAGAAGGATGCCAAATCTAAACCGTCTTCCAGACTCAATGACGATGATACATACACACCGAGCTTGTCGGTTGACGACGACTCCGACTCCGACGCTGACTTTGTTGCTAGTTTGCTTTCCCCATCGCGACGATCTGAAACTAAATCTCAGCTAGTGCGGGGCAACTCTAACGTACCCACTCGCCTTTCCAACGGACGTAGCTCGGTATCAGAAGAATCGGGAACGAATGAAACATATCCCATCACCAGAGCTCTTTCCCAGAGACAGAACGCATCAAGTTCTGTCCGGAAAGTAGGAAGGACCAGTCACGCTCAGAGCCCGGCGAAGTCCAAGGAGGTATCACCCACTCAATATCGAGCGGAAGTCATATTGCCCGTTCGTCCACCTCTTTCTCCTGTCTCTTCAAAGGCCCCATCATACTCTCAACGGTCCGACCCCATTGAATCCGCGAATTTCTCTTCCCAGCCTAATCCCAGCAAAACTTTACATCGGAATGAACCAACTGATAACATTTCCTCGTTCACTCCAACCAACCCTACTTGCTCTGTGTCTAATCCTGTCTTAGGTTCCGAGTCCACTGTTTCCCGTTCCTCGATGGACAACGGACAGCCAAGAAAGTCATTCGCTATCATGAGCTTACAAACTCCCTCTATCGCTAACCCTCGAGAATCTGAGAGTGTCAGGCGAGAGTCACCTGTTGAGGACTACCCACCCAGCCAAGAGACGGGTGCCTCGTCGGATCGGCAAACGGATACGAGAAAGGATTTCAAAGCGGACAATCATGCTGCGGCTCAGTTATTACTACCTTCTGTGGCGGGCAACTTCAATGACGCGTTCATGGTCAATTCTGGGATCAATGATGAACCTGCAGGGCTGGACTCAAGAACTGTACGTCACATCATGGAACTCTGGCCGCACATTAGGTTTTCTAACTACCTGAATATAGGTCTTGACTCAGTCTGTTGTACCGGCGACCGTAAGTGACAATGCCGGGGACACAACCATTGTACGTTTTTTCGAAACGCTTCATCTCCTTCTTTAATTGTCCTTCCTTCTAGACATCTCAGTCATCTTCTAATCCATCTATGTCGCAGCAGCTCAAATCGACTTTGGATCTACTTGACAGCAGAAACCACATGATCAATGACCTACGGAAGCAGAAGGCGGATGTTGAGGCTCGGCTTATCGCGGCTCTTCGTTCCTCCGAGCCCCACATCTCTTCTAATGATGACTGGGATGCTATTATCGCCGCCTTGAGAGCCCAGAATGTGGCTTTAGAATCCCAACTGAACAAGGTTGCCCCGTCATTTGAACAGCAAATCGGGGAATTGCGTATCCAAGTGGAGGAGCTGGCGGAACGGGATGCCCGGCATGATCACAGCGCTCAGGAGCTCACGCACCAGCTCGCAATGATGCGTACTGAACTGGAGCAAGCACGTTCCACCAACCGAGAGCTCTCTCAAGTGAATAGGAAGCTAGCGGGAACAATCGCTAGACTAGAGAAAAACGTTGCTCATGCCTCCAATGACATGGCCTCTACCCGGAGCAGGATGGAGTCCCAGCAGGAACTCATAGCAGATCTCAAGACACAGGTGGACAATCTCGCGAATCGCCTACGCGCGCACGCAAAGAGCAGCGGCAACGATATTACCAACCGTGAATCCGAAGCCCAACGAGACGAGATTCAGAAACTCAGGCACGAACTTAGTAACCAGGGTCCCAATATTCGGCAAGATGGGAATGCAAATCGAGAAGCGGAGCTGAAGCGGGCACTCGCAGCGTCGGAGGAGCGTATTGCCTCACTCATTGCTCAAACATCCAGCGATGCCGAGGAATCATCCCGTCTACGCGCTTCTTTAGACGAGGAACGAGAACTTCATCAGTCATCGAAAGACAGTATTGAATATCTCCGCCAGCGGTACCAGCATGCATCAGACGCGGCAGCGAAATTAGGTCAAGAAAATCGCATACTTGAAAGAAAGAATGATCAAGCAGCCTCCCAGGCTAACGACGGCGTCAAGCAGGCCCAGCTTTTCTATAGGACGCAGATCCAACGGCTTGAACAAGAACTCGACCAAAGTAACACCCGCGTCGCCATTCTCAACAAGAAAGGAATCAGAACTGTCACTGGAAACATCGATACACTCGAGGTCGATTATAGGAGTCTTACGTTTCGTCATGAACAACTGCGGCAAGAGCATTCGGAGTTGGAAAACGACTTGCACGACTTGCAGCTGGTGGCAGTGGAATTTAAGGAGCACGTAGACCGCCTCGCCGCAGTGGGAGTGGACGTTGACTACCCCATCGAATACGTCATAGACGATGTCATCGAACGCTTCAACTTCCTCCTGGAGCCCTGGAATCATTTCAACAGACTCAGTGATGTTGGGATTGATGTAGAGTTGGAGCCGAAAAGTTTCGAAGCGCTTGTTGATCGAATTATTGCGCGGATCCGAGCCCCCATAGGTGTCGAGCTTGAGTCTAACTTGAACGAGCCTAACCCTGCAATTTCTACTCAGACCCAGCAGAGTGGGACCCTGCCTACCGATCGTCCCCTTTCTCCACCTGACTTCTCGAACATCAATGACGATGTTACTGACGCACAGTACCGTGAAACTTCGCCTGCCTCCTTAGCCTTGCCACCCGCAGATACCTCGCTGTTATCGAAGTCAGAACCAGTGCCCTTACCCTCGAGCCAGAACCAGCCTACTGCCCTTCTATCCAACACACCACCCTACACACAGCAAGATCCACAGGATGAGGTCTTCCCATGTCCAGTGTTGGAAAAACCCCATGAGCCATGTTTGAGTACTTTTCTGGCACGAGATGTGAGTTGATAACGAGTTGCGACTCGCCGATGTTTTCCACCCACTTCTTCATGCAGGAGCTTAAACGACACATCCTTGATTCGCATGTTGAACTTACTCTGTACACTTTCAACACTGCGCAATCAAAACCCAACCCTAATTCATAAGTAAATCAGTGCTTGCTTCAAATTTATGCATCCTGCTATATCTTCCGTTATGGATTCTTCGCCAGGGGATTCAGATTCATCAATCCTCGGACTTCTGCTGGGACCTCCATCTAGATGTACCAACCTTCGTTACTTGTATTATATATCCCCTCGTGTCACAGTGTACGTCCCTGTTGCAGACACTGATGCTGTAGTCCCGGTTGCACACTAGACCGTGGCGTTTGTCCGATTTACGTACTCTATCGCGATCCGCGGGAGCACATACACGATTCACGCGCTGACGTACTCACCATCAAAAAAACCACCGGCACGGTATACTAGAGTGTGGATCTGGTTTTGCCTGGGTTAATTATGCACGGCACACGACGGATTTTCTCGGGTCCCTGACCGAGTTACTAACGGGAACACTGGATGGGCGGCCAAACTCGCGGGAAGAAGTTGACCTCATCCGTGTGTACGCACTATCCTGGTTATAACTTATATGATATTTGTTGAGCTTGATTTTTTGATTGCCGTGAGCGCGTGTGTGATCATGCCTTGATCCCGCGCAGCAATTTTCTCTGTAATTCGAGGAAAACTGGGGATGATTCGATGGACGCGGAGCAACAACGATGGATTGGTTAAGGGGCTGGATGTGTGTGATGATCATGAAATATATTGGGACAGGAAGAATGAGGTGAATGTACAATAAAAGATTGGGTAGAAACCAGATCGTCGAGTCAATCCTTGTAAGCTGAGGAAGCTGATATTGGAATTGCAAGTCCAGGTGAGAAGGTATATATCTGTGTAGTCAAGGTAAATGTAAATGGAATGAAAGTACGCTAAAAGTCGGCTCTATGTTTCGCCGCATCTGGCAGATTGGCGCAGGTGCAGGAAGAAAGGCAGGAAGCAAAATACATATCAAGGAGAAGTAAAAATAGGAAACCACATCAAGAAAACAACGAGGCAGTGTGGGGACAGGTAGGGGGGAAAGTTTGAGCGTGGACATAAATTGGCCAGGAGTGCAGGGTGTTACGAAACAAAACAAAATGTGAAGGCTGGCCGCTGGACGTCCGGGATGCCGCAACTCTTTGAACATTTAGCACAGTGTGGTAACAAAAAGCCAAGGGCTCTGAGCCCCAATTTAAATCGACCTCAATACGCACGAGGCCGATTTGGTCGAGTAATAGGTCTAGCCGATGTTTCAGCGTGACTTCGGTGTTGCATGTGAGCCTGCGGGTTCCCATCATTGCCCAGCTCCATCCTTCCTACAATCTGCTGATCAGACTCATAACTTTGTCTTCCCGTGTGCCCCGGTGTGAAAAGCGATGAAGTCGAAAGATTACTTGGTCTCCTCCCACCATGACTTCCTCCTAGAGCACCAATACCGGCACTCCCACTCACGCTACTCGCAGAACCCTCCTCGGTTAGGGTTGAAGCCCCAGTTCCACCGTGTCGGGGAAACCTCACCTCACGCTCATTGCTACTGGCACCACTCCCACTAAAGGTGGCAGAGGCGCTCTCTGTCCTTCGTCTCCTTGCTCGCATGCCACCCTCGAGACTACCTACTCCCATTCTGAAACTCTCAGTCATTCTCCTTAGGGTTTCGTCCACGTCAGCTCGAGAAGTCACGGTAGAAGGTCCACGTTGAGGGCCAGATACCCCACCCAAGCCTGGATGACGCGAAACGGATGACGGGGGATTTGAGCGAGATGATCGTCGCGACTCCTCGGCCATTGTTGGAAGGGTAGCATCGAAGTCAAGGCCGCCCCGGAGTGGGGCACGGGTATCAATAGCTTTCACAAAGTTCGAAAGCTCATCATCTTCAGAGGCCATAGTAAGGAGCTAAACGGGAATGAAGTTATACATGTGTCAATCCCGAGATGCAAGGATGTGCACACACCGTTTCCGAAGCTGTTCTCCTCTTGAAAGGCGACTCCACCCCGAGACTGCTTGGCGCGTTAGTGCCACTGCTGAACCTTCCAAGGCTGCTTGGGACTCCAACGCCCATCACTAAGCCTCCATCTCCATCACCGGCACCAGGCACCACGTTACTAGCAACACTCATGCCGCTGGACGTATGTCTGTGCGAGAAACTGCTTGAATAGCGCTTTGGTGGCGCAGGCATCATCACAGGTAACGATACACCCGAAGTAGCATGGGTTTCCGGAGAGCCACCACCTATCGAAGGGAACTTTTTCTTGTTGTCATTTATGGCAGCCAGTAATCCTCCCTGTTGCGTTTGGCTCTGAGCTGATGGGTTCGGGGAAAGTGGAGAGTTGAGGCGTATTGATAACGAATGAGAAGACGGCGATGAAGCAACGGTGGCGGACTTAAAAGGGTGAATAGATGTCACCGAAGGCCGCCGTGCTGTTGAGGCCCCTGGAATAGGCGAGGACGTCTGTGCGCGATCCTATCCCAAGTCAGAAGACCACGGCATCAGCTTTTCTTGCCAGACAATCAGCAAACCGCAATTGACACTCGGACTTACACCAGTATTACTACCTCCCAATAGGCTCTCTTTCCTCGTCCTATCCATCGAACCACTAGTTCTCCCGCTTCCCAACCCAACTGCGAACGGCAGGTCCCCAACATCCCTCCCATAGCCACCAAACACAAGCCTAGGACTCGCAGTACTCACACCACCTGTTCCACTCATTCCCACACCCGGCAAGTGGTGGTCAGATGACAGACAAGGATTGAGGGCGATATCCTCCGCGGGCGGGGCGACGACGAAATTGACGAATTAGATGAATGGAGATTGAGCGTCGCTGGTTTGTTGGGGGAATGAGGAACCGAAGGTGGAGAGGACGCAATGGGCGAATGTGGGACATTCGTTCGAACAGGAGCGGTGGAAAGGGGTGACGTTCCTGTCCCGGGATCCACGCTTGGGCCGGTACGACTAGGGAAAGGGCGCGATGACAAAGAGGTGTTGCTCGTGTTGCTGGATGATGGCAATGGAAGTGCTACTCTGGCGCCTGCGGCAGACGCAGCAGAACCGGATCCCAATGACACTTGACGCTGGCGCTGATAGGCAGTGGTAATGGTAGGTGTGAATTGAACAGGTGCATCGTCCACCTTGACCTTGGTAGGCTGTACACCACTTGAAGGGCTAATCGCGGGAGTCATGAAGTGGGATGAGAGTAATGATTCGAGGGATTCGAGGCTATAGTTTGAATGAAGGCGATACATTGTCCGAAGTCCAAAATGGCCAAGAGGGGTCGGGATCGGAGGGAACGAAATGGATTCGGTGACAAGGCTTTCTGGCGGTTGTGAGTGCGGCGCATCTGAGAGTCAGGAGTTGCCAAATAAAGATTAAGATGTCATCCGACGATTGAATGGATTCGCAAGGGAAGTTTGTAGAAATTCAAGTCATTGGTAAACCTTGTGATCGAATTTAAATTATCACTGAAGACCCACCGAAGCCTGCAACCGAGTCATCGTCGACGACGACAGGTCGACCAACACCAACCTGAATCTCAATACTGAGCCCAGAGCCTCCAAATGGAAGTGCGACTCCGTTGCTTCGCCGCCTCAGCTTGCGCTGTAACTTCCATGTTGGAAGCGCTCGCAGCATGGTGTACACACTGCGGAACAACGAAATGCATTGCTTGTAGACTGTCGGAAGTTCTACGTTCAACGAAGATGAACTTGAGCTAGCTGATAGAGACGAAGACGGTGATAAGGTGAGAGTGTGTGTCTCGAGAAGAATATACCGAGGCGGAGGGGTCACTCGCGTTGGCGTTACACCACTACTGTTGGAATCCGATAATTGGTGCACAAGGGCTATCCCGAGCTACTATTAAGGGGTGGCACAGAGAGGAGAACTGAGATATGTAAAGGGGGAATTGCATGCGAAGCATATGATGTCGAAATTGAACGATAAGCCTCGAGTGTCGCCTTGTAAAGATTCGTGTCGGGTATTTCTAAGTTGAACTAAATCTATTCGTCAGTACGGCACCAATGGCTGAAAGACGAAAATGAAAAGGCAGCTTCACACCCTGGGAAGGTCACAACGGAGCGGAATGAAACGCTCCCCTGAAGTACCCCAGCTTACAATAGACCCACAAGACAGAGTAGACGGAGAGTGACCCTAGGGGCAGGTGAAATATGGACTCACCCATTTGTCAGTCCTAGGAGGCTTGGTTTCCCTTGTTGATGAACCAGGCATCCCACCGGGGGTAATGCCTCCTCTCGAGGGCTCGTTTGCAGCTTCGGAGGCGTTATCTTTCCCTCCATAAGTATTTGAATTATTAGGACTTGTCTGAGAAGCTGTAGTAGGGCTAGCAGGTGTTCGCGCGTCGGTAACTACCAGGACAAGCTTGTGGAACACACGATATACGATCTGATCAGCCTTTGAGTTTGGAGTAGGCGTGGCTGTCGATAGGAAGATTGATAAGTTTGAGGAAATGCTAAAAGAGGGGTTATGGAATACCGTTCTGTTGCGGATGGTAGGACATGAATGGACTGTTGCTAGACAGAGCTTAGAAAGGCATAGTGGGCGGTGCTCGCGCAGTCCTGTATGTGGAATAGGTAACAGTCTCTAAGATAGGAACGTGGTGAGCAGGAGGGGCCAAGTGGTGATCTTGCACACTCGTCGTCGGATGTGGTGAGTGTATTCGGTTGCGTCTTGGTGTTGCTTGTTTCCGCCGGGACCGCTCAGCAATAAAGTTCGGAATAGCGGCATGACTCGAAAGCGCTGCCCTTGCTCAGCCTCTTAGCTTTTCCCATGCGCTCCGGGCCATGCACTATGCCTGTGCACGGCGCTTAACCCGTATTTCTTTTGTTCCTGAGTTTCCGGTCATTCGTTATTGCCATCCACTGGATTTTTCTCGAACACTGCTTGGCGCAGTCGTGCACGGATTCCTCACTCTGCTCGGCTACATGGCGCGAGAGGAGATAGAACACGCCAGAATGGCTCGCCCAAGTGCCTCAGGGGCCAATTCTGGGTGCAGCACAGCGCGCTTTCAATGCTGGCGATTCATGTGCAAGTTTCGCTCTTTTTGGTCCCCTCCCACTCCTTGCGGGGACTCCACTCAATGGATCGTCCATCGTTATTTCGTAGTGCAACAAACCGCGCGGCCACCACACTCAGCGCCGTGCCCGTCCCTCGCCTTAAATCTCATTCTTCCACCCCACTTTATCCGATATCCATTGCGGAAAGGTGTGATCGTCTCAACGTGCGCCCGCTGCTGATGTTCAACGCTTCTGTTTCCGGGTTGTCATTGATGCCTCTCTTTTTTATCTCGATACGGCACCATCGGCAGCGGCGGCCTCGTTAGGCGGTCATGAACGTTCTTAGGGACGAAAGCTTTTTTCCCTGATTTTACACCCTCTAATTCATATTGACGGCCTTTGTTGACGGTTGTAAAGGTGGCACTTGCTTAAGTTATGCCTGCAGGGAAACACCTGCACCGTTTATCGTCTTGCATATTCAAGTTCCCGACAGATGACAAGCTGCATTCATACCAGCCTTGCCATCGGTATGTAGGCAGTTTGCACCATGAACGGAAGTTTGCCGTCGCCCTTGGTGCGGAGTCGCTTCTCAAAGTGTCTTACTTCAACATGCCTAACAGAGAAGCAACTTCTCTAGTACAGAAGGCTGAGAAACTTGGTCGTCTTCTCACGCGTCCCCTTTCGGTGGATCGTTCCATTGAATGCCACTTTGGCCATCATCCGTAAAGATACCACTTAAAGAATCTGAGCCATTCGAAACCCGAAACAACTATTCGGGCTGGGTACACCGAATCATCCCTGCCTCTACCATGGCCGCTCACTCGCAGCGCCAAACGAGATGACGCAGGTGGCTTCGGTCCCTTGGGTTGCAACCTTTGCGCTTGTTCGTTCAGAGTCGCTTCGTATCCGCAATATACTATCTACGCCTCTATCGAATCAGCGCGGATACAGCTCCATGTGATGTGATTATATGAAGGCATATCCAGGCCGAAGATGTCTCCCTCGATCACAAACACGACAGGGACGGACCATCCATAGGAAAGAGCGGCGATGCACGCCCAAGATTTTCAACAACAGTCTACCCTAACTGGACCCCCATATATCCCATCTGCGGTTCGTTCATACCCGCATTCTGTGTAGGCCCTCATTGTCTCTCCTTCATAACCTATACTCACCTGCTTGAACCGGAGATCTGCAACCCCTTTTTTATAACAAGGGCATTCACTCAACCATCAATTCTGCATTATAAAGCCACCTCTGCCATCCGTGAAACACTCTTCGTGAGATAACCCGGATATATTCGACGGTCCGCGGAACCATGTTTGGACAGCACCTCCCCGCTTGCTCACAAACCATGCGGCTCAGCTGGCTCAGCTAATCTATTCTGCTGATCATGATTTTGGTAGTCATTGGATTCTTCGTAATTTCCCTTTACTACATCCTACATGAAAAACACTTGCTGACGTAACGAGCTGCGTGCTTTTCGCTTCCTGAGCGTCGAAGCACGCTGTCAACCTCCTGTAAGAAATGCACCTGATGTCGCCAGACTGGCGATGTGCACTCTCAATTGCGACTTGCAGGCGCACGTCCGAGTATTTCAAATAACGGCAAAGCCATTCGGAGTCCCCGGCCGGATTACTCAGCCCTTCCCTTCACTCGCCGCGCATGGGATCGGCATGCATACAACGCAAATCCTACCCTCACGAGACACTCAAATTCTGCTTGGTGTGAAGCCACACGCGATGCCGAACTTGAGTGGGAAATGATGCGTTTGTGCATGGGTACGCTTGATTTAGTGCTGAACGCGCAAATATGAGTATCCCTTCGTTTGAGTAATTGGCGTGGAGCTGAAGTGTTGATGGGATCAAGGTGTCTACTTTCAGCGAGTCCACCCACCATCGTTCTCAGCTCTGCAAGAATTAACGTTCATGGACGTAATTTGACACTAGTATTGTACTCTTGCTTCTATTGGCGTCTCTTGGCTATTTCGGAATTTTTCCCTTTTTTGAGTTTTCCTCCGCGATATACCCTTCATGAGCCCATCGCAATAACTCCCCAATCAAGCACGCCTCAGCATGCAGCATTCTGTAGGCAAATCACGAAAATATGCACCCACCTAAAAACGGTGGCCTGCTCATTCGTGCCAGGACGCGTGGGGTTGCGATGATGATGATGATTAGCACGTTCTGCATAATCACAGCCACCCCCACGCCGAATTCGAAGCCCAGACTCGTGTTCGATATATACTCCTCCCCGATCGTATAGCCCAGCCCTTACCAGATCCCCCCTAAAGTGCGATTTGGTGGTGGTTGCTTATCATCAAGCGAGTGCGTGGCCGGTACTTTGTTCCGGAATTTGTGTCACGCGCAGCGCTCGTCATCAGTCATGGGATGCGACTGAACAAGGCATCTGCTCTGGATGATCATTCAGCGCATTATAACTACTGTAGCTGTTCTAGTTTCTCCCTTTAATGGGGACAGACCACGAGTTCCATTGCGTCATTGTGCTCCCTTGCTCAATCGGTTTCTTGACCCTTGCAGTGCCAAAATCCCAACTCTCACCGCTGAGGTCAATCACTAAAAAATTTCCACCAGTCTGGATCTCTCACCCGGCGGGTCAGAGGGAAACTGAGTCTCATGCACTCAGAAAATTTTACTCTTCATTCACTCCGGTTTTTTCAATCTATGAAGCCCCCAGGAGTGATCATTGCTTCCTAGTGAATTTCATCCCCGATATCACAAATTCTCGTTTAATTGGCCTGTCATCTCAGTTATTTGCCCGGCCCGTCTCAGCTTTACCATGCTGCGATTATGATTATGGTGCCTTCTCTTTCTACAAACCATGTACAAACCATGGCGATAAAGTGCCACGCTGCTCTCCAGAATGACCAACCTATTTCCGCACTTCATAGGTAGAAATACGAAAAGCCTCCTCATACACACCGATTGCAGGAAATGTTGTGGCGCATGATCTTCATCGTCGGCCAGCACCCTAAATGCACCCAACCCCCTTTTCGGCAAGATCTAGCCTCACCCGTGGCATGGGCGGTCACAGGTACATACAGCTCCGGTTGCCCACTATCTTTGTTTTACCCGACATGGGGATGACCGAGATTCCACCTCCGAATATGTGCCCGTCAGTGCCCTTCATGCCGCACGAGCCTGCCATCTGCCATCCCCCGATGGCGTCACGAAGGTTTTATGAAAGGCCGATCATTTCATACTCTGCGTCTATCATTATCTTTTTCATTTGAGCCCTGAATTCATTAAATTGACCGATGCATTCATGGTCTGTGCGCTTGTGGCATGATGCGAATTTGATCATGTGGCTATCTCCCACCGAGGGTTTACACGACACCCAGATACCTTGCCGCAGGATTGAATTCCAACAGCCCCCCAATCTTACCGTGATTATTACGATCTCTCCTTGGAGATCGGGAGATGGATTGTGATCGGCTCGCCTACTTAACCTTTCCAGCCCCTCACCATACCCTTCACCATACTTTGGCCAATCATTTGTCTTATCAGTGGAGACCCTCATTCCATAAATCTCTCGCCAACCTTGACTCCGTCTCACGAAATCGGACAGCTGACCATACCTGCAATGTTCTGGGCCATCGAGATCTCAAGCGAAGTGGTTGTGTGCCCAGAAATCACTATCGGTCCGGGTCCATGATGGGAGGCAACTTAAAGAAACAGTGGCTTGCTTTCTGACATGGTTCTGTGCGTACCTGGAAGAAATTCATGATTTTCTTTTATGTTGGTGAAAACTTAAACTGACAAAATCATCTTTCTTCTAATTTTCAGAGGCACCTTCCACTTTTCGATGGCCTATAGCCCCGATGATACATCAATGAAATCCTTTTCATCGTATCGACGGAGGTGCGTGTTCCGTGAAAATGTTCTCAGAGCCACGACGTTCATGCCTAGGCATGTTCAACTAGCCTAGGCCGTGCTCTCATGCATTCTCTTAGATAAAGTGACAGGGACTCGAACCTCTAGGTTATACCCTAATAATTGGCTAATATCTCGTTTTCCTTATGATTTTCCACACTAAATCTTCGGTCTGGGTGACGGACCACCTTCTTTGGGCCCACGCACACAGGAGGCACCAAGCGAGCTGTGTCAATACCTAAGGTTTCCAAATTCGATGCTGTTTTCGTTAACAAGCACTCCGTACTCCGAGCCCCACGCCCGTCGAAATTAGCAGAAAGTTCTAGATTTACCCCAATTCGACAGTCACACCTTGGTGATCCGGCTGATTTCCCAATTGCTTTCGGTACCGCCATAGTATGGCTGCAGGAGGCAGGCGTTAATTTACCCTGACCAGCTAGGCGCTTATGCCCAACGAGTTCGAGAAGCACCAGAATGTCTGCGGACCTTCAACAAGTACATGATGTTCTCCATCAGCAAGGTTCCTTCCCTGCACACGCGCCAGGTGGCTCCACATAGAAATCCCCTTGCATAGTGGATTCTCACCAGACTGGGATCCTCACCCCAAATAGCCATGCATTGCGTGTCTGATGGACACACACTGGAAACACATTCCTCTCACACACACTCCAACATTGAGCATTGCAGTCAACTCTGTACATACATGGACAACGTTGCCCTGTAATTATTACAAATATCTCAGCGATAACCAAATTCGAAAAGCGAATTCGCATGGCCTTTTACGGCTGTAGACTTATTTGGTTAGCACGAAAGGTCCCACGGTTCGGCATTTTTCATTGAATGTATCACCTAAATCGGGACATTAGAGGACCCCTGGAAACTTCGCGTTTTGTTAGAAATATCTTGAAAACGATGCCAAATAAAAAATCCTGTATATATCTCACGTGCATGCAAGAGACTCGGGATGAGGTTCACAACGACAACGCTCTCACTCATAGATTGCTAACAAAAAAGCCTGCTCACTCTGGACCAAATCGGTTACCCGAATCTCCAGGTAGCCCATTAGTCCAGAATAGATTTCGACAGCACCATTCAATCGGATACCCAGCCAAGGGAAGGAATGACGGCAGCTTCGTAGCGGGCTGCGTACTGAACTGAATCCCATATGGCGGGGAAGATAGGCCCTTGCCCGTTCGATAGCGGTATCAAGATCTCCTCATCAGAAAACGGCAACCAGACAGCACGTTTCAGTGCGTCAAGCAAGCATGTATTGCAATTTCTGTGTCCACACATGCACATGTGGCAGGTAATACAGCTATGTATGCGTAACTCCGAACTGAATCCGATTAGTCAATATTGGCTGATCTTGTCCAAAGCTTCAGGTCAAGATCCAGAGAAAAGAGGAACATGGAAAAGCATCCGGGCACCTTCAATAGATGAACATCAACAGGGCCAGCACGTACACCCAGCAGGAGAACGCGTGTTCCGCACATCGAGGAGGGCTCAAGGTAGCCGCATTCAGTCGATGTCAGCCTAGCACCGAGGGAATAAGGTAAGAAAGCAATCGATTCAAAAAAAGGCGGGATAGGGAAATTAGGAAGTAAGGGAAAGAACCCACACAAGTCTACAATCCGGCCTATCAGGATGAGGATATAACTTTCCATCCCTGCCTGTGGTTAGTAATCATGACGATTCAAAGAAACCCTTTGCAAGCAAGAAGCGTACAGTTAAGCACCAACGCGTGGCATGCGGCATCCCTAATTTCTACAACCTCCGTTGAATAAGTTAGCACGCAGACACCTATTTGAGGACCACCGTCTACCCAGCCGTCAATGGCGGTAGGAACTGAGCCTGACGCAAAGCCCCACGTTGACAATCGGTGGGGGTGGGGTGACGTCCGACCCAAACCATGAACTGATTCACTTCCTGTGGCTAAACAAAAGAATACAATCAGGACCTGGTCGATACAACAGCCCAAATGAGTGCAGCTCGAGTGATGTTCTTGATGTTTAGCGTGAATTGAGTTATGCGATTACCTCGAGAAGTCGCTGAGGGGCCCCTGCCGCGAGAGGCGCAAACAATCCCCCCACACCCACATTGTGCCCCCACCCTGAGATGGTGTACACTTCTTACAATAATAACCAGCGGCACTCGAAGCTGTATGCATTCTTACGCTTACGCAAATGATCGTGGTTCATCAGGTAAGACGATCAAATTAATCTAGCTACGAAGCATGTGCGGGACAAAGGAACTCGAGAAATGCTCGTCGCAAGAAGTACGCCAAAGTCCAATATTGCGAGGGAAGATGCTACACAACACGACATCCACAGGAACAATTCGATGTCCAGATGGAATGTGGCATTGCGCTATCATCAGCTTGCCACGGAGTCCGAGGCTTCGAGTTCCCAGAGCAAGTGGTACATAGGTTTCATCAGTCTACCCAGGGTTGTGCGCTTCGGTATTCATCATGCAAACCAGAGCGCCTACGAGTGACATGAACGTTAATTCCAACTTCTTTCCATGTGCTTTGATCGCATCAATTTTATCCATTCGAAGAGAAAAGACCCATTTCCTCATTGGAAAGAAGTTGTGAAACTCCAGTGGGAACCTGAGCGACGAAGCCCATCCGGGGATATAAGCATCCCCTCAGTTGAGTGCTGGTGCATAGCCTTACATGCACAACAAGAAATGATGCTGATAGAAGTTTAGCCATAAAGCCAACCGGCGGTCTGTGAAAGCCGGGATACCATACCCGATCCCCAACTGAACTGAGGCTCCAAGCGGAGATGAAAGCCGAAGCGGTGCCAACCCGCTCGATAATCGTTCAAGTTTCCACGCGGGTATGTGTTCCGTCAAACAAGATGTTTTAGAATCAAATGAGTCAGAGAAGCAGACGCAAACAGCGTGAGTCGCCAGAATAAGAAGCGAGAACCCGACAACGACGCGACGCTACGGGTGCGGACAGTTAAGTTCACACTCGCCGAAAATGTCCAAGTTGGTGATTGATGGGATGGGGAGCTACCGCGGACCCCCAATTCTAAGCTGAACGCATTCAGCGGTCTACATAGGAAGAACAGAGCCGAACGTAATTCGGACTCACACGATTGGTGTTGAGCTGCGCGTGCTAATGCTATAGGATACCGTATGGTCGCGACAGAGTTTCACTGGGCGGCCCTTGTGCGGCATTGAACCGCCGTCCTGCCTTTCTAAAAGGGGCTTGGCTTGGGGTAGAACTTTCAAGAAAATCAGCCCACGGTATATCACCGGAAATTTACAACAAAATAGGGACGAAGGAGGAGTTGCCATCAACGCCCCCCCTGCATTCGAGTTACATACAACTACGGCAATGATTGGAGCGGGATTACGCAATCAAGGGATTGATCTACAAGGGCTGCAATCAACAATGCGAATATCAGTCTGAGCCGTTAGGATCGCTGTCCGAACGATAGAGAACAAATACAGAAAAAGGATTTGTCATGCTTCATTGACACTATCCCGAATTTGTGACCACAGATCGTGCAATTAGATATGCATTACGAAAGCTCAACCGGCAGCTTTGGTTGAATTGGAAGTTTTATTCCAATAGGTCAGGCAACCAATCTTTCGCTTTCGCCAGTGGCCAGGAAATGAGACAAAGCAGCGGATGATAGCTTACGAGAGAAAAGCTTCGAGCGCTGCACGATCGCCTCATCCCGCCGCCCAATCAGATGTGGGGTAATATTGTGGGGCCAGGGCTGGAACGGTGGAGCGATCTGCGGGATTCCATATTGAGATATTGTTCAAGCGTGACACGAACCAGGTGTGATCATCCTGGCAAGGCTCGAGGCATGGCGAGTCAGGGCAAGCGAGTTCCACCATGCAATTGGACCAGTGTCGTCATCAGCACTCGGCAAGACGTAAAAAACCTTCCGTCCGTCCTATGCCTAAAGTGAGCAAGGCGGCTCGCCGCCTGAAATGTTCTGATAAGGGCTGGGTATCCCGGGTTTGGGGTTGGTACAGTACCCCTGCTCTCGAACGCCACCCGCAGCGGCCGAACGGAAGAAACATCGAAGAAAGCAATATAGCTTGTTCTCAATTGCGAATTGCCCCAAGGGCTCAAGAACCCTGTGGAATCGGGCATGACTGGGTTGGGCAGTTGAGCCATCCGTTCTTTGTTGCCAGAGAGGGACGGCCAATCTTACACAGGACCCCCAACCCTGGAGTCGAGCTCCTAGTGGTGATTTGCCTCATCTCTCCATCGAGAAAAAATCGGAGCATACAGGTGCGGAAAATCCATCTTCGGATGACGGCAAGCCTGAGCCGAAGTTAGGGCGTATCCTCGCCTTCACCTGCGGCTACGCAAACACTTGGTGAGTAGGGTGAGGCGAGGCGGCCTCAGACGTATCCAGGGAGATAGGCTCAGATCGACTGAATGAGTCACCAAAAGCTGATCACCGATCTGATCAATATCACTCATGCATGCATGTCAGCTGGAGAGGATGAAGATACGTCGTCCGATTTGGCTGTTTCCTTATTGGTTGTCCTCAGTTTAAATAGAAGAACTAGCGCGGATTTTAGTGTGGAGAACACACCGACTTGCGCGATTGAGACAAATGCAGTACAGTGCAAGCACTCCAACGAAGCATCGCATAGTGGGATGTAATCGACGGAATGCGATTGTTGTCGCACCCAATCGCTCTTCCGTAGAGAGCTCGCTCCCTTCCCGTCTGTGTGTTCATGTCTAGCCAGGGATGATAAGTAAAAGGATCAAACCAAAGCAAGAAATTAACAATAAGTATAACTGAGAGAGATATCTCGTACCGTAAAATCGCCCGCATCAATGTATGACCCAACCTCCCCGCTATGTATGTAAAATGGACGATTTTGATGAACCCATGCAGGATCATGTGGCGGATATAAGGATCGTTTTCTGAGGTCTAGATCGGTCGTCCTCAGTCCCAGGGCCGCCCCGCCCGGGCCCATCAAGACCCAAAAATAATTTGTATGAGTTTGTGTCAGTGAACGGTTGCAAAACGGCGAACAATTCGACCCCGCCCCGACCCAGCGAATCGGTCTTCGAGCCGGAACCGTCTGCTTTTCTTCTTTGGAAATGCATGGCGGGTGAAAGCAGAGATTCTCTTCTGTGTCTGTCAGGAGGTTCGATAGATCTCGGCTGTACCGGTCAAGTCCAGACAGGGCCCCCGCAAAGAAAAACGGCACGGGGCGACTCCTTTTCATGAGACCGCTGCAGTGGTCATGCCTCGTGCTTAGCCTGCCCGATCCCTTGGGACGAATTCAATTCATCCAATAATATTCAGGGCAGTCAAGGTAGGCTGTCAGCAGCAACCAGGGGGTGGCCAAGGCAAGCGATGAAAATATGCATGTACATAAAAAAAAGAAACTTTGCAAGAAATCGAAAACTTGAAACGATTTTGGAGATCTCACCGCTGCAATTCACGAATCAGGTACGCGCGGTTGTGAGGACAATGTATACGTAACACTTGATGCTTGCTGGAGAAAACCCTTACACAAGCGGTGCACTTGTTGCAATTGCAGCTTTGGTTGAAAAGGAATCTCTGTCTCATTGCAATACATATGCGAGGTTAATCTGTAAACAGACCTTATGGTCAAAAATGTCGTCATGCAAAGAACCAGGAAGGACGAAATAGGTTATTGGTGGACAGAGTACGTGCAGAAGGATAAAAAATGATCTGGTTTCTCAACTTGCGCACGTTCTCCGCTACGAGATATCAGTCGAGCGGCTGACGCCGTCGGCTACAATATGCAAGTTCACCGCAGATCAAAACACGGGTTACATAACACCAAAACTGATGCTTTGCCATATTGCATTTGTATACCGCAAAAAGCAGGCCCAGGCGCGCTTGCCGTTTTTAGTTACTTTGGACCAAGACGGGGCCCTCCATCAACCCTAGCTCATATACAACCCCTGCACAAACGCATTTTTGCGTTGAGCTAAAAAAGATCGCGTAAATTGCTCTAGTGACACAACATATGGCCGCTATCCTGCACGGTAACTGGCTAAGCTGTTTAGCACTAGTATATCGCCCGTCCGGGTTAAAACGGAGCCATATAGAACTTACCCATAGGAATATTGAACGCGCGCTGGCGTTAATCATCTTACCGATATCGGTGAGATGGCTGGGGTGTCATGCCCGCCGATTGAACGATCAAAGAGGATCATGGCCAGCTTAAATTTATCGATATGAACCAACTAGTGTGTGTATGTACGTGCCTCCTTTTTTTTGTCGTTTACATACATAAACAGAACTAACGCTGGGATATGGTACGTGTACATATCAATCGCTATCGATATCGATCATCCATAAACTGGACTAAAACAGCGGTGAAAAACCTTGATGTATGCCATTTCTAGTTCTAGTTCCCACCTTTGTTTGCCCTCCTCATGTTGAACACGTGTTATCACCTGTCCAAGCCATGCCTGCTTCGCATGTAATTACCGAGCGTTATCACTCTCACTTACTCCTTTTTCCATGACATTACCCATCTAAAAACCGCAAGAATAGAATATCAAAGCTCTGTTATATTATGAGCTCTTTCCAATAACCAATGATGGAAGTGAAAAAGCTAAACACGGAATAATAAATCCGGGGATGTGGGCGTCAACACTCTGCGCTGTGTTCGCAATTGTCCATCAGCTCAGCCGACAATCAGCCTACATCCGAGCAAGAAAGACCCATGGCTCATATGAAGCACACCATAGAAACACGGGGATCTCGACAATGCAATAATATTTTGTCAGGCATCAACGTGTCCCATCTATCGATAATGAAGGGAGCAATAACCAACCACACTCAGCATGCAAACGGACAAAAAAATCCCATAGCCCAGGTCCACGGTCTGTGCGAACAATTCCCAATTTCGGGAAGCAAGTCGGATGCGTGGACCGGAGAAGGCCGAGCCCATGGTGTGGACTCGCTTTCCTTTTAAGGCTATCCACCGTCAGCAAAACCCGCTTGACCAAACCGGAAATGAGCCTTTTTTTAGCAGTCGTATTTTGAAAGGGAAACGATAAGTAAAACGAGGCTGCTTTTTATGGACGATTTGTTGTTGAGCTTGAATTAGTATGACTGTGCTGAAGTGCCGCTGGGTCCCGGCCTCCGACTTGCGATATGATTCTCCGAGGCTCGGTGACAATGTTGTGAAACACCGGTATAGAGGCGCACGAAGGGAACGGGATGAAATAAGAAAGGAAGATACTAATATATGGCGTGGAAAGCTCAGCTGGTCATAACATAGCTGGTACCGATTACGATTCAGTCAGTCGTGCAATAAGCAAGATAGGAGTGGGAGGTGGAATCAAGTGTTTTTCATGGGAGACCGGAAATTGCGTATGCGTATGCGTAGCGTGTGGTGAGAAATTGAGAATATAGTCGCCGTCTGCAAGTACAGTATACATGGTGGGATGGATGGGAATCGAAGTCTTCTTGTGGATCAAGAACGACGCCACCTCTAATCTGCGCGCGGGTGGCTGAGGATGGATGGATTTGAGATGCAAGATCGATTGCGAATACGCGCCAAGCCAGTTGACGTTGATACCGACGGGACCGACAACACCGCGCGCGTCCATGCATGAGAACTTTTATTATATACATACGTTAATACGTCATACGCGCCTGTGAAGGTCTCAGCTCAATGCAGCACCAGCTAATTCGCAGTAAGTGCGTAAACACGCGCAGGATACACGTCCCAGCCCCCCTGTTGCAATTTCGGTCTCACGGTTACATGGGTGCAGGATTCTTGAGAATCAACAAAGTTGTATTGGCCTGTTGATACCAACCACAAACAAGTCACCTAGCTACATGCATAGCGCTTGCTCGAACAACATCACCCCAACCATAACCCCATCTGATGCTCACTCTGATGGGAAATGGCTCCCTTAAGCCTGAAACGTGCACGTGCACAAGTATGTGCGCATATACGTCGTCCCGATTGAACAACACGCTTCAACGCCCGCGATCCGAGATAGCCCAAAGTTACGGTTCAATGTGAGAAGTCATACCCATACTTTACTTTTTTTCTTGCGATACTTTGATGGTCAATCACTACAGAACTAAGTATATGTATAAGTTTACCCCCCCCCCCCCCCCCCTGCTGCAGGGCGCGGCCACGCGTCTCATGCGTGGTTTTGCCCCCAACTTTCAATCCCAAGCATCGAGTCATGAGCAAGATATTCAAATCGTGCTTGCGCTAGCTACCCGACCGCTCCGTGCTTCCACTCCGGGTACCTCTATCGCCCAGGTGCTTGATAAATGATGCAAAGATACACATATTATCGATCATGATCAAGGGTCCGGATGTTCCTACTTCCGGAAGAGTCCGGTGCCTTGTACCCCCGGAAGTGTTGACTTGATCATTTTTGGCGCCATCGTCACAGCGTAAGCGTATGATCAACGCGCGTTTAGAAAGGTATCGGCTGTTGGTTGGTAACCATCATCTTTGTTTATTCCTCCAGAGCCATATTGCAAGCGGTATTATACAGCATAAGTCAAGGGTGAGAAATGAAAGAGGGAGGAAGCTGGTCAAGTCCGAATAGGGGCGGCTGCGGGGAAATACGATACGACCACACAACTGTACTGCAGGCCATAACGCCGGTACTAGTATACAATCGTTACCATCTAGAATTCCAAATTCCCCGCGTTATTAAATGCGCATGCAGAGGGGACTATGCATGTATCCAATCCAACAAGGGATCATGGGACGTGTATGCATGCATGCATATACCTATGGATACGTTGCGTTGCGCGATGTTGCCTGGGGGCCCCTGCCCGCGCCCTGCAATTTTTCGAATTCGTTTCGTGTGGAATGAATCATAGTACTCTGCAAGAAGCGGCGTTGCGAAACGATTTCGAGGGGCCGATTCTTGAAGCTCCCCAGCTAGCAGTTCCCGGGGCCCTTCGTCGATCGATCCCTTCTGGACAAACCATCAAGGGAGGGGGGGGGGGGCAAGTATTTGGAAATAAGAAGCAAAAGATGCATGCACGACGGACGCAAGTCGTCTATACAATGGACATGCTTCTCACCCTACACGACGTACGTGCCACAAGCTTATACAATATATCCTTTGTACCCCCAATCTTTGAACCGAGTTACGAGCTATGGTATGAGCTATGAGTAAGGAATAGTATACTTATGCAGGGAGTTTGCAAGGAAACATCTGTGACATTGTTCTAGGGGACTAGCATGAGCGATACTAGGGACGAATGAATGCGAACGGAATACCTCGAGGCCGGCGGAGCATAAACGGCAAAGTGGTACTTGCTGTTTTGCGTTTGTACATGCATGGGCCTAGGGGATCAGCCGAAACGGCCAGTCTAATTGTGAAAGGAGGACGTATAACACAGGATAAGTAACAAGTTTGCAACTAGCAGGAAGTATTTCATGTGAATATATGCACCTGACAATAAAGTTTGCCTCGTGTGAGCAGGGAGAGCTGACTTGATGGTCCAAGTACCAATACCCAGGGCCGTCTAATCGGGCGGCCCCCAGCTCGGTACAGCATTCTATCCATGTATGTGCATATGTACATGTGTTTGGATGAATTTGGAATCGTTATTTAGGGGATGGAGTGGAGAGAGATTTGAATTCTTTTCGTTATCTTTGAGCAGTCTTTATCGATCAAGCAAAGAATCAGAAAGAGGTAAAATTAAAAACCACTCTGGAACATTGTCATATCTTGATCTATGCGTGGAATATCAGTCCAGAGCTACATAAGCTAGATAGGTAGGGTCAAGATCGTTACTTAACTGACGTACGTTGGGTGACTCGCGTCGGCAGGGATCACCGGTGGATCAAAGCAATAAAAGGACTGCACAATATGAAAGCCGGTCTGCGTTGAGTTGGCATGATAGGCACTGATGTAGCGGGGTCAAGATTCTGATCAGATATCACGGTACGAGGCCGATTGGCCGACTAGCTCAGTAGTAGCTTGCTAGTTGAACTAGGCCTCGTGTTGCTTCGAGAGCACAGCCATGCTAGTGGCAAGTTTACACGTGCGTTTCTGGCGCCAATGCCAACACTTGACAACAACAACAAGCGGACGAACAGGAAGTGATGCGAGTCAGAAAGCTGCCCTGTTAACGCGCTAGCCAATTTGCTTTTACTTTTTGTTGCTGGGTCATCAACTGAACGCGCTTTCATCGTGTTGTTCCGAGTCGCGTTGACAGCTTGGCAGGTAAGTAAGGTTGCTATCACACAGGTTGAAGCACATTGCCCTTGTGTTGCACGCATGGGCATGTTCCATACTGTCATACCATTGCCATGAAAGCCAGCCCTGCATCAACTACCGTGAACCCGTATCACACGATGGCGTGTACCTATTGTTTGTGATGTACGCTCTGCATTTGAGCTAGCCAGTTCAAGCACTGTGCAACGCAACGCGCTTCCTCCCAATATTCTGTGACGTCCATATCTATACACGCATTATCACACAACTCATACGCGTGTCGTTTTCACGTCCATCCTCCTCGAAATCACACACACCCCTCCTCCTCTCACCTCTGGCCTCTGGCCTCTCACCCTCGCCCTCTACACCCTTGTACAAAACCAGAATTTGAAATGAACCCAATCTGTCCGCCTCAACCCATCTATCAAGCCAAAATTCCGTCCGCCCCAACCGTCCCGCGTACTCCGCAAAACAGAGATCCTTCCCTAAATTGGTAATGCGGCTCGTAAACCCTCTCTCTCCTAATCTGATAAACCGGGTAATTGCACTAGTACCAGTCCAAAATGTCGAGACCGTGGGATGGAACGTTTCACAGGGAAAGATTGGATGTGAAATTTTATTATTTTTTTTAAAAAAAAAGTGAGAATGATTTGGTCTATCGCGCAGGGGTTTCATGCAAACTCTGGCTCGGGCTCGGCGCGTGTGACCCCTCCCAGACCGATCACGAACTTTGACAGGCGTGTGCAAAAGTTAGCAAACCATACACGCACGTTCGCTCGGTAGGAAGGTGGAAGGGAGGGGGGAGGGCGAATCTTGTAATCGACCTGATCTAGAATGCAATATGGGCTTCTGACAATCATTGCAGGGGGAGCAGAGATGAGATTGAGGACGTTGAACGGGAGCAATTGTTTGATTGAATAGATAATTGGACGAAGGCGAAGTCGAGAAGCTCATCAGATAGGCGGCGATCACAGAGGAGGGGTGGGAGGGGGGGGACCGTATCGTTCATTTGCTGGAATAACCTGATGAGATCTGTAATATTACTTTCATGCACCTCACGTACCTGCGCGCGGTTGAGCTATTTGTGTTGCAATGGCTCGAAATCTGTGAATATATTCTTCGGTGGAAGATCGAATCGAATCGAATCGTATCAAAAACATGCTGACAGGCCCACACCTACAATCTCGTGTAGTATCACCAGCTAGTGCCATCAGTCCAATCGGGCAGCGATCAAGCCGAGGTAGGACGTAATAACGAGGTACGTCTGGAGGGAAGGAGCGAGCTGCCATAGGAGCAGTGAGGAACCACGGCGAAGAAGGACCATCCCATACGCATGCATACCCTTGGGGGAGAAGCAATGACATGAAAGAGCATATGATAGTTCAGAGAAAGTAGTTCATCGACGTTCGTGGATCAACATTCATTGTAGGATGCATGCAAAAAATTGTCAACCACAAGCGAAAGAGAATCACTACTAGTAGATGTCTCTCTTCTTCGATCGAATTTGGAATGTTGGTCTAAAGGCGCGATTGATTGATATAATTGCGCGGATGATCGATACTACAAGGCTACAAAGCGATACCGACGACCTCCTCCCCCCACTCTTATCGCGACCTACGGGTGTCTACGGGACGGGATGGGATGACGGACGAAGGAAGGGGGCGTCATACAATATTCATGTGTCAGCAACACACTTGAGATAGGGGCGTATGTGTCCGTGCGTGTGAATGAGGGTACAGTGTACCTGCCGGAGCGGCTGAAAAGATAGGTTCCCGGATCCGATTACAGGCTCTTATTTTCGGTTTACGTTTTGCGAGCACTGGATCGGGGGGTTGGGATTGGGGCAGGGCGGCGGAGGTCTCGACGCCGATAGACTAGGTTGGCCGACTCGGACTCCATGGCATCACTGAATTGTACATGAGTGTGGGTTATAGGGTGGGGGCGTGCATGGCGAATGGCAGGAAGAATAATCATGGTACTTTGGTTATTCTGACGCTGGCATGCAGCTGGCCGAACATTGTAACTATTTGGAGTGGGGACGGGGTTCGGACACATTTTTTGGTGCAAAATATTTTGGGTGTTCAACATGTTGTAGGGTTCTGTTTTCTTTTTTTCTTTTTCTTTCTGGTGAGACATGGGTGGGAGAGAGCTGAAGAAGGGAGAGTTGTTGGGTATGGGGGTGGAGGAGAGGGATGATTGGATCCGCGGATAAGATGTAGATATTAGATGTAGATTAGATACACGTCTAGAACTACCAAACTTTGCAAGAGTTCGTGTCTTCTGCGCATGAGAGTAGATATTGGGAGGGTTGGGGTTGAATGAGACATTACTGTTATTGATGAGAAGATGAGGGAAGATGGGAGGATTGGTAGGAAAGATGCTGTGGCTTAATACACCGGCCGGGTTGGGGGTTTGTGGTCCATGCTTCAGCTAGCTTTTCTTTTCTTTTCCTTTTTCTTGAGAATTGCCAACTCAGCCCGTTTCTACTAATATCACACCCAAAACCTCATTCCTTGCTTCGTTTTCTTTCGAACGTCCCCTTCATCTCATCTCATCTAGCCTCAGTACATTTTTGTTCACTCTCTTTGTTTTTAGCTCTTTTTTTTCTGAAGGGGGCGTTCTGGACCTAATTTAGACATTCCATTTTCTCTACATTTATTTCGCGGGATCAAAAAGACATTCATGAAAACGGAGGTCCAGAATCAAGTCATTTATTTTTTATTTCCCATCACCATTTATTTTATGTCCATTTATCTATTGGATTCGGTTACAATAAAATAATAATATTTTTAAAAAAGAGCGACTGAAACGGGTGAATTTGGTATTGAAATTGTGAATGGAAGATGAAATGAATGGGAATTGCCTTAGATGGGGATTACATATATAAATATAAATATAAATATAAATGTATTGTATCATATTGTAATGGTATTAAATTAGATAGATTTGAATGTAGGGAATGTATTGGAATTGAATCGGGATTGAGGGAGAGAGAGCGAATTGAGTTTTGTGATTGAATTGCAACTCTGTCTGTTTTCTCGCCAACGGTGCTTCAACTCGCTGTCAACATGAATATATAATAAGTAAACCACATATATAACCACTCCATACTTCACTCTCTCCTTCCTCCTCGTCCTCGACGTTTTACTCATCTCTCTGCTACTTACAACTACTACTGCTACCACCATCATCACTACCTACATCGACAATGTCACAGCAATACTCCAACGCTTCGGCTCCCTCTGCTGCTCACATCGTCCCCTTTCCATCGCTTGCTCATTCTCTATCCCACTTGCCACAAGCTACCTCGATACAGAATGTGCCTATCCATCATCAAGCGAAAGGCAGGAGTGCAGAGTCTGAAGAAAAGGTGATTAGTTATTCCACCTTCCTTTTCTTCTCGCGGGCAACGCTCGTTGTGCCAAAGGCCGTGCTCTTCCATCCTCACAACTTCACCTCTCATCTCTCTGTCCTTTCATACGACCTCCTGTGCCGAGGCCTTGTTGACTCGGTTATACCATGACTCGACGTACTCTTACTAACGCTCGCACCATTCACTTTCTTCCTTAATTTCCAACAGTTACGAAAAGCGATAGCAAGCGCTGCTTTGTCGCAAGGATTACCCGCTTCCTATTCTCCTCCATACGCCTCCAACTCTGCTCAAATACCTACTTCTGATACCTATCTTATGATGAGGAGGTCAGTCTCTCTTATCCTTACCTCTTAGTTCTTCGCTTTGGTCTGGTATCCATCCATCCCCCCCGCTTCTTTCGCGCCTCCCGGTTCCGTGTTGTCATCTGACGGGACGCGGCAGGGCAGTTCCTTCCGCTTGCCCCACCCAACCTATCATCCCTTCCCCGTCTCATTTCTTGTTTCTCCATGTCCCGTATCAAATCTTGCTGATACTGATTTCCTTCATTCTACTCAACAGCAGACGGTAAAGGGAAAAAGGCTAACGTGAATATGGATGGATCGCCGTCGTCGATGTCTGTTCCATCATTCCCTCCAATCAATCTATTCCTCCTCGTCTCTTCGCCTACTTCCTGATTTCTTCCTTCCTCGCCTCCATCTCTCGCCTACCCATCATCATCATCATCAGCAACAAGCAACGCGCAACACTCAACACTCTACAGGCACAGCATCCATCAAATCAAACGGGCGACCTTCCCAACCTCAATTCCATTTCGATCAACATACCTTACTTCTTTGGCCATACTAGCCCATCTTTTACAACAAGTCACATAACCTTTTCCCCATACCCCCTATAATCATTTCTCTGTACACACTTGCGCAACACGGGCTCCCGCTGCTCCTCACCGTTCCCTTGCTCCCATGCCTTCAGTCAATCAGACTGCGTTTATCCCCTTCGGTTCCCGATCCCCGGGCATCCGTTTCCAGTCGGAAGGGAAAGAGGCGGTGAAGGAGCATGGTTCTTCATGCTAGCGCGAGTGAAGGCATGAAGGAATTGTCCCAATTCTAACTAGCCCCTTAACTCCTTATTCCCCACTTCTTTCCCTTCCTCCATACAATATGACCCCCCACACACACACACATATCCAGACACCTCTCGTGTCAAACCCTTATCATTGATCATTTCATATGGGTGCACAATACCGCCAGGCCGCTATTTTTTTCCTCTTGCCCTATCAAATCATGTGCGATGTGTTGGTCCTGCCCGCGCGTCAAGTTGGTCTGATGAGTGTTGATAAGGGGTTTTTTGTGCTGTGACTGCTTGTTCTCTCTGTGTCTCCCTTTCAGCAGTTTGAAGTTGCCGGGCGGTGATCGGGATTAGGATTGGGTAATGGGGGGTCCCGCTGAGCCTGCGGTCAAACCACTGGGACTGGGACTGGGACTCGTGGCCAATTGGGACTAGAGGGAATTGGGGATTTTCGTGGACGGCCTTCGTCAACTTTTCGCCGGCTTTGCTCTTTCACCGTCTTGCTTTCGATCTGTCTGATTCTGGGACATGCTCCTTATCCTCGCTCCATTCAACAGAGGCCCGAAACTTGCGTCTCTTTCGACTTTGCCCACTTTGTATCCATCTTCGTTTTGGGCGCTTCGTTCTTGCTTTCCACTTGTCGTCGTCGTCGTCGTCATCGTCGGCCCGACCGACCAATTCACAACAACAACAACAAAAAAGGATAACCCTGGGTGGGGTTTTCTCCCTCTGTTCCTGCCGTCAATCATTAATCTCTAATTTAGCACACTTTCCTCTTGTTACAATGTTCCCTTTTTTTTCGTTGTCACCATAGACTTGCGTTCCCCCTTTCTTCCATCTTTCCTCCCAGCACCTCTCGAGTCTTGCTCTTGTCTCCTTTACTCGACAGACAAGAACTTTCCTCTGTTCTTTCTTCGTTGTCACTATAGATCTGCGTTTTTCTTTCTTCCCGCCTTTCCTTCCGGCACCTCTCTCGAGTCTTGCTCTTCTTACTCGACAGACAAGCTCGAATGAAATCGACTTCGTGTGTGTTTTTCACTTTTCGCTCGTTCGCGTTCGCGACCAATTTGGTTCGACAAGTAATCATTCATCACGGCTGGGTCGTGGAGATTCTTCCGTCTCTTTTAACATCGCCGAACTCAACTTTTCGAACCAATCGAAACCCAAATCCCATACCAACACGTTGCACATACTCGTAACTACGCACGCACTCATCAAGAACAACCACCATCACCAATTTTTTTTTTTTGGCCGTGTCATTGCTTTGATGCATGCATGGGCTACTAAGTAGAATCATCATCTCTTTAAACCCAAACCAAAGTCCAAATTATCAAACTTAAAACAAGAATTTTTCGTTTAATCTTTTGTTCTTTTTCTTCCCCTTGGTGTTGTTGACGTTCTGTCTTGCAACTACAGTAGTATACCTTGACATCTTTTTTTCTTTTGGTTTTTTTTTTTGCTGCTGCTGCTTTGTTGTGGTATATAGTTAGTTCTGCTTTTGCTTTGCTTTGCTTGTGCTTTTTTTTTTGGTGCTTTGTTTGCTCTCTGTCTCGTCTGATGTTTTTGGGGAATTTGTTGAAGATGCACAATTGGTGTCGTTTGGCAGTTTTGTTATGTGAAAAGCGAGGCTGATTACAGTTGGTGAAATAAAATGATTTTTTTTCTCTCTTCCCAAGACTGTCTGTCGCCTTTGAGTGAGTTAAAGAAAGGACGAACAAGAGCAGGAAAGGAAGAGACGCGAACCAATTGGAAAGGCGGAAAGAAGGATTGCTACCGATGTTTTATAGGGTCCATTCGTCGTTTTCCCTTGCTTTGTGTAATTCGAGGACAGGATGGACTAAGATGCAACCGCGCGCTCCATGCAAAGTGATCGCCTGGCTTCCTGTGCACAGTATATGTCATGATCATGATCATGACTTGACACGCAAGTATGCAAGTATATACGGCGGTGGTGCGGCTTGCATGGGCCCGCGGTGCCCTACACATGCATGCCCGCATTGCATGCATGGCCCCGACGACGCGTTTGCACGGATCTGAACGCGTTCGTTCCTATCAGCTCTTGATCCGATCCGGAGTACCCAGGCCAATCATGCATTCGACACGCTGCTTGGTTGACAGATCACCCCACCTCTATCTTAGCATTTCGATCCACCCTGCCTAACGACTTTGCCCACCCCCACCCAGTCCTAGCCCTTGGAGCGTACAGTTACCTTACTTGGATAGTTTAGATCTATCTAATGAGATCTTGGTCGGTTGGGGATGGTGAGGGGGGGTGATCTCCCTCTCTCGTTCTCGTCCCCACTGATAGCGAGCACTGCATGACGAACATCATTAAACTTGGAGTGGTCTAGCCCCCTCCCCCCCGGGAACGTTCTGCTCTGTGTGCAAGGAGCACGCATGGATGGTGTATGACAAATATTTGTGACGGGGCATATGGCGTTACTTGGCGGCCGCGCCGGTTAGTGATAACACAAACACCCCGAATTCGTACGATGACGCATGACTTGGATCTCGTTTCACTCTTAGCGGCCCTCTGCCGTTATCATGTCGACGACATGGGTTGCACGCATATCGACACCAGTAGAATGTTAATTAACCAAGCATGTCCAATATATGCATGCACATGATGTAGCGCGTCAGGGAAAAAAATCCAGGTTTCCCCTCCTTCTCAGGCCGGCTCGCTCGGGAAGCTCCCTCGACTCTTATCACCCTATCGAAAATCATCCCGGGCGCAGGGGCTTGTCCTTGTGTGCGAAACGGCATGATACTAGTTAGGGGTTATCATACAATTTGTTTTCCTGTTTTGTTTCTCGCTCGCCCTCGCTAAACTCGAATCTCAAATTATAGACCATAACTACGAATATAACTACAGCTAGTGTATAACGTACTGAGCTACCTCAGTATGGTTAGAATGCAACGCGGAGATCCCCTTCGCCATCGACTTGTTTTACTACCGGCTATAATATTGTAATAGTCGAGGATAAAGGATGGGTGTGTGGAAGGGGGCGGAGATCCTAGCGACCCAACGGGGAATAAGTATTCTGACATGGCCAAGTTGTCATGTATAAATCACCCCTTGCAGACGGAGGCGGAGGCGGAGGCGGAGGCGGAGGGAATGGGGTCGGAGGGCCGTAGCACATACCCTCCCATCGTACACGGAGGGGAGTGATTCGGGATTCACATATGAAATGGAAATCATTCTATATAGTCCCATCCGTCGTTCGTAGAGTTGCAATAGCGGTTCTGGGACTTGGCGCATCATATACATATGGACCGCCTTTTCCTTTTTTTTTTTTCCCCCGTTCCATCGTCATGGGAGCTGGTACTCCCATGTATATGTCCGTGCTACTTACTAGCCCATTGGATCGGTCTTGGCGAATGTTCGGTCAACAAACGGCGACGGGCATTCTGTTTCGAACGGTTGGACCTGGCTGTGAAAATTCTATTGAAAGCTTCTCATCGAACGTGCCAGGCCCCACGCATGCCACCACATGCGGTGCCTGGAAACATTCTGTGAAATGTGTCGGTACACGGGTCTGCACAGCATATGCGTCTGTGCGTCCGTGGCACGATTAATCAACATGGTCGACGATGATGATAAGTTAACGTACATTCGTCACCAATCATTCGTACTACGTCTAGTTTCGGATCCACTTGCTTGCCTCTGGCTGCGAATACACTGTCCCCAACCCAGCGCCTGGTAGGCGGGACATCAGTGCCCGGCCTCAAGGTAGAGTGCATAGGTCCTATCTGTGCTACGCTATTGGAAGAGTACGAACCCAATTTTGCGTTCACATCGAACGGCAGGCTGTTCTGTTTCAGCACCTGGGGGCGCTGACATCCTCAATTTATCAGGGGACTAACCAAGAGTACAGTAACCAGGAACTGAGGAAGCCAGCTACAGCTCCACTGCACCGCCTTGCTAAGCTAGCCCAGCGATGTAATATGGGCCGACCTAGGTTTAATACACCTGACTCGTTTGCCGGTTTCTTCTCGCGCACCAGTGGATCTTTGAACTGATCGTGTTTACACGCGTATACCACCATGACAAGCGCCACTTTAAGAAACTAGAACATGAATGAAGTTGGAGACGCTATCAGCACCCCACCACCTAGGCACGCCACTAGCTCTGCTAGCTGCCATACAAATATCCTGTGTCTTTCAACCTCCGGCTCAACGTCATGGCTAGCTCTACTTCGCCTAGCCTGAAACTTGCAGTTCATCTGCCTGAGTGTTCACGCATTGGTGGGGAACGAACACAATGCAATCACGTTATCTGAAATCTAATCATAACCCCAAATCGTAACGACGACAGCACGAGTCCAGATTCCGCCAAACCCGAACATGCAAGAGGCAATTCTCTTTTAATTTTCGTGCCACTTCCCAATCACGGCCGAATCATAGACCTAATAGCTTCCTGCTCTTCTTTCAACATAATCTAACACGTACACATGGAGACTTTTGCTATTGCCCCAAACGGCATTCAAATAGGGGACACCTCTTTAGGATACGAATGAGTACAAGCTAATTAAGGTTAGGCAACCCCATTGCTTTTTCAGAAGGTCTAGTCCATCTTGTGGGCCCGCCAGGGATACCATAGACAAATATGGTACTAACAGTGAAGTGATCCGCAATAGTGTGGTTGGCAAATTTTGCGCGCGACGACTATGTAGACACTCAGGTACGGCTGTATCATTGTGTGAATTCCATGATCAGCAGGGCGAGCCCATGTCAATATCGAGGCTCATCAGTGTAATAACGTACACGTAATGAAGTTGCGTTTGAGGGATGAAGCGCACCATATCAGAATCGGTATCGGAGCCAATGATACGAGATCATTGCTCACAGCAGCAGCAGCAGTTTAATTGTGGGTTTCACTCTAGTTGCCAGCGAGTCAGATGGTGTAGCATCATCTTTCACAGCAGGATCCAAGACGAGGGACGAAGGCGGGAGCATGAACACACAGTGGGCACAGCAGCCTTAGCAGGCTTCGCAGAGTATTCTCACATCCCTTTGAGGCAATGCCTTGGAAGGGAATCGTTGTGTCCAGAACGTTCGATGCGTTCCTTAATTCAGGATACACGAAGTCTTGCGGGACAGAACCGGTTGGTCGAGGGGGGAACTCGGCACAAACTAATAGCCGCATATTGGCTAAACGTGTGGTGCAGTCGAAATGCGGGAATGAAGCAAACATTATTGTCAGAGCGAACGTAATGATTGGCCTCTAAATCTGTGCAGAATGGTGGATTGGAGTTGACCAACCGTTTATTACGTTATTGTGGCTTGAGAGACCTATTTGTGCAGAAAAAGGTCGGAGAGAAGGTCTCCATGTCAAGACGCAAGGCAGCCAACGGGACATCGAAGAAATCGAATGGCACCAGTCATGAAGTTGTGACGTTACAGTAATGATTTTGCACTTACGGAATGCAATTGACCAACCTAATACCTATTCAAGCCATAGGAGCGCCGTAAGCAGTTCGCGGAACATACACCATCCCCGATGTTTTGACAAGCTCAGCGAGGAGTTTCAGCAAGAAAATTGCCATGCACATCGCTTGAATGCAGAGAATAAGTACAGCAGAAAGTGTCCGGAGCAAACACTTCTGCTTCAAAATTGGGTAGTGTTGGAATCTGAAGCAGCTGAGAAACCATGGGTCAACCCTGTGAGGTGCTTTTGGTCCTAAAATAAGGACGAGGTGCGGAAAGAGAGCGATACTCTCTATGAACGAATGGTTCGGAAACTTGTAAGATTCGGCCTGCCCTATGCCGAACGGCTCCGTGTTCAGGACAGAGTGTTCCAGAAACACAACGGATATGTGCATATGTTAGGCAGCGAGACGAATTTCAAGGTGGTATTATACGTATGATGCGGGATTTTGACGCGCGGTCAGCTCAAAACATCGGAAGTTTCCGTAGGCACCTTCGCCCTACAAGATCACTGAGTGTCACCGATTGGGATGTTGGCGAAGCAGCGGCAAAAACGATCGTGCGAGAAACCGAGACGTGAGGAAATGGGGACGATTTGCCGGCTGTACTCCATTACCGGTGTTTTCCAATTATTTTCGGTTTGGAAAACAGTAACGGGGTCTTCCACATCGAATGTTGCACGTATTCTAAGGTGGTACCATGGAAGAGTGCGGGTGGGTGATTTGCTGAAGTGTTGCAAATGCGGGGGGAAACAGGAAAGGTGCCCACGAGCGAAAAGTTGCCTTAGGATCAGACAAAGAAGGATCAAGCCTGACAAGAGTCACAGTTACAGTAGCGAAGAAATAATGCGTAAAGCACACAGGGACGCAAACTGCAATTTCAACTGCACAGACGAACGGATGAAGGTACTGACGGGAGGTCAAGTGGTGATTGGATAATGCAAGCATATGGTGTGCAAATCAGCGTCATAATGATGTAAGAGATCAGGTTGGGTTTCTGGACCTCCCCATCAATGCCAAATCAAAAAGGTTGACAAGGTGACGTCTGGTAAGGTGCATGATGCTTGACAAAATCACGTTGACCCAAAGATAACGGCAGTCCAAGTGGTCTGGTCTGCATGAGTACTGGACCAATACTGGTAAGGATGAATAAGGTGGTATTTGTCTGAACAAGATCGATTTTCGCATATTGATGTAGAATAAATACGGGCCTCATGACCAGAGACATTCCCCTGATGTAGGGATCTGTGGCGAAGGTCCCCGAGCACACAGTTATTTATCATGTTTGGCCGTTATCAGGAAATTGAGCGAACGAATCTGGCTACATGACGTAATGCCACCTCCCATGCCATCTTTGCGATGCCTGGGTTGAAAGTGAACCATACCTGTGGATATGGCAGAAGTTGGCCAGAAGCGTGGGCTTAGGAGCACTCCCCAGTGAGAATGGAAAATCAACGTTGAATAGTCAAATCAAATGTTTGACAGTTTGACGACGTGGAAAGAGGAAATCGGCGCGATATGACTTGTCACATGTACTTACAAGTCATAATTGTAGCATCACGTGCCTTTAGTTAGGTATTATTATATCACTTCAAGACAAGAAATTTTCGCGCGCTTCGTGGAAGACTGGCAACACATAGTTGGCCCAAAGTCAGGAGAGGGTCGAGATCACAGAAAGTGTTGATTCACAAAGACGTACAACAGGGTGAGTCGACGGAACAAAGGTTTCATTGATAAGATCAGGAAGGCAAATTTAACAGGGGCCCAGACTTTGCTCTGATCGCCATAAAATACCAACCAATGAGAGAATTTAACGAGAAAATGAAATTCGATAAACGAGTCGAGAATCATATAAGCAATTCTAGGTCATAGCTAACGGCAAAAGTGGTCTTTTGTCAAGTTTGTGTTTAGGAAGTTAACGCCGGACGGAAGGATCGCGGCGAATCGCGGCGGTTTTGGATTGTGCTCGACAACCATCTAAAATCGAACATAAGTGGCACAGAAATATCATACCACATTACGGCTTTCGTGAGTCATCATGCCTGACTACAGCTACATATATTCGGTTCGCTGTCTCTATTGGCTTCGACTCACCCTCGGCAGAGGAGCCACCAGGCTATACTCAATGCTTATTGTAGTAGAAAGAGCGCGCATCATCTGGAACCTAAGGTGTAAACGCCGATACGACGAAAACCACACCCCCCCTCGAGTAGAGAGGCCAGAAAAAGGGCTATCCCAGAGAGAATCGTACTGCACACTTGGAGCGGTATAGTGGAGGGCGAGAATGCCCTCCCGGGGAACTGGCTGAAAAGCACCGGGGATTGTAGTGGGTATTCCCGATCCCCCATATCGGACGAGTCCCACACGTGCCGTGCGTAAACGCATTTCCTCGCTGGTGCAGTCCCTACCCAACACTTAAATTGACCGCCCGGAGGCCACCGTCGCCCCCGACCCTAACCCACCCATGAACACACGCGACTAAGCGTGAGGGCGGGTTCCACCAAAAAAAAAAAAGAAAAAAAGAAATTGTAGCGTGATACTAGGCTGAAAGGTGCAGAACGACTGGCGAAGCAGAACGTGGTGAGGAGTGCTAGCATGCTCTCCTTCCTGCTCCAAGGAAACAAATGCACAGCAGGGCACCAGAAGCAGCGGGGGCTCGGCAGTAGGTGCGACAGATCTAGACGTATGAGCCAATTTCGTCCGGAAAGGGGTTGCAGGGACTCGGGCGACTCATTCACACCTCAGACGGCAGCTGCGTCTCGGGTTTCTTAAGCAATGAAAGGAAATGATGCAAAAGCAGCATCCTGTATGGATTTTCTGTTTGGAAACCTCTGAACACGTTCCGCATATGCGATTATGTGGAGCGAATCCGAGAAGCCAGCATGAATTCCTGCAATAATGAATGGGTTTGATGGGAACGACAAACTCTGCAAATGGACTAGCCTCGACGTCGTAGCACAGGCCTAGCCAATGTGCAGTCACCCTGGTGAGAAGTAGCCTTTGGAACCGGGCAGCCGGAGGTTTCAACCTGGCCGAACGGAGTTAATGGAGGATTGAGCACATAAGGAAGTCAAGGAAGCCGGATTAGATAGGCCAAGATTTGTTTTCCTGAACTAGGAGCAAGTGCTGCCTATGATCTTCCACAATATTTCGTGCACTGAATCTGTCGTCGTGAGATATTTGGATAAAATCCAATGAGGTTCGCGCGACAATCAACCCCCTAGGGCCGAGTGCAGGGCCACACCAAGGGCATCTCTCGGTCATGTCTATGGTGCGGGATACAGGGCGAGCGATTATCCAGAAGCTATCCATCAATTTGGACAGGGGACAAAGGGACAACCACGAACATGGTTATGCAGAAGATAAGATAAAATGCACGTCACAGCACTATACGGCGTAAATTATCAGATCATTTTTGACATGCAGTTTGGTGTCAAATTCCCGAGTGCCGTTTTTGTATCGAACTCCAGGGACAATCCTTCTGGTATTTATCGGATGCTCGTCGCGAACTGAGACCAGTACCAAGAGATATCAATAGGAATATTGCTACAACCCTTAAAGTTGTATTAACGCGTGAAGGGGATCTTGTTCAGTTCATGCGCGTGAACGATCCTCCGGTAGAGGCACTAGACACAGCCCAACGCAGTAGGTGATGGAAATTTTCCCATGTTTAGGTACCTTATCGTCAGGTGCTGGTGATTAAGGAAGCGGCACAAGCCTATTCAGGTGCGCGGTGCAATTGAACACTGAATAGCAGTAGATGCAAAACGTCTATCGGCTAGAGTCCCCACCTCATTTGGCAGTATCCGAAACATAGGAGAGCCAATGGAGGCATGATGATGGAAGCCGTAACAGGCCGATGTGAGGCAAGGCTCAGTCACAGGAGCCGTTTTTGAGCATGTAAAGCGCGTGATTGTCTGCCAGCCGGATATACTTCATGCTCGCGTACCCCTCATGAAGACTTCTGAGAAGAATCCAGTGTAATTAATGGAACCATGCCAGTGGTACTCCCAATAAATCGGCTCTTCTGCTATGGGAAAATACAGTTTTTACCTCAATGGTGGGTATGTGGTTCGACAGCTTCTTGAGATTTATACAGAAGTCAGAGACGACCGAGATGGACCGAACGTTCCACGCAGCTGGACAAAAGCAAGATTTCCCAGGATCATGACGCAACTAGTACTACCAAGGTACAAAGTTCGGTCGTAGGTGCGATCGTGGCGACGGAACGGTGCTCCACACATGGAGGCATGGGCGCGGGAAAATTAAAAACCTCCAAGGTTAAAGAGCTTCTCCAGAAGGCCCAGCCAGTAACGTATACAGAAATGCACCAGGATTTTGAGTCTACTCGTGAGAGAACGCCATGGCCTGGATTGCACGGTCACGGATGCAATCTGCAGACACTGGCCATGACCGCTGAGTTGTGGAGATCATCAACGACCACATGTTGGAAATGTGAAATAAATAACCCAGCGTCATAGACAGCTGTAACAGATGATCAAGGAACGTGTATCCTGGAGAGAGCTTCTCGCACTGTCCAATTTTGCGTAGTGAGGGACTATGCTGCAACTTGCCAACTCCGAACGTACACGATTCGCAATGAGGGGAGAGAATGAGCTTATGGGAGTGGTACTAGGTTTCAACTATTTTTCGGGATGACGCGATCGCGCGGTGGCGACGCCTGAATCAGATGCTTCAAGGAGACATGGGAAGCGCCATCGAAATCGTGCGCTCCTTACTGAGCACGGGACTCCGCTAGCGCACGCGTTCGCGAGTTCTCTCTGGAAAAGGGTGGTACTATATGGGAAGTTCACCAGGCTGACTGTCACCAGAGCCAGCTTCCTGCATTACGCAGTCCGAGCCATTACATTATTACCGCAGCCGAGGTCACAATACAGGAGATGAACTACTCAATTTCCAGCGGGGCTGCGCCATCAAATGGGGTAGGGCACTTGTCGCACGTTCGAAAATAGACTTGACAAGCTCAGTGCACCGCGGCGCCAGCGTTTTTTCGCACGAAGCAGATCCGAGCAATAAACTATTCGTGACGGCAAGTGGTCAAGTGCCGAGAAGTTGGAAAGAATGCCAGTCCGCCATTTGTGTCAAGTCTCCTGCGGGCCCGGAGAGGGAATATTGCGAAATGAACGGGAAGCTGGCATTTCAATGGAACCAAGATGCGCCAGAAAGAGAGATTAGGAAAATAGTGTGAACCGTCGTCTTCTGGAAACGGAGGATCATCAATCATGAGAGTTCGAAGGTTAGAGCTTCGTTTTGCGCTGTTGGCATCCCAGATACGTAAATTTCGGGTTTTGAATCAAAAGTTCCAGACTTTAAGGTTCAGAATGATGAGGAAATAAGAAAGGTAGTGGAGAAAGATTCAATGGTAGGCAGTATTCCAGCCTCTGTACCTGCGGAATCCCATCTGCAGAATCGATGTAGAGGATCATTCCCCTAAGAGGTGCCCTTCCAGTTAAGTGACGACTCCCGCAGTAAAGAGCCCGTGTGTGGGACAAACCGGAAATGAGACTGTACGCAGACAGCAATGTTTCCGAGGGTAGGACTTCGAACGGCAGCAAAAGTTGAACAGACTGTGATTATTCAGGTTTGCGGAGAAGGGGGGAATCTAAGCCTCATGACACACAGACGCTCTTGCATTGTTGCATGTGGCTCCGACTTTTATGGGAAAAGCGTGAGCGATGCCAACGCATGCGCACAGGGCTGGGCGTGTCTCGTGGGGTGGGCACATTAGCTACGGGCCGGGCGAAACGGTTGCCTGGACGGAAGCTGGAAGCAAGTCAGGCATTCTTATCGGGCATCATATGCCTACCCGATGCTCGAGAAGGTTACAAGCTCGAGAAAAACTACACTCAAGGGCTCGACTGTGTCAGCTGACACCTTCAACTGACATTTTTCGGGAGAGTACGTACGTACGTACTGCCTGGAGCAAAAAGCATCCCTTCAGCCTTGCAAAATCCTGTTGTTGTTGTTGTTGTTTATTCTGGATATTTAACCTGCAGACTGTAGGCTGCTCGTGAGAGCGCCAAGGGCAGGGGTCGAGATAAATAAGGTGAGAAAATAAAATCTCTCTGATACAGTAAGGCGTTGCCCGAATGCTGCTCCACTTTTGAGTTGTCGTGTTGGGTTGAACGTTTTTGGGTGTCGATTTCGAAAATGGGATGGGTTCCGCCTTCCAGCGGTATCTCGGGGTGTGTCTTCTCTCTTTCTCGTATGCTCCACTTGAAGAATCCTGTCAACTACCATACCGACCATTACAAGCTGTTCCCTACCACCAAATGCCATGAGATGGGAAACCATTTTCACCTGCGCAAACCTTAGGCATTTTGGAGTTCGGCATCGCTGGGACTCCCTGCTATGGCTGCCCACAATATCACCGGGCACCTATAAATACAAGATGTTCCAGAACAAACTACACCCTCGCCCGAGTCCGCGTCCATTGATTGTCTATCTGCGCCCGTGTCCGTGCGGTCCCTATCGTAGAGATGATTAGCCGAATACAGGAGGTGCGTTCTGGTATTCACTACATGTCCATAGTGATTAGGTTGACGGTTTGCCTTCGTCGTTGCTTCGACTGCTGTCCTTAGTCAGCCTCAGAAGCTTATGCTTCTTATGTATTGGCGGTCTTGTGAATCTCGGTGCAGCCAATAAAAACAGCTGCATAGCCGATCCCATACTCTAGTGGACTTCCACGTCCCCACCGACGATCGATTGCAATGCTCAATTATTCGGCGTGTCAGAGGTCCCAAATGAAGGAGCAGATGGAAAATATGCTGCATCGGTTCACGGTAGTGGTGCTACACGGCGTATCTGACCTTGCTAGGCCACAGAGCTGCGAGGGAACCTACGAAGGAACGAGCCGTAGCCCATGGTGCAGGGATCGTATTGTAGCAAGGAATGTTGCACAAAATATGTCGTATGTGGGAGATACACTGTGCAGACGAAACTTACTAGTCCTCTTCGCACAAATGGACAGCAAGAGGATTGCAGCAGGTGACCCATTGCCCGATCACAAGGCTGAGCTCTGTCATGCACCAAATTGAGATGACAATGCATCTGTACTTGTTGCTTTAATGTGGCAGAGGAGTGGGATTGTTCCCAGCCATGCGACATCACCTCGACCAGCAAAGAGAAACAATGGTAACCAGGGCCAAATCCCTACTTGTGCATCGAACTGTGAAACGCAGATATTCGATACAAAGAAAGAATCAGACACGCGTTCTAATTGCGGGATTACAATTATGGTTAATTTTTTCTATCTTGTGTATTCACAGCTACAGAATCAAGGCGTTGTCATATATAAGCTACAATGACTTGAATGAGAATTCTATTCGTTCAGGGCCTTAGTCGTCGATGTCAACATCAAAAATGCAACCCTTCGATCCGTGGTTTTATCCGTTTTCCACACGCGATCGTACAAAATTAATGACTGCGGGGACAGCGGCAGCTATGAGCAATACTGAGCCATACAGAACAAAACTTAGCGACGCAATGGCCATAGTTTGGGGCTCTTGAATGAGGGAGGAAGCGCCGATAGCCCCGGAAGTCGTGCCCATCGCTAATCCAACACACAGAAAGTCATCTAGGTTAACAATATAGTGGGAACAATGGTCATATTGGGGCGAAAGCGTGGGAAACCAACCTTGGTTTACTCGGAGGATCTTGTAGAGCAATACGTCTTTCGTAACGACCGCTACAATACCCGTAACCACCACTAGGATAACGCACACGGATTCATCGCCTTTCAAGGCTTCGACCAGCTCAATCGCAAGGGGTGTTGACATGAACCGGGCAGCGAATGTGAGTGCTTGGGGGCTTGGGATGCCGATCTTGCCTGCAATGACTGGGAAGAAGAAAAAAGCGAGGGCGTTGCACGGGAGAATGACGAGTATCATCCGAACAAACTTTCAGAAACATTGTGAGCGGATCATCTGTGCTAGGAGTGGCGAGTCAGATGGGCAAGGACTTACGTAGCGCTTCAGTTCGTGTCGATAACGATACATGGGAATAGCAAGTGCGATGATGCCGACATCAAGCGTCGACTTCAGGATATCACCTGCCCCAGGGAGTGGCCCCGAGAATCCTGGATGCCAGACGGTTAGGTAGTTCGAACCAGACGAGTAGTCACGCAGCGCTGTGGACCTTTTTCAGTGCTGGAGCAAAAAGATCATACTTCGAGTACATACTTCGTCGGAGAGACCAGCCTCGGATAGCGCCAAGAGCCCACAGAGTGAATAGCGTCAAGATGCTGCAAACCAATATTGGGTGAGCACCATATTTCTTGATATGAGCGGGAACCATAATGACGGCGATCAAGTAGAACAAGATATTGAGTGAAAGAAAGAGAGGGAGTGCTACAAGCGGTGAAGCATGGCTCTTTACAGCGAAGAATATAGGAAGGGATATCAAGGCGATGCTTGCATAAATAGCAACGTTGAAGTATTGAACGAGACTTTTGGCAAGTGGTGAAAGTGTGCCTAAGTCATTAACTTGAGGTGGCGCGGAGAGTTTGGTAGGAGTTGAAGAAATGCGTGGGGGGATGGGCGAGTTTGTCCTTAACGCGACTGAGGGATCAGACGGAAGTGGCTCAGAAACCATAACGGTGTTCAGCGAACCACGCCTAGTGCCCAAGCGCAAGGCAACATTCACTGCAGGAGAAGGGGTTTCAATCTGTTCGGAGGTATTAACACGAGTAACATTGAGAGATCCTTGTCGGGTTACGTCGCTTGACTGCATCTCGATGTCCTCAGTACGGGATCGCTCGTGGCACAACGCGCGGAGCACGTCATATACTAGATCAAGCCCACGATAAAGGAAGACCGCGAAGATCTGAGACGCGACAAACCATCCAATGATCAAACCTATCTCCCTGGCAGGGAGCGCCGGCTCGCGAGCAGGGATGAGAATAAAGGCCGGAGTGAACATGACTACCCTGTGACGGCAAGTATTCAGCAAATTAACTGCATTGATCCCTCACGACTTACATGTGCCTCAGGCAAAACATGCAAGGCTTTCCCAAGACACGCATTACTGGATCAACGAAACGGCGTCGTTCTTCAATTAAAAAGCCCCCTCGATTAGTAGAGGCTTGGTCGTTCTGCGCGGCTGGTGCAAGAAGCCCTGCAAGCCGCAAGCGCTCCGCATCTTGTAATTCTTCGTCGTCCCGCTTTGCTTCCAGAGGGATAGGAATTGGAGAGGCGTGCTGGATGAGGGGGAGAGCCGGAGCCGTGAGGAGCTGCGTACTAGAAACCACTATGGCGTGGATTGAATTCCGCTTGTGTCTGGGAAGCGTAAGAGACGAAGCAGCCTCTTTGGACATGATACACAACAAGCCTGACTCCCTCGACTTGAGGTTGTCTAACTGCCTAGGAGGAAGTGAAGCGGGAAACACGAGCGACAAGTAATCGAGAAGGAGAAGTATGGCGAAAAGGAACACCATACACGCTACTGGGGAAGGGAAGGGAAACGGGAAGCAGCTAGTTATAAGGAGATCGACTGCGAACGAGTAGGCGAGTAGAGACACCATCACGAAGGGGATGTGAACCCAAGAGAGAAACAGTGTGGTGCTCTGATATTTCCATGCCTTAATGTGGATGATGACGGAGACACGAAGCTTGATTAGACTCCCCGACGACACCAAGGATCAGAAATAGCTAACCGAAACAACAGCCGATTTCAAATTTCTCATTACCGATCCCGATGCGCGCGTAGATTGGCTCGAATACTTGGCTCGTGCTTGGACGAGATCAACGCGTCAACAGTAAAAACCAAAGAGGTGAGGGAGCGTTAAAGGTAGACGGTTTGGAAGGGAGCGAGGGTAGTTAAGAATGAAGCATGGCGTAGAGCTGCTTCTCTCATCGGTGTTGATAAAATTGATTCTCGGCACTTGGCACCCAAGACATGGTTTCGGGCATTCTAATAATCAAGACCAGCCGCATTTCAGGTACAGTATCAAGCACGTCCGCATCGAAGGAAGACGCTCACTGATAATTTCATCAAGCCAAGCTAGGGCCACAGAAATTAGAAGTCTTGGCGGCAAATTAGATCCCGTCAAAAAAGGTGCGACCAAATCCACTAAACTATTCGTTCTTGCACACATGAGATACTGTATATCGCAGAAGAGCACAAGAACATCCCTGCACTACAAACAGAATGAGATCGCAGCACAGACAAACAGAAAGGTAATGAATGAATGACAAGGTCCAAACCCAACAAATATGAATTCAATCGGAAAGAGCGGGAAAGCGGAAATAATTTACAACACACGCTCCTTCTCGCTCACGCAGCGGAGCCAAAGTTCCCCTGGGCGACTGCTGCCGCGCACCATGCGGAATATGGTCTTGCCTTTTGCGCTGGGCAGCTTCTTAACCACCACACCAGGTTTGGGCGCTACGAGTTGTGCGGTGTTGCCACACCGCGCCTGGAGATCCTCGAGACCTTCATTAGTACCTTCAGCTTCAATGAAGACGGTACCTTCCCAAGCCGCATCGATCGTAGGCGTACGACCATGGTACGTGCTATTTGGTTGGATAGGTAGAAGTGGTGTTTCGCTGCGGATTTGGAAGCTCGAGCGGTGAATCCAGCGAACGACATTATGTAAATGACCTTGTGGTCTGTGAATGAAATGGGGAAAAGGGAAAAAAATTGTGGTCGTAAGCTTTGGGAGAGATTTAACGCTCAAGTTCAACTCACGTCTCTGTTTGGACACGGCTTTGAATCAAAGCGATATTCATTGCTATCTCCTGCGAATAAGGTCGAATGTCGAGATAGCAGATCGGGTTGCCTGCAATCCGAAGAACCTTATGCCAATACGAGGGAGGGAAACAGAGTGAGTCGACGTATGGCGGCAACTCCCCGGTCAAAGAGTAGGAATAATCAAGATCCTGAAAAGAATGAATTTCTGTCAGGATACGGAAAAAAGCAGGAAAGAAATATTCGCACAATTAAGTACGCCCCATCCCAAATCAAGCGTCCTGGTGTGAGACATAATAAGTTCCCAGCAAGGCGAGAAAAAGAAACGCCACTTACCGACATTTCCCTCTTCACCGACGGCTACATCCCATACAACATCACCGGTCTTGAGCAAATGAACGATCCCGGCCTTACGAAGTTCCTCCTCGCATCGTATGACATTGTTATCTGATAACCAATTCCCTTCAGGCGAAGGTACAAAGACTCTCAGTAACGGTGCATGTCCAAGTCGATGTAACGGGGATCGAAAACGATGGTATCGCGCATCAAACGGTTGCTGCTGTTGTTGCGTTGAAGGGTCAACAAATGAATTTGCCACAGACCCGGCAGTGCTCGGTCGACGCTGATGATTTCTCGGAACTGACCGCGTGCTGGAAATGGAGCGACGCTTTCGGGGACGTGTGGTAGGCGGAAAAGCCTTTGCAGGAACTGGAGGAGGAATGGCGTCCATGCTTTCAAATCCTGAACGTCCAAGGGCTCCCATAAGCGCTCGTTCATGATGACTTTGATCGTAAATCAGCTGTTCGAGTTCGCCTTGCGCTCGTAGGCGCAGTACCAATTTCGTGTACGCTTGACACGAGTCCGCCATCAATCGGGCCAGTATGGTCACTTCCAACGCTCGTGAACCATCGTGTTGATCCAACAGAGAACGATCGGCGATCACAGGGAATTGATGAACTGGGATGTTAACACCGCGAAGATACGCATTGAGATCCTAGCATCATTAACGATCCCGTATGACGTTATATATTAGCTTTGAATAACCCGGGGGAGAAGACAGGATGATCGTACCCCCACACTGATGATGACAGGCTCCCGACGCTCAAACGTCCAAGTTCGATACCCAACTGATGATAAATACCGCAACAACACAAGCTCGCGCAGTTCATCCACCTCCTCAATGGCCCGGTACACTGCGCGAGAAACAGTCCATAAATTATAAAACGTCCGGAAATTCAAATAAGGGAGAAGGGGTGCCAAGAGATTAGGCAGCAATAAATGTTCCTCCAGTGGATAACGCGGTGGCTCTGGCTCTGGCTCTGGTACAGGTTCCGGTTCTGGCTCGACATCGGGTCCAAAATCTAGCCGGAATTTAGGCTGAGGTTCTAGTTCAAGGGCAGAAAATAAACTCTCGGCGGCAGAAGTTGACCCTGTTGTCATCGTGAGGACGTCTCTGTCCTTCGTCTTCTTATGATGCTTTGAACGACGCTTGCGTTCCTTCTGGCGTGGCTCTTCCTCCAATTCACCAGGCGTAACGTCATTGGGTGACACTCGATGGTCCATCTCCCTTTCTTTCTCCCTGCCCCGTTTTCGATGTTTATGTTTGGAAACGGGTTTGGGGGTCAATAATTCATCAATGTCGGGGATGTCATGATGACTGGGGATTGATGGGAATCGTTTCGAGTGACGAAGACGACGATGATGATTATCCGCGGACGGAAGCTGGGTGGATTGGTTCCGGGTAGGAGTGGGTGGTTCTGGTTCTGAAGTTGGGTGGTGGCGATCGGCGGTTGGTTCTATTGCGGGGGCTGCGCTTGGGGGTGGTTCGATTGAGAACATTGTGCTCGAAGGGAGTTGAACGCCCTGTGAAATCATTGTACATTCCTTAGTCACCGGCCCAAAGTAAAGGAAGAGCATACATTAAAGTCAACTTTATTCGAGCCACCCTGGAGCATAACATCCGAAAGACGTTCAGTATTCAGCGATGGCGCAGCAGGAATTGTTTTAATCTCTGGCATTGTGATCAGACTTAGCCTGGGACTAGAGTTAGTACTTCGCCTCCTAGGTGTAGACGGGGTATTGCGAGCTGAGCTAGCTACTTTCTTGGCCAAAGTCTGATGGTGGACTGTTCGGGACTCCTGACTATTCAAGGATGTTTGTGAGCTTGACGTGCTTTTTTGTGCGCTTGTGGTAGCCTGAGATGAAGTAGAGTTGTCTCGTTGAAGAGTATCTGCTGAGGGGCGTGACACAGGCTGATAACTCGGGGCTGGTAATGTCGATGGCGCTGAGGGAGGAGGCAGACGAAATTTTGGGGTGCTAAACTAAAGACAATAGGCTGGTTAGCATCGAAACAACGAAGATGGTAAAGAAGGCACTGACTAGATCGTATGTAATCGGAGGTGGTGGGACTTGAGCTCCCATGCGGGGGGACTTGAAATCCGCAGTTTGCGAAAGACTGCACCGCCTAGTTATTTTGGGAGAACCTGAAACAGGAGGCGTGCTACGAGCCTTCGCCGGACCCGAGTGTTGTGGTTGTACTGACGGAAGCGGAGTGTCAGGAGACTGACATTTGATTGCAGATATTGAAGGAGGTTCTGTGACAGTCACAGCTGCTACGCGCGGTTTCATTATGGCTGGAGAATGCTTCTGCGTGCTAAATAGAGAGACGGATGAAATATTTGGAGGCTTGGGCTTCATTTCCGCGAACGGAGGCAAAGGGATCTGAGTGGGTGATGATGGAGACGCAACTAGTTCAGTGCCTTTATTAGATTCTCTGAGAGGCAGAGAAATTTGTGGCTCCTCAATAACAGGATGATTGTGATCTGACGGCTTTGCATTTGATCTGTCGCTTTCGATGAGTGTTTGTGGGACCTCGGTATATTGGCTATCCGTAGTCTGCGCGGTTGCATTCATCGCTGAGGGGGAGGGAGTCTCTAGGGAGGATTCAGGCGGGAGTCTTGCTGAGGTGATGAGAAAGGAGAGGTGTTGGGGGGCGACGCGGCGGGGGGCATGGGGGACGAAGTTTTCTCGTTTACAGTTCCAGATCGGCCTCGGGTGGTCTTGGATTTCGAGGGAGAGGTAGTCGGAGAATTCCTAGAGCCATTGAGCACCAGTGGTCGTGAGATCTCTTTGGCAGGAACGCTGGATTTCCGGTGTGACTCCGGTTTTGAAGGTTGGGGAAAGTGTGATACGGGAGCTGATCCTGGTGACCGAGCACCAACAAGAGGCTTCTCAGCTGATACACTCTGCAGCGTAGATGACGACCCATTTGACGACTGATTCCGGGAAAAATAGGACGTCGGAGGCGCATCTAATAGAGGATCGAATCTAGAGCCGTCAGAAGGTCTTGGCTTTCCACCAAATGCATTCAAAGAGCTAGAAGATTGGCCTGGAGAGTCAAAGGTTTTTGATCTAGCAAACCGCTCATAGAGAGGAGTAGAGACCTCAGCTGGCCGCTCGAAGGGCCTGGAAGTCGAAGTTGGGGGAAGAGGTGAGTTGCGGTGGTTTGAACGAATGTCGGCGAGTTGGAGGCTGTCACAGATTTCCTCCGAGAAAAAAGTTTCATGAGTCTTGCACAGTCAATCCTGTGGACATCTGCAAGTAGCGTTTGAACAAGGAAAGGCTCGTTCCTCCACGGTGAGGTCAAATGAATTGAGCCAAATTACATTGTCTCGTGGGAGCCTTTTTAATTCAATCCAAGACCTTCGCGTGATGCGTGACAGGTTGCTGGTCGTACCAATACCACCACTATGTGGGCCTTTTAAATAAAGACATTCGTAAGCGACAAGTTATAATGATAAAAAAATAAATTTATCAATAAAAAAAAAAAAAAAAAATTAAACGAATTTGATAAGGTCATACAAAAAAAAAAAAAAAAAAAAAAAAAAAAAAAAAAACTATGTAAAAAGGGAAACTTTATAGGGGGACCTCAGGACGTTTGCATGGGGCTTTTTCACTACTAGTTGAACTGCCTTCGGCTGGTTGCGAACCTGATAAGTGCGACCACAAAATGACAAATAGACACAATCCATTTCGATTCTCGTTTTGAACGGTATTACAGACAGTATGCTACAGTGATTCTCAGTCAACTAAAATCATTTACAATGACCGATGGTTTCAGACATTCTCATTTCCCTTGGTCGTCTCAAGCAGGTGAGGTAGGGAAGGGGAGGGAGATGGAATTTCATTCGACTGAGAATGCGGGGTACTGGCATGCACGCAACAGAGCATGGGCCCACAGTGTCAGACTCAAGAATGGGAGAAACCAAGTAGCAGACACAGATATGGGTCCCACCAAAGGATGCAATGCAGGCTTGGTCGCCAAGATCGGATGAGCTGATTGCACAAGATCGCTCAACCTGGATTGGCAATTGAAGCACGTATTAGGATGCAGAAAACAGAGCACCAGGCAAGAAAAACGTGGCTGCACATATTATGGATATCCAGCATCGATTCGATGTGTGTGGGGGGGACACAGAGATAAGAGAGATGACAGGTGAGACGAAGTTCCCAAGTAACTCCCGAACCGACCAGGATGAAGACAGAAACAGGCAGATTGCATGCAATACTGGCGTACTTTTGCAGAATTTTTATTGCCAATAGTTCTCAGGGCGGAGTTGAGACATACATTGCTCAAAGAACCCAAAACCGACATTAGCGCCCCGCACTTCTTCCCAATGGTCTCCTTGCTCCTCCAACAATCACATGCCTACGGTAGCCCTGGTACTCCACTCGACTGAGCAGCAGCATTTCGAAGAAAGTGATAAGTATTTTAATGATGGTAAAACCCAGTACAATCTAACGGGGAACTTCCGGCACTGATTGGAATGGACTCGAAAAGGGAGGACGTGGAACTCAGCGATGATGAGAATTAGGGATTGGAACGCCTAAGATATTGTCTTTTGTTATCGATATGTAAGTCGGAATACAGATGCTAGCCCCGGTACTACACACGACTGAGCATTTCCAAAAACTTGATAGGGACTCCCGGCATTTTCGATTAGGTGATGGTGCAACCCATACGATCTGATGGGGGGACTTCCCACAGTGAACTGAGGGTGGCCCTGATCGTATTCTATCACTCCACTATGTTTGCATTTAATAACTCGTAGACATTTGAATGAGAAAATACAGCCAAAACCCGCAAGTCCTTTAGTTGAGGAGCTCGAGGTTTGGTCACTTTGAGTAAACCAGTCAGTCCTGCCAGTTTAGACGCTCCAGACTGACTGGTCTAGAGAAACTGCCCAATTTGAAGCGAAGACAATTTGCTGATGAATGCTGGCATACCTTTGTAGGATCATTAAGACCGATACGGTGCATGCGACAAAGAGGCTATTTATGCAAGGAGGATGACCAAGAGCTCGTGTCCCACGACTGCACTCTGTGGAAAAATCCGGAGCACCTGATTGGCCGAGTGACCGGCGACTCTCGCTCAGACCTCCTCGTCTGCTCTCAAGGCTGACTTTCTGCATTGCTCTCTTTCCGAGTTCGCTGTAACAAAATGTCGCTAGTAGCTCGTACCCTGCTGGGGACTAGGCCATCAGTCTCCATGATTCCTGCTTCGCGGTTGAGCGCGAGATTTGTCTCGGGAACTGCTTCTCGTTCTATGGCCGTCGCTGCACCAACCCCTAACGCAGAGAGAAGTGTCCCTCTCAGTAAGAAACCAATGCAGAAGGAGTTTAAAATCTACCGATGGGTAAGCTTAGACGTTTTCGATTTCTGTTTTGCATCAAGTCCGAACGTCCACGAACCCCACATGGCACTAACTTAACATATGCTCCGCTCGTTCCCTCTAGAATCCTGACGAGCCTGATATGAAGCCCACTCTTCAGTCGTATACCATCGACTTGAACCAGTGTGGTCCCATGGTACGGCGACTAAAGTCCTCGCGTTTCACGTGCGATCGTGGGTGTCTCACGGTACCAATCTTCACAGATCCTTGACGCCCTTATTAAAATTAAGAATGAGATTGACCCCACCCTCACCTTTCGTCGTTCTTGCCGTGAGGGCATTTGTGGCTCATGCGCTATGAATATCGATGGGCAGAATACTCTTGCATGTCTCTGCCGTATAGATAGGAACGAAGCTCAAAACACGAAGATCTATCCCCTTCCACACAGTAGGCTTGAGATTCTCTCAGAACCGCCAGTTAAAAGTGGATCCTGATTGATCATGTTTCGTTAGTGTACGTTGTCAAGGACCTCGTTCGTACGTCGCTGCTCGCCCAAACACTTGACTCTCGCTAAATTTGCGTTTCCCCAGCCGACCTGACGCAATTCTACAAGCAGTATAAGTCCATTGAGCCATACCTGCAAAACGACAACCCCCCGGAGAAAGGTATCAATAGGTTGCTTCATATTCACTCAACTTAACCGAACGTTATCAGGTGAATTCCTTCAATCGCCTGAGGAACGTAAGAAGCTCGATGGCATGTACGAATGCATCCTATGTGCATGCTGCAGTACGTCTTGCCCTTCGTACTGGTGGAACCAGGATGAGTACTTGGGACCTGCCACCCTTATGGCTTCCTACCGATGGATTGCTGACTCTCGGGTGCGTTCACAACTTCATTCACCGCTTAGCTAAATTTGCGATCTTTCCACGCCCGACGGGAAATATCCTTTGAACAGGACGCCTATTCTGCGGCACGCAAGTTGAAGCTTCAAAACACCATGTCGTTGTACCGGTGCCACACGATTTTTAACTGTGGGTCCTTCAATCTTCTCGATGCTGAGACTGCATTGGAAGGCTCAACTTGCTCCTCTCATAAAGGCTCACGCACATGCCCTAAGGGATTGAATCCTGCTAAGGCCATCGCCCAAATTAAGTTGGAGCTTGCTACTGAGTAATGTGTCGCAATATTCGAGTGTTGTTGCTTAGCACCTTTGCATAAATTCGAACTCTTTCCGTTGTATGAAATCTAGATACACGCAAAGCCATGATTGGCATTCAAAACTGGACGTAGCGAGATAGATGTTGACTACTGTTGTGACATTTCAGAACTATTGGATGACTTGGCTAGTATATGTATGCACAGCTACCCATCGATCGGGGACCGTGAGGCCGCTGACACCTGAGAGTGCAACTCATTACGGCCAGTCTAACCTTTGCGAGGCCCACTGGCACAATCGGGCCACTTGATACCACCTAGCACTCTCCCGTTTGCACCATGCAAACCCACAGCGTTTGATAAATGAGTCGTTGAACTTGTCACGAAAACCCGATAGCTAGTTCCCCTGCCCTAGAGCGCCCCGAGTGCTTCCGAGCACTAGAGCATTTGGGGAGCACTTTAGAGCACTGGGTCTTCGTAACTTGAAGGAGCAAGGTCTCAATCTCTTTGATAAGTTGGAGACCGGCAGGAAACCATGGGACAAGAGGTGGCTACAACGAGCAGAAAATGGTCGTAGAAATAGAACGCGAGTCAAACCGGAGGCGTTGCGGGGCCGGGTTGTGAGTTTCTAGCTGGTTCTTGGAGACAGAAGAGCGATAACTGAAGAGACACGCAGTCAACGTCCGGTCTTCGGGGCCACAAAATTAAAATAAACATATGGTGGAAAGAAGATGTTTCGAATTAGTGGGCTGTGGTATGTATCGCGGCATCAGTCTGGGCATACCATGCGATGATAGAAATTTTTCGCATCAGACTCGAGGATATAGCTCACCTGGATTGGCTCGTATGGGCGATCTCGATCGAGTTTGAGTCGACGCAGTCTCAGTCGCACATGAATCCAGATGAGCACAAGAAATGTCGTACAATTATCCGTCGGACGATGAGCAGCCTACGCTTTATACCGTGCCAGGATCAAGTTGTTCGCTGGACAACCCTTGACCTGTTTGCAATGAGGCCATGATCCTGATGAGGTTTGATTTGTACGTACGATCGTACGATGGTGAGGGCGAATATTCCAATCAATTCAACGATCACAGAATGCCAACCCACCTTCCCATTTGCACGAGGAAAGACGCTACTGAGTACTAGCATCGATCCGGCGATTGGAAATGTGTTAGCAATCATTCAACTTTCCTTTTTCAGACATCGTTCCTGCTAGTGGCCGAGCCGGTGGTGGAGGTCTCAGGCCGCGGCCGGTTCCCTTCTAGCACCACCCTTCGATGATGCCAGGAGCGAAAATTTTGTGAGCTCTTTAGGTCGGGTGATGCCGACAATCGAGCGGGAAGGCTGGAACTCGATTGGTTGTCAGATATGTACAAGCTAAACTATCTAACTCGATCGTTTCTTGCCTCATATACAGAGGAAACAGGTTATGTAAGCGGTAACGCCTTACAAACTTGGCTAGTATGCATCCGTACAGGAGCCTACAAATGAAGACATTACAGGTTCTCCTTTGCGTAACCCCAATCCGTTTGGAAAATACTTCCAGAAACGTGCGATAGCAAATGATAGCATTGATTGGTGATGGCCTTCCCACCTTCTCGTTCATCGTGATAATCTACACATCTTGGGCCGGAGCCAGTCTGAGCACTTATCCTTTTTTTTGCTTACATAAATGCCACAAGACTATCGTAGAGCAGCACCAACATTGATCCCGCTACGCTCCTATTTCTGGGTAAAGGACAGGGCATTGGGGGTTGGTGGGGTTGGTTGGGTTGGTTGGGTTTCATCGCGATTTAACACTAGTTCTCCTACTGGATCGTTTCATGCCCATCACCGAATGAGTATATTGATTGATGTCGGCAGGTGTTCCAACGCGATAACCACCGTCACCGCTCAGTCCATTGATCTGATCCGCGGCGCCATCGCGAACATCCAATCGAACATGGGTGACGGGACGCAGTTCCCGTGATCAACTGATCGACATTGCATAAGTGATATGTATATCCATCCTTCACAAAGCAAGACAGGCGCGCAGGCAGGCAGAACAGAGGCAGATAGATAAACATACAGGCAAGGCAATACAGAGTCAAAACCAAGAAAGTTCGGAGAGAAGAGCAGCAGCAGAGGCCAAAGAGCATAAACACACCGCAAATACGAGTGGTGGGTGCTTCTCCCCAGACACCACCAACTCGATTGCAACGCACATGATTCAAGCTTCACTCCTGCGTTGCACGAACACCACTGATGACTTGAACAGCAAAACCGTCCAAAGATCAAGAATCTGCCATGATAGTATCGTCATTGTCTTCGGGATTCTTCCCGTTCTCCACGGGGCTTTTTTCTTCGGTGGTGGACTCTGCCCTTTCTTCTTTCTCTTCCCGCTCTTGAGTTTCTGCCGCTTGCTCTTCCTCTGCGTCCTTTGGCTCTGTGGACATTACGTCCCCTGCCACCGTCCCATGATGTTTCTTAATAAACTCGAGCGCCAGTTTTGCACTACATCCCAGTCATGAAACATATTATCATATCGCAAAGGGGGACAGTAAACGAGCACATCCCAGACTGGAACTGGAACGTTGCGTACCTCTCAGCAGGTTTAACACTGCTCTTTTTATCGATAAGCTTGCCACTTCCTTTCTCGAATATAAAGTGGGAGCGCGCAGTGGATTTGGGTGGCTTCAATGATCCAAGGGCTCGAATGAAGGTGCGCTTAGGGTCCGAGAGGAGGGGATAAGGGAGTTCTTTCTAAATAGCAAGGTAGGGAAAAACATATTAGCAAATAACAGGTATATGGTCAGTTGCGGCAGGCGGGACGAAAGTGAGATGGGTTATGCGAATGGAAGAGAAATAATGCACACCTTAGTTTGCCATTTTTGTTGGGCTTGAGGCGTGTCGGCACTAACGCAGTAGACAGCGTACGAGACTTGATTAAACTCCGAGTAGGAGTCCCTGAAGAGACATGCTTGCGTTGTGCAACCAGCTATGACGAAGGTATGGTTCTTGTGTCAGCTAAGTCGGTGCCGATGGTCAGCAGTCAAAGAATTAATACGCACGCGTATCAGCTTTTGGGACGAGGAAGAAAACTACCCCTTGTTCAGCGCTCGTGAGGTCATTGACCTTGATGTCATCTCCCTTCTCGTTTTTGAGTGTGATATCTGGCAAGATATCTCCCACCTGGAGCTCCTTGCCGTCAGCGGTCTCTCCTTCCCCAGACCCATCGTCTTCAATCTGGTCCTCATCCTCAGCGTCCGTCTTAGCCTGAGGTGAAGTTTGCCACGAATCATGATCCAACGTCAGAGAACATGTATTCGAACAAGAGCTGCTTTTACCTTTTTTTTCGCTGATGCTTCCTCATCTTCCTCCTTGGCGGTTCGCTTCTTTTTAGTGGCAGTACCCTCAGATTTCCCTTTCGTGGAGGGCTTCCTGGCTTTGGATGCAGCCGCTGCGGCAACAGGTGTGGGGTTCGAAGCAATACGGGAACTTCGGCGAGTCCCTTCTGCAGGCGCCGTGTCTCCGGATAACTTCCTAGGTGGCATTACTGCTTGAATCCAGAAGGTGGTGCTTGGATAAGATGGAGTGTCGCGTTGGGCAAGGGAGGGAAAGTCCAACCACACGCGGGACAGTCCGTTGAACCCGACGACCCGGAACGTAATTAAGACTGGTGAATTTCCCACGCCACGGAACCCTTCGATAGTCCTATTCAATAGCAATGTTGTGGAGAAAGAGGGAGAAAGCTGCTGGAAAAGCTGCCACAGCGGCGTTGCAGAATGCCCGATCAATGCCTTGTGGACCTCTCTAGCCCTTAGATTACCAGTAGGTAGGTGGCCAACATCTATAATAACTTAGCAAGTGAGTGATAGAAGTCACCAGCCTCATTCTAAATATCTCATCTACCAATAGCAAAGAAATCCCGACCCAACGAAGCCCAGCAACCGCTTGAATTGCGCCCACCATCAAATGCTCATGCCCCTGAAACAGGCCCCTCTGATAGCAGCGACAAGCCGAAGATCAGCGACTCACGAGCCATAGGCTCAGCTTCCGTGATCCCACCGATGATGGAGTGTACCCACGCTGCACAGACGAGAACACTTACGATATCACTGGCGTTCGTCAGTCTGTTCAGGCAAGTATCGATGCGAGCCGCGAGGATGAATATCCGGAGCAAAAGCATACAGGAAAGGTCGCCTATGACCTTGCGTACCATGCATGACAATAGTCCTGTCAGTGATGTGAGCTCCGCCATTACCTGGACTATGAAAGATAAATTCACTGGATAAGGGACGTAGTGAAAGGAACATTCTTGCACAAGCATGGCTTAGCTGAAGCGATACTCGTTCGTAACACTCCTTTCACTTATCTTGCAGGAGTGCAGCCATGGATACCTGCAACTCGGAGGGCCTTGATTGTTCGTTACGTCTATCAGTTTAGTACTAGGGCCAGGTTGATTCCAGCTACGTACATGACCCCAAAGGTCAAGATGACAAAGGAACGACAATGCGAGAGTCAGCTGAAATAATGCCGGAGCCAGCTTTGTCAAAATTCCGATTCTGTTTTTCCACTTTTGCGAGGATTCGATCGACGTTAGACGTAGCCTGTTGCAACGTGCTAATGGATGCCATACAGCTGGTAAGGATAGAGGAGTATATAACGGTACACCCTTCTCCACTGAATGCTTTGCTCAGTTGCCGATTCATCGTTAAGAATTGACCACGGCGCCCACTTTACATAAGACTTTCTTTCGCCCTTGTCCAATGCGAGCCAGTACTAACATGGATATCAAGCATGAAGGACATGCCGCTAGAGATCCACATCGGGTGTGGCGTTTGACAGGTGTGAGGATCGAGATCGCCGTCACTGCTGCAATCACTTCAGTGACATGGTAGATAAACGGACGGGAATGGGATTGGGGGTGCAACGAAGACAGTAATACCCAAGCAAACACTGCACAGTTCAAAACCAGGGAATCGCCACGAGGCATGCAACAACTTGGTAGCAGGCAAACCCATAGTTTCTTTCCAGGACCAATTGATAGCCACGTTGTACCTGTGATGCACCTGCCATTAACGGCTTCAGCCACACTATGAAGCTAATGGCAGCCTCCTTGCGGCTAGTAACCTAGCGTCCGGTCATTCCTATGCATGGATAAGTTGTTAATCACTGATGGGTTCATACTCCCAACAACAAAGACATGAAGCACCAATTTACGTAGTCAAGAACCATCGCTCAGGTGGGCTTCTCTACGAAGCCAAACTCCCAGCCACGTATCGCCGCACGTAGACATAACTGACATAATTGCAACGTGGGTACAATAACTTCAGTTTGACTCACTTAACCGAGCGGGTTTCCAACATCGCGGGGTGCTTACCCAAATACAAGCCAAGGACCCGTGGATAGGTTGCATACTTTGACACAGTTGGCTTCGTCACTGGACCGATCGTAAACATGGGACGTTAGCATTGCTTAGGATGTCTGTCCTTGAAACGGTTGCGGTGTCTCCAGGGGGGCGGTATGTGAAACGGCGCTATTAAAATTTACCGGTAACTTGTTCGCGCGATGGGCGAGCCGGATGAAAGCAGCGTGCTCTGTTATGTTCCTGGCGCCAAAAATTGACCGTTCCTAGTCGCTACAGCGCCTGGTGTCTATTTACACTTCCAGGAAAGTTTGTCCGGGCCATACGTCCAACCCTACGCCATCTACGTATTTCGATAGAGGCTGGTAACCTTCCTACCGCCATCCCATCACACAACACCTGATAAGTCAATTCAACTGGCAGGATGAGCTGCTGGGCTGTATGGGATAGCAGCCGAACCCAGGTGGAGCTCCCTGGAAAAGAGGGAGTAGTATGGTATGAGAGAAGGTCGGTGTATGGGGTAGGTTGTTCCCATAATATTAACGGTTGAAAGAGGCGATGTTACTGTGCCCTTCGAACCTCCGACAGCAAGCGGTTCATGGGGAACCCGATAACACACAGAAACCATAGCTTGGGTCGGTGTCGTAGATAGGTGAATCCGATGCAGCGACGTCATCGTGAATAAGATGATAAGATGCACAAATTACGTAAGTATAAATTGGGAAATATGTACGGCAATTACCATTCCAGGCGAGCGACATCCTCGAGGCTAGTTTCTGGCTTCACTATGACAACTTGCACACCAGCTGCTACTTCTTGCTCCTGGTCCTCATGGACATGCAGGCAATGCGTTCATATCGATTACTTAAGCATCACCATGAACGTCAGTCGTGGCAGACTCAAGCCCAGCAGACACTACTTCTTGACTACATACTCCCCAGTCCTCTCTACAACCCTCGAACTTGCTTGTAGCTGTCTCATAATCCTCCTTTGCTATCTAATATGCCTTCCGTACGAACGTTCCCTTACGCCCGTGTCGTACCAGGACTGACAACCTTTCAATCGTGTCCTTAGGAGTACCCTACTGACTCCGCTGGTTCGGAGAGAAACGTTTTCATTGCGAAAACATTGAGTACTTTCACGGCTGAGCTCAGCCCGGAACGTGCAATGTCCTCTTCAGCAGCAAGCTCAAATATTTTAATCGACCAGACTTCTGAGCCGCAGACTGACTTTGAATCTAATAGTAAGCGTCATCTTACCGTTGAGATCCAATTCGGGACTGATGATGCGGCGCCAATTTTCCCTTTATCAGCGTCGGAAGCTGATGAAGAGCACGGAGACGCCCCGGAGGCGGAGTTAAAGGACTCTCTGGGTTATGGCGAGGTCGACGTTTATCTGGGAGAAGTATGGTTGACTGCTTTGTTCCTTCCGAATATGACTCATTGCACTTTATTAGCTTGATAGCGGCATGGAGCTGGCTAAGTTGGCCCCTTTGCGACGCGAGTTCACCAGGAGAGGCATCGCATCAGCCCACACTTCCTCGCACATGTATCTGGACGATTATAGATCTCGGCTTTATTCTGTTCGAGTTTTCTGCGAAAGTGTCCTAAGAAGCCCTCGTGCTGCTAGGGCCAAGATTCAAAAGGTCGAGTGTTGTATTAGGCCCACTGGCGTGCGCCATCGGTTTCTTATATTCCAAATTCTCCGCGGCGATATGAAAGAAGTCTATCTTCGTGTGGATCGCCGAGGGGATAAGGCAGTCCCGACGCAAGATCCCATTTTGCGGGACTTGGGCGGCTCGCCCGTAAAGGACACGGTGATTGTTTAGCGGTGAACTTATATTATTTATGGAATACTCATCCCTATTAGGCTAGGATCTCCGCTCGTCGTAACGATTTGTTTGATCGCAAGGACAACGAGAGAGGGAGGACTCGGGTGGAAGCAGAACTAGAACTGTCCAACCCGGTGTCACTTCGTGATGTAGCGCGGGTGCTTCATGTTGTCGCGGGGGAATCCCAAACGCATAAGCTTACATGGGTACGTGGCAAGTCACGTATCGCGACCGAGCCTATTGACAGCTGTCGTGTTTCCAGGAAAATTGCTGGTTTTTCTCCGCAATGGTCCAAGAAATGCTGCTCAGGAATTTCGGGGCTCAATACAGGACTGGCGCTCTTTATAAAGTGAAGCGAACCGAGAAGCGCCGCAGGAAGATTAGGAACCGCGTATATAAGGAATTTGTCTTCCCTGAAATTAACGGGATGGCAGCGACAGTCATGACACTTGCCAAAGTGGTCGATGATCCCTCCCTACTGAAATCCATGCAATTTACGTTAGAAGTTATCAGGATTGGCCATGTGGGTATTATGACCAGACTCTCGGTTCAACGCGCGTTCTAACGGCTTCTTTCGAATCAGGATATCGGCAATCACGCCTTTTCCCCTCTCGCCACTTACGATATCCACTCACGAGTCAAGCACTTACTCGTGGCATTATACGAGGCCATTCATGAGCATCTGCTCGGACATTGGGGTTTCCATGGTGCGCGGATGTTCAGGCCAGGCTTCCCAAGGTTGGTAGTCTCGAATTGATCAAGGGGTTTACTCATGGATCTCCCGCCCAGCCAACTCCGTCAAGTTGTCACGACCTGGGTAGCAAAGCACCCATCGTTTTCCCACACTCTGGACGCGGCGGAATTTGAAAGCTTGGCCACGGCTATTCAAGATAATTTGGGATCATCGGTAAGCGGCTTATCCCACCCACACCCACCCTGCTTTAATCTTTAGCAGCTGCAACCTAGTCCGTCCTCGGAGCATTTTGAGCACGAATGGAGCTACTTCTTCCTCAAAGGGCGTGACGACCATAATTCCACATCGTTGCCTTTGCGGCTGCGGAACACATTGTTGCGGATGGTCGAAATGATGGGAGAATGTATGGCCGTGGAGGCCCTGCCGTGGACATGGCGTTTTCAGATGGATGCCGAAATTCCAACCCTGATTGATGAGTTTGAGAGGCTCATTTCACCTGGGTTAAGGTCCATGGGCGGACGCTGGATTGCCTTGTTGCCCCAAGCGGACCCCAAAGCTGGGAAATTCATATCTTTACTAAACAAGTCGCTCCCATACTGGACAGTAGCCATGGCAATCATGGGCAGGCTAGACGAAGCATGCGACGGCCTTCGTAAAGTTTGTGATTGGATGGTATGAAAGTGCAAACCAGTGCCTGCTCCGTACTAATTTCTTGTGGATCATAGGGACAGTCCCGTTCTGACATTCATGATCTATATGATCTCGTCACCAAATCCAAAACGACCTTATCCAAGTCGTCGCTGTCCCTTCTCAGACTCCGCCACCAATCCATTCCGCCTTCCAACCAGTTGCACGTGCTGTCTGCCCTCAGGGCAGTAACCGCGTGCAATGTTCTGGATGAGTTGCCTTGGCTATGGCGCTTTCAGAACAATTCCGACATCCCAATGCTGAGTACTGAGTTTGAGCGACGCATTTCACCCGAGCTGAAACTTGCATGTCTCCACTGGACTACTCTCCTGTCCCAGGCGGATCGTCGGGATACTCGCATTCAGTCAGCACTGTTCAAACTACATGCTCTTCTTCCTTTCTGGATCGCCGTCATGTCGTTCATGGGGGAACTCGACCGGGCCCTTGTTTGCCTGAATGACTTATGTGAATGGATGGTTGGTCAATGGTCTAAACCAGATGCGGCCCATGCTCACCTTTTTTGCCAGGGAGAGAGGTCCGCCTCAGCACGAGATCTGTACAGCCTGGTCGCAAAGAACAAAGACCAGCTCTCAACGTCGACGTTATCTATTCTCGCTTACCATCACCCGTCCATTCCGGCGCCTAATCGGTCCCATGTGCTATCTGCCATCGAGATTGTGGCTGGCTGCCGTGCTCTTGATGATTTGCCCCGGCAATGGCGATTCCAAAACAATTCCGACATCCCGACATTGCGTGACGAGTTTGAGGGGCGCATTTCACCCGAGCTGAGGCTTGCGTGTCTCCATTGGACCAATCTGGTATGCCAAGCAGATCGCCTTGACGCTGACATTCAGTCAGCGCTGTCCTCCCTGCAACCTATCCTTCCATTCTGGATTGCGGCCATGTCATTTATGGGAGAACTTGACCGAGCGCTTGTTTGCTTGAATGACTTATGCGAATGGCTGGTAAGACAATGGCCAGATCACATGGAATTCAAACTTAATCCTTCCTGTAGAGAGAGAGCCCAGCTTCAATGCGGGCTCTGCGCGACTTAGTCGCAAAATATCAAGACCCTCTCGCAAAGTCGAGTTTATCGATCCTCGCTTATCATCACCCTTCCGTTCCGCCGCGGTCTCATGTGCTGTCTGTAATCGGTGTTGTGGCGGGATGCCGTGCTCTTGACGATTTGCCCTGGATATGGCGCTTCCAGAATAATTCCGACATCCCGACACTGAATGTCGAATTCGAGCGGTGCATCTCGCCTGAGTTGAGGCTTGCGTGTCTCAACTGGACGAACTTGGTACGTCAAGCAGATCCCCTCGATAGCGAGATTCAGTCTGCTCTGCTCTCCCTGCAACCCATTCTTCCGTATTGGGTCGCGGTCATGTCATTCATGGGAGAACTCGACCGAGCACTTGTTTGTCTGGATGATCTATGCGAATGGCTGGTAAGACAAACGGTAAACCATGAGTGACTCAGGCTTACTCCTTCGCATAGGGAGAGAACTCTACTTCAATGCGGGCTCTGTACGACTTGGTCGAAAAATATAAAGACCCACTCGCAGCGTCCAGTTTATCCATCTTCGCTTACCGCCACCCTTCTATTCCGCCGTCCAGCCGTTCTCATGTGCTATCTGCCATCGAGGTCGTGGCCGGGTGCTGTGCTCTCGATGATTTGCCTCAGGAGTGGCGCTTCCGACCCAATTCCGACCTTCCGACACTGAATGACGAATTTGAGCGATGCATTTCACCTGAACTGAAGTTTGCGTGCTTCCACTGGATGAACTTGATATGCCAAGCAGATCACCACGACAACAAAATCCAGTCAGCACTATCCTCCCTACAGCCTATCCTTCCGTTCTGGATTGTTGTCATGTCATTCACGGGACAACTTGACCGGGCGCTTGTTTGTCTGAATGATCTGTGTGAATGGCTGGTAAGACAATGGCTAAATTATACGCACCCCCAGCTGACTTCTTCCTACAGGGGGAGAGTTCTACTTCGACACGGGCCCTTTATGACTATGTAGCAAAATATGAGAACCCACTTTCAATTTCGAGTTTGTCGATTCTTACTTATCACCATTCTTCCCCTCAACCGCCCGTTCTACCACGTACACTATCCCCCCCATTGTATCGTCTGGGCGCAGCGTCCTCGACAACCCCACCTCTCTATGGCGCTCCCAGACCACACTGAGTGGGTGGATTGGGGGGCGTTCTTTCGTACTTCTTATTTTTCCGATTTTCGTCGTTTGGTTTGTTAAACAGACCCCCGTTTATCTTATCTTCTCTTCTCTTTTTGCTTTTCTCTTTTCTCTCTTTGCCGTCACTTTCTCTTTTCTCCTTTTCCTTTTCGCTCTTCTTCTCCCTCCTTTCTTGGTGGAACGATTCGGAACTTAAACGCTTGTGTGCTGTGCACCACGAGTGTTAGCGTATTTCCACTACCCCATGCAGGACTATTTCATCAGCGTATGTTGCCTCAATTCCTCCTTCTCGCATATGTACTGCATGAGTATATTTCTCGCTTCCTACGCCTCTGTTCATGGTTTTTGCCCTAAAACGAACTTATACCAGACTGAAATCTGAGATTTAATCATGAAATTCCTTAATGGCTTTCATTGAAATACATGTTCAGGCAATAATTCCTGCAACTTTTTCATCTTACTTATATACGCGCGCTTACAACACCCGAGACTTGGTGGGATTTAGATTGGATGTAGAGGGACCATGGGCTTCCGGATCTCATCCCAAGTTTCATATTTTCCACAGCGATACCATCATACGCTCTAAACAACACAACACAATTACTGAGCTGATAGTGAGAATAGAATATTTCACGAAGCATGAGCCTCGAATGCTGCAAGCCGGCATGATTGCGCATGACCGCCGTGCATCCTGTGAGTTACGTGGGTTACGTCATTGTCTAATTGATACAGCGCCCTTCCACATTGCATCGAAATGAACACCATAGTCACCTGAAACAACAGCGTCTATCCTTGCGTTTTACCCCTCTCACAGTGTTGCCACGGTCTCCTCACGGGAAGTCTAAACATTGCAATGCCCGGGTGATCGACCACCCCCTGATGAAGCGTGGACTCCCACTCGGGACACCGCCTCCGAGGGAGTGCCACGATTGCATCATGAGGTGCAGTACCAATGGTGGCTATCCGGACAGGAGAATTTTCCGAGGAACAAGCACCCCCAGTCAATGTAGTTGTGACGATTCCCGAGCGAACGCAGAATAAACCGCCCATTTCCGACAAGTAATGGAGCACGAGATCAATGAGACTTGGGTCCTGGCACTCACATCCTTCCCCTTGCGTCCGCTGCATGCTTCGGGATTTCTGTGTCTGTCCTCTCTTTGCAGGTCCAGTAGTTGCTCCAAGGTCAATCTCACTGGCACGACCAACAACCGGTTCCCACCGCCTCCGGGAATTGCCGGAGGCTGCTAGTCAATTCAATCCAAGGTCCTCGCGTGACGCGTGACCGGTTGTTGGTCGTGCCAGTACAAGTACTGCTTCGGGTACGTTGTCTCGGTTTCGGTCCCCGCGCCTTCTCCGCATCTACTGCACGCACCGGCCCCGTGCCTACTCCATCAATCTTGTATGGCGTCCGCCGTACGCTTCGGCTCCGTGCCTCTATTCTGTCCGCTGCATCTTCACGATCTAATTCTCGGTTTTTTATTGCCAGCTTGATCTGCCTTCGAGTATGGTACCGATTGTAAGTATTCGGTCTTGCTGAAGGTGAAGGTGTTGTGACCTTCGATTACCTTTGGCGGTGGGATCCCGTGTATTTATGTATCGGCGCTAGGTATTTGTTTTCTAGCCTTTCGCTGTCTTTTATAACTTCGTGTTGCTGCCGCCTTTTTTCTGCGTCACCACCCTTGTCTCCACCTCAGTGTGTTTTACCGGGACCCAGGGGGATTGCTTCGGAAGCAGGGACCCCGGGCGTTATCCGGCCACCGATGTACCCCCGCCGATCCCCAGCGCCACTCGCGGAGGTTTAAGAGCGCAGGGCAGTGGTAGAATGTGTTCCTGATGGCAACAATGTAACCATCCAAAGCTTCTTTTTGGGCGCCTACAACCGATTCTCATACAGCGGAATTAATTTGCTCTCGGCAGCCACATTTAATAGGAACCACCTCACGTCGCAAGCGACGGCATGACACCACGAGGGTGCTGTCGATAGATGGTTTTCGAGAACGGAAAGAATGGAAAGCCGCATGCTCCTGTCATCCTGGACGGCACAGATATCTAGGCAGAGATTTGAGAGATTTGGTGACCCTCAAACTCGGATATCTATACAGGAAACATAAAGTCCCTTCGATCGATTTACCCTCCCAAAATTTGTTATTTCCCGGAATGGCTTGCGTCGAATGTCGTCGCAGGAAAACTGTACGTGTGTGTTTTAGCACCTTTTTTCTCATCCCAACCCCATTTTCTTACAGAAATGTGACACCGCACGGCCAATTTGCGGCAGATGTGAGAAGTTTAATAGAGATTGTCATTATGAGCGTATGGAACGCCCCGCTCGGCCCTCGTTGAGTCAACTCGAAGAAAGGGTATCAAATATCAGCAGGGAGGTCAGGGGAATGTTGAGAAAGACTGCTATCTTCAAGCATGGACTCATCCAGAGACTCAGCGGTTGCGAAGGGGAAGTCGGGAACCCCCCGCGTGGGTTCCCTGGTCGACCATGCATCCCTTTGTATCCTGATTCCTCCGTTCTTAACTTGCCTAGACCCACCTCTGGGACTGGCTGTGTCACGAGGATCGTCCTGCCTGAAGGCTATGGCACAGTCATACCAAGGGGTGTGATAGATGACAAATTGCAACACTTTGACACTTCTTTGGGGGTCCCGCACGACTTGAGCCAACATCTGTTAGTTTTGTGCAATGGTTCTCAATATTCGCCTACTAATATAATCCATGCACTTAGCATTCAAGTTTTCCTTCCCTTCAAAAGTCAATTCAATTTTTACATTCACATTCCGCGCTTCCTACAATGCACTCATTTTCCACCCACGCATCCCGAGTCTGTTCACCCTGCTCTACTAAGTGCCATCCATCTAGCTGCTTGCTCCGTCGGCGGCGGATTGATGTCTAGCTACGAGCCTGTGTTTTTAACCCACGCATGCAGCCACCTTGAGCAGTCGCTCACCCACGCCGACCGGCTCATTCATTTCATGTGGGCCTCAGTCATACTTGGCTGCTATTATATGCGGGGTGGAAGAGTGGCGAAGGCGTTTAACACGATCTCAGCCACTGTGCGCTTTGCAGTCGCGGCAGGGCTTCATGGGAGTGCTCGAGGGGACGAGGCATACCGAATAACGCCCGACTCGGAAAGCCTGCTTGCTCCTCCTGCTGATGCCATTGAGAGCGTCGAGAGAGTCAACTTGTGGTATGCTCTTGTTCTTTGCGAAACTTCTATCAGTTTGTGTGCTGGGTTTCCCTCATCGGCTCCAGGCGATGTGGGTGTATATGATTTCTATGCCAGCACCATAGCTCACATTTGTGGTTCGGCACAGAATTGTGCCTCAGTGGAGGCGATGCTCTCCTCATATAATCCGATGACGCATGAGCTACTACCGAGCCCCGATCTGAGAGCATATCAAAGCGTCAACCAAGTCCTAGAGGCTGACCTCAGGACAAAGTCTGCCGTCCTTTTGGAGGCAGCGAAAAACCTTGTGCTAGGCATCAGCCTAAGTAGGTGCAAGCATGGCAGTTCGGGAGTTTCATGATTGACATTGAAACCTCAGCCCCAGACGGATCTCTTACTGAAGGCTGCAGACGGCGCCACGGAGTGCTCCTTAAAGCCTACTCCATCCTATCTCAGAATCTTCCAGATATCACAGATCCTCGTGGTCTTCAGCCAAGAGAGACAGTTTGTTACGCGAACCCAGAGCTTGTCCAGGCACATCTGGCTTTACATGCGTGCGCTATCTTGCTGAACAACATCCAAGTCTCGGTTCACCCAGACGTCAGCTCAAGGAAGAATGTCGTTAACGCAGCGCATGCTATGGCAAGGATTGCATCTCACATCCGACCCACCGGATCATTGTTGCCTATTCATGGGCATCTGAATTCAATCGTAAGTCGGATATTGCATCCTTCCTGAGCTACTTAGTTTAGGCTCTTATTCTTGTTTGCTGCAGTGGTACTTCTACATGGGTTGTGAGGTGCTCATTCGGGAAATAATGCATCTAAGATCACGCATGTCACCAAGTGACATGGCCACAGCTGAATGTAACCGAAGTCTTCTCATCATATTAGATGTCCTGCTCGAGCTCGTGAACTACTACCCTTTTTGGGGTGAGTCGTCGATGTTGTCATCCCACCGGCCGCTAATAACATGAAAAATCACCTCAGAGTATTCTATCAAGAAGATTCCTTTGTTATTATCTGGGGTCGAGGATTATGACACCATCTAAGGTTGTACAGTCAGTGTGCTTACACGCTGTGCTGACGCGCAGCATCCCACCAATCCCGACACCCTTCCCGACATGTCCGTACGCTTCCGATCTATAGGTAAGGAATGGATGGTGAATTGTGAAGAACAAAGGTAATATGTACACCCGGGGGACCTCTATTACTCCGATGTACATACAACTGTGGTCACAGGATGTAGGAAAAGGTTCCCATCACCTTCATACAAGTTCATATCGTCGACGGCCCGAGGACCGCCTTACACTTTTTTAACTTTGTGAGTTATTTACCATTAGTTCTTTGAGTTTAACACGCGCTTTTCGCGTGTTTTCTGTGTGCTCCAGACAGATGCGGCATGAGATGCCCAGAGTTGGCTCCCTCACGGGGCAAGATGTCAACTAGATCAGCCGTGGCTGATTCACCTGTCTTCTACGACATGGAGTCTAGAAGGGTGGCAGGTTTGCCCTCTGCTCCACGAAGGGTGAAATCTAGGCGTATCGTTCCACAGTGCCAGTGACACTGGTATCATCCCGATCAAATCGGTGCCTCTGACACATTTCTGCCTGTCCCAACCGGGCGAATTGACGCGACAATCAGGTCTACATCAGACCCCGTCGCGTCCAGCTCCCTAAACCGGATGCCCACTTACTCGCCGCTATGGGGTTACCTAGCGGCAACTCTCTCAGATCTCATGAACAAGGCAGACCTGACTCTGCTAAAGAGTCAGGTAGAGACGAGGATAATGCCCTCAAATATGTGCCGACCCTCGTTCTGAAGGTCGCATCACTCTCGGGTTCGCAGGGAACCCTCGGTGCTGAAACCCACGTTGACCTCATTCAGAGGTACACTCAATGGCGTCAGGGTCCTTACCAGGTTGCATATGCGCGTGACTCTGTCTTCCGGAATCAGACTGCCATGCGGAACTCCGCTGTTTTTCGCTGTCTCTCATCTTCTTCATGTCCCTGGATTGAGGAGGTACTTGGAAGGGAGGTTCAAACGAGGGTTTGAACATGTCCTTTGGGCTCTGGAGGAAGAACTGGAACTGAGATATCGGCCTCAAAAGCGCAGCGCCTAAGGTGCACTAACTCTTTGCTGAAAGGCAAAGAAGTACTTTTGAAACCACCTCTCCCTTGAACTTCCCCACTCCAGTTCCTTTCATCCTAATCCATCCTCCGTCCTTAACTGTTCGCTCGGACATTCTCCCAGGCGGATGGGTCATTTTCCAGATGTCGGTGATTTACTCCAAGGAAATTGTGCTTCCCTCAGCCCCCCTCCTGGGCTTCCCTCTAACTGCTGCAGAAGGCAAAGGGATGGCCTGTGAACATCTTTCCTGGTGTTCCTTGCCAACATATTCGCTCGCAGTTTATCGACGTAGGGCAGCATGCGGGGTTTCACGCAATGACTGTGGGACTTCTTCTGGGATACACAGTGCCGAGTTTGTATCCCCCCGCGCCAACGCGCCGCCCGGTGTATAGACTCCCCGTTTATTGGAGGTCGACGTTGACAACAACAGGAGATCATAACATCCTGCCTCTACTGAGTCATCTGTTGAGGTTTACTTTGCCTGGCACTAAAACACACCATTGTTTGGTGGATTCCATCGCCTCATTAGGATGCTTAGTTGCGCTGACAACCATCTTGCCAAAAATTCGTAGCGGTACCTATTCGCATAATGGGCCTGTAGATCCCGTTGCCCAATTTCATAAACCCCCAGCGATACCATCATAAGACGCTCTAAATTGCGTAATGTGCTCGCTGTCGCAAATATCTTACGAACTATGATCCTCAATGATGCAAGCTCCGACGGTATGATTGGGCGTCGTCGGCGAGCCTGTCTTCATTTCTGTCCCATCAATTCGCAACAGTTGCGTTCCAGTCCACACGACCGTTAGGAGTGCTACTCTGCACATGCGGGTCGAATGCACTAGACACCTACAGTGTTTCAGGCTCTCATCTGTCCACGAGTTTTGCTTGATCCACCGGCGCGCGCCGAACCTGCCCCAGATGAACGGCTTTAACATGTGGAGGCATTACTAGGATGCACCAAACCATGAACGCCGAGGGACGGGACTACCGTCACGTTGAGTTCAATGAGCTAGTGCCAGACCCTACTCGGAAGGCTCATGCATAGATGGAGAAGAAGGGGATGAGACACTCTAGGGGAAAAACTGTACCCGAGAGTAAAGCAATGTCTGCGCCTACGACGTGATGATGGGCCTCGCGAGTCGCAGCGGAAAGGAGAATACGGTATGACGAAACGCGCTCCATAGACCAAACAGGGTAATCATACATGCAGACAATACAAGTGTGCTGAAACATATTTTCCAGGCGAAACCAGATGGAGTGGGAAAGTTGAGGGAAATCATACACAGGCTCATTCACGGCCGCAAAAGCCCGAGGGTACCGCCGAGCAGACACCCTAGCTATGTTAGTACTCACTTAAGCCCAGGCAGAGAGATTTTAAAAATTGCTCTCCCTTGTAGAAGGATTGCACTGAAAGGAGATGACCGAGACAACGAGGCCAAAACCCTTAACCGACTCCGAACGGCTTATCTCATTGAACTAGAAAGCCACCTAAACCCGATCCCGAATAGGGCACGCCCACCTACGCGGGCGCCGCCGTCGATCCGATATCAGAGCGGAAGGCAAGGAGTGCGAGTTTGCCATCGGGCTGCGAACCGGACTACACATTATCATAGAATGGCCATTCCACAAGAAACTAGGAGGAATCAAGCAATTTACGTAAAACTCATGCAATCGGCCAAAGGAATTTTCATTTTAAGGCTTTGTTCCTGAAGAAATCTCGAGCAGCGGGCAAACACGGGGGGGAGCACTAATCATGGCTTTGCAACCGCACGGGAGGGACTAGACTCGAGGATCACACAACCTGACGACACACAAAATCTCCTACCGTGTAACTGGCGATCCCGTGGATGTATGACACGGTGTAAACAGATGGAATAGCCACGTAGGCACGAGGCCGGGCATCAAGGCAGACTCATCATCGGGGAACTACCATGATATGACGTGACACATGACAAGAGTATCGAATACAATCAAAAAAAATTGGACTTAGTGTAAGATTATGTAACATCCCCACTGTTGGGTGACATACGGAATTAGTAGTCACTATAATACGTAGATAGGTATAGGGGGCATCTCTATCGGCTAGAACAGTCCATGATCAACAGTATTTCATCTCATTTACACCCCAAAGATTTTACTGGATCGGTCCTTCATCGTGTTCCGCAGCTTATGTGCGTCAGCCCCTGGGAACATGAGCGCACGCAAAATGAGCGCTTCTTTTAGCATCAGTCAAATTCTGCAAATTGACCAACTTACTGAAGGAAGGTTGAGATCTCGAAAAGTCCATCAAACCACCAATGAGAACTCCCAAATTATCAAACGTGGCCCATAAATCAGCCTTGTCCTGATTGGAAACGGGTAATTGATGGTGCCTTTCGACATCTTTCATAAGGACGTGGCAGGCGAGGTGGACATAAACCTTGAGGAGAAGGCAGTCAGCGTCATAATGGAATAAAACATTTGCGCATGACTACCCACCGCAAGGCTCGTATCAGCATAGATGCTTGAAATGGCGCCAATCCCCCTGTCCCCACTCCCATGAGTGCCGTCAGTGGTTAAACCCGGTGAGTCATGTCCGCTGCTGGGAGATATCACGACCCGGAGAAGTCCTGCCATTTCATGTGCTGCCTTGACGCCCCTGCGCTCAGCGTTGCGCTGCATCTCGTTGACATTCGACGTCCCGTGAGATGTCCTCTGGGAGTGGAAAGATAGAACATCATTTAAGAGCTGATGCAGTTGGATTTCTGCTGCATAGTTCAGGAGCATGCAGACGAAGATAGTTGGATTGGGGTATGGTGTCACTATCCCAGCAGCGGTGTTTACACATTCTGCATGTTCAAGGGAAAATGCACTGTTGAGCGGGGGAAAGGCGGTTTTATCTCGCTGAGTACGAGCGCCCAGGAGGTTGAATGTCTGCCAGAATGAACCAGAACCAAGTCTATTAGTCGCATCAGGGCCTATGCGCATCAATGACAGGGACCAATCAGTCCCTGAGTCTTAATTTTTGGCACACAGCGCGTACCTTTCATGGTTATGGCCAGGCTCTGGATGGCTTCCATGAGACAGGTGCCATTGACTCGTAGGCGGATACTCCCAGCGTAGTCTAACGCAACATGGCCGGACAAGGAAGGGTGACGCTGGGAATCATGCATCGTTGGAGTCATTAGCTCCTCGAGTGTCATATTGAAAGCATGTTGATGTATGATGTCCAATGCCTACAAAGGAATCAGGATAAGTCCTAAATGCGTAGCAGGTATTGCCGCTTACAGCTCTTGGGACAGATGATGGCATTCCGGATGCCTCAACCAGCGTCCTGTCGGTAAGGAAAATCGCACCCCAGAGATGATTTCTCCTGAGGAGCTCCTCCGGAGAGTTTGATGGAGCCAGAAGTTTGCCATCTCGCGAAGTTGGCACACTGCCAGATTGTAAGTGCATGAATGCTACCTCGTAATTCGTATCACTTTGAAGCATGTCAAACGGTTGGCAGGTCGCGCCATTATGAGGGAACGAGAATGCATCTATGCCACATCCCACCGCAAAGCGAACAGCTGCAGATATCGTGTTGTACGCCTCGACGAATCGCCCACAACGTGTATAATACGAACCAAGGAATGCGGATCCCCAAAGAAAATGTGTTAGGCGGTCTGCATATGCGAGGGACTGCTCCAGTTGGGTGCGAGTACGCTGGAGGAAGATTCGCTCGTAAGTTGCGATAACCGAGCTGCGCGTGGTTGACAGAGAGACATGGCACGCTAACAGAAAAACTGAATTAAGGAAGGCTGGATGTAAGGCTTGAGGGTAATTGGCTGGTAGGTGAATACGCGTAAGGAACGAGCGAACATCCGCGTGGAAATGGAATTGAGAACGATGTGGAAGGAACAGTCGCACACTAGGGTGCGATGCATATGAGCATCGGAAGTGTGTGAGTTGAGGGCGGATTGACACACAGAGTAGGAATTTTTTGATTTGATGACTAAACATTTCGAGATAGAGGTCGAACACTCACAGGTAATCGCATAAAAACTCGGGTACGTCGCCCTGGCCATTCCATTGATGCAAAGAGTGCTCCAGGACTTCGCATGATATCACAGCATTGTACGCAACAGATGAGGTGTGCACGATATTCAGGTCGCCCCCGTCCACTCCTCCACCATGCAACATGGCAAACGAGGATTGAGGATAAATGGGGAGGAGCTCCATGGGTCTCCCGGTACTGGGAGATGACGAAGAGCTTGAGTGGGTGGATGACATTGCGCTAAGTGCTGATTCCTGGACGAGATACCCTTCAGACGGGGGATGCCCCATACTTGCATGGTCGTCGGCCACATTTCGTGAGGACGACGCTTGAGAAGTCATTCCACCATCGCCGTTATAACTGAGATGAGCATTTTGGGGGTCATATGCCGCTATCTTGCTCTCCAGGAGTGCAATTTTATCGAGCAATCGTTCAGTCCTGGGCTTCCTCGTCTCGTTCTCGAATGCGCACTGTTTTCCGAGTCGAGCGCAGCGACCGCAAATGGGGCGTACCCCATCACATTTCTTGAGAAAAATTTTTTTGATGGCAAGTAAGGAACGTGGTTTGCAACGAAGGCTGGGAGTTGAAGCGTACCGTTTTCCGCTGCCTGCAAGTCAAGCAAGCCGAGCCTGGTTGCAGGACTTGTCCATGGACCTTTTGGGAAGCCATCTAAGAAGCTGAGAAGCAAGGATGAACTGAAACGGCTAATCATCGAGGGGTTATGTACGGAGATGCATAATACAGCCTCCACCGGCGAATGAATTCTAGTCAGGAGATTTGGTTCCCGAAAGATATCGAAGACCTCCCCTCGTGAAACTCTGGTAGAAGGGGAGAAGTGGATGACTGCGTCAAAGTGGCTGGGTAGGGCACATCAGTTCGACACGGCATTGAAGGGGGGTCTTTTCGAAATCAGTGAGCACCGCCCGTTCCGTAGCATCGTAACAACAAAGGGCATTTAGTAAGCTATCCCAGCTAAGCCCCCCGTTGCATCAAGAATACTAGATCGAGTTTGTTGTAATTTATGGGCGCTTGCTCCGGGCAAATTCACCGTAATCATTCGGCCAAGTCAGGTGGCACTTTTCGCCTATGCAACATTTACACTTGTCATTGAGGGTGGGCCTCGACGATGGATGTGAGTCGAGGGGGAGTTCTGCTACCACAGCGAACACTCGGCACGGGCCTAAACCTTCACGCGGTGCCCCTGTTTAAAACTAATTAGGCCTCTAACATCTGAAGGGAGGATGACGTGGCCACCGTGGTAATGCCAATCAACCGCAACCCCGTAAGCCCAGAGCCGCACTGGCTGGAGAGATGCAAGAGCGCGGGTGCACGTCCCGCCGTCAAGCCAACCCTTCCTTTTTCTTCTCACCACTACCTTTTTGGGATGACGAGCGCGATAGTGGCAACGCCAATGGTGACCTCCGTAAGCCCAGACGGGACTGGCCAGAGGACTGTGGGTTCAAGTCCCACCGTCACCCCAACCCTTCCTTATTCTTCTCTTCTCCACTACCTTTTGGGATGGTGAGGTGCAATAGTGGTAGCGCCAATGGTAGCCTCCGTAAGTCCATGGGCAGGCCGGAGGAGTGCAGGTTCAAGTCCTGCCATCACCCCAACACCCTTCTTCCTTCTTTCTCCACTACCTCTTGGGATCATGGGGCGCGATAGTGGTAGCGCCAGGAGGGCCATCACCCCAACTCACTTCCTTCTCACTTTCTCCACTACCTCTTAGAGTGATGAGGCGTGATAGTGGTAACGCCAGGCTGCCATCACCGCAAAACTTTCATTTCTCTCCACTACCTCTTCAACCAACGGCCCCTCCACCGCATGTTTTTATTGAACACATGAGCTGGAAGCCACTTAACACCCTCAGCTGCCATCCTGAACACTGAACCGCCAACCGAGATGCAATCTCACAAGAACACGCTTCGCCTCAACCCACCCACAAGAACTGCTGTCACGCTGAACAGCCAACCGAGACATTACCAAACCCTGGGCCTGGGGTATCAATCCAACAACACATGGAGCCTTCACCCAATTCACCCGCAAGAACTGTGCCCACACACCCCACTTTCTTCGTCACCTTTCTGGGCTTACAGCAGCAAACCGCGCGCCCCCTGCACTGGGGGTCGCGTGTCTCTTCTATGCACTATTTCTTCACTATGCTTTACATTTCTCCACATCATTTGTTACTATTTTCCAGTGCAGGGGACGCACGTCCTTATGTGTTATTTCTTCACTCCGCTTTACTCTCCATACCACCTGATACTCGATGTCTCATCCACCCATTGACACTTAAACTCCTCTCCACCTACTACTTTCCAAACATTTTTCACCCGCGTCATTATAGTACGGCATATGCCGATAGGCACAGATACGTACTTTAAAATGAATACATCCATCCATCCATCCATTGTCATTGAGGGTTTTTGGTCGGCCACAGAATTGGGCATCCACCTCATGCGCGTTGGTCGTTCAGAGTGTCTTTCCAAGTGATGACGGCAGAATTGACCGAGCCCGAGTTTGTTTGCACGGAACACTTTCGACAAGCCCCATTTCTCTCTGATTTGAAGAAGGCAATACGGGACGACAATGTTTCGCTTCCGGTTTCAAGCGCTTGCCAGATCTCGCACCGCCGTCGCCACTCGCCAATCCATTCACTTGTGGCAACGCTCTACGTTAGCAAAGTGCCACCGACACAGGATTAACATCAGTTCGTGCCGTGCATTGCGCATGCCCATCCGAACTGAAGTTGATTTCGGAAAGGATCACTGGTGCCATCGCCTGAAAAGTTCGGCCCTGGGTGTATTTCGCGCCCTAGATCGTTGATTCATCAGTTGCAATGATTGCGATTCATGTGTTACAACCGTACAGCCATCACTCTGTTGGGGATCATCAGTATAGTGAAGCGCCCTGCTGCATTGCAGTGGGCGGCGACCTCTCTTCGGCAGAAGACGGTCCCGGGACTCGATACCATTGTAAGCGAATATGATTTGGTGGTGCCAGACGTCGACGTTATCGGGGAAGAAGCACCTTGCGTCTGTTCAATTTCACTCTGCGTTCGATCAGAGAATTTCGTATTGGTACTGCGATTACATCTGATCTGGGTTCAATCACTTCACATAATTAAGGGACACGTCATCATTTGGTGCGTAGAATCATGCCCTTGCCTATTTTTATTAATCTTTCAGATAATTCATGGTATCATCTGAGTCTGGCATCTAAATAACATCATTGCTCATGCCTGATTTGATTCCAGTTTGTTCCGATATGGGGTCACCTCCCCGACCGGTTCAGTCACCGTTCGCGGTATCCTACTTCCTCTCGGCCGGAAAGCGTTTTAGTCTCGGTATTCAAATCACAGTTCAATGGACAAATCAGTCATTGAACTCGCCTCCGTGAGGCTTCATATCTAGGCTAATTAGAAGTCGGGTAAACATATGGTGATGTATCATGGCACATCACTCCAACATCAGATAGACAAGCCACAACTTCTTCAGCCAACGACAGTGAATGTCGATACGTGGGACTGCCACTCCAATTTACACAGGTCGTGGTCATAGTCTAAGTATTTCCATGAGCTTTTGCTTCAATGCTAGGGCGGCTCGACGGCTTTCTCCACTTGCTCCAGCTTCACCAGAGGCCCCCAACACAGACTTGTTCTCGACAATTCTCCGGGAAAGATAGGGGATTACCTTGGGAAGGTCCGTAAAATGAACGCTGCGCCTTTACAATCAGGAATATAGTACATACATTTTCCAAAGGGCCATATGGTACGTATCTGGGCATGGTCAGTGTTGCATGTATGTCGAGATGAAACAAGCGGAAATCAAGGAACTAGGCAACACGCACTTCAAAACCATCGGACTTGAGGCTATGACGTTCGCAGCTATGTAGTTTGTGAGGTCGTCACGCATGCCTTATTATAACATTGGGTAATGACATGTCACGAAAGCGGAACCACCGATGCATAACCGAAATAAATCATGTTCAGATAGTTAGTCCGATATTGGGTACCCGGAGATGGGATCGCTGGCTGTGCCATGTTTGCAACTTACCTAGCAATTGGCCAAAAGTTATACGATCCGAAACCATTTTTGGCACGCGCAGAATGGGCCCTGTTGATTCATCCATATCTCGGGTAGCAAGTTTGTACGCGAGTAAACTATTGAGAACTAGATCGCAACTCTGTTTCATGGTGGGAGTTCAGCGCCGTTTTAGAAGCAGGACGGGCTGATGGAACCGACCTGACGGTTGTGGGTGGCGAAAATCACACCAACCAGTGGAGTACCATTCCTGAGGCGGTCGGAAGCCAGACTGGAAAGAAGCAATTCAATGCACTAAGATGGTGTCAACCATCATTCGCTAATCGGCTCTTCACTCTCACCTCATTATATGTCTTGTCGGTATCCTCCTTCCTGGTCCAGACAGGGGCTTCGTTTCCACCGACCGCCTGCGCATGAGCAAGGGTAGCCCCTCTAGCACCATTCCCTTTCCCTCTCTCTTGAATGATCCTCTCCTCACCTCTCTTCCCTAGTTGATAAACATCATGTTCCAAGGACTGATATGCGCCTCTGACGAGCTTGACACCGAGAACGTAGCCCTTCTGTTTGGCATCCTCCAGATGAGCTGCGAGATGTCGCGTCCCACGACGTAAGTAAGACTGATAGGTTGCATAGATGAGGGGTTGAGGAGCGAATGCTCCTGGTTTTGGCTCCTGTGCGTGATTGAATTCACGGCTTAGAGCCAGAGTGAAAGTGTCGATAGCAGGCTACGAAGATTCGCAAAACCGGCACTCAGTTAATCACCAACAAGGCCAATATACTCGGGATACTACCCACAGTATACCTTGACAAAGACTAAGCATTGAGTCGGTGAAACGTCAGGGGAACTCACCAAGTGTGCTCAGCATCAAAGACGAGCGCGACGCCTTTTTCCCTCGCAATTATGCAAAGTCGACGCAACTCATCGTAAAGCGATCTAATAGCACTGACATCATCCAGGTTCATAATGGAATCTGGCGGGGGAGCAAATTTAGGATTGGTAAAGATTGCCAGGTCCCCAGGTTCGTTCGTATGTGGGTAAGGCACCGAAAGGGTCTTTGGACTGCGAGAAGAATTAAGATATATCGAGAACCGCTCCATACACTGTGGGTCTCTGAGGAGAGCACTCTGTCCGAGGACGAAGATGGAATGCGATGTTAGGTCGATATCAGAAGGCACCCAGATGTGCCTTCATACCAATTTGAGAGCGACCCATGTCTTTCCTCCGGGATAACCATCGGATCGGTTTTCGAGGTCGCCAGCCACCCGAATTGAGTGAGCCATCTCATCAATGTTATGCCGATTTACGCGTGTCACGGTTTGGACCTCGCTGTTCATGATAGGCTCCACGCTCTCATCGTATTCAACGCTGTACGCTAATAGGCAACCGATCGATCGCCGCCTGAGATTTCTGATGAGTGGCGAAGTTTCCTCAAGTGTCTCGCCTCCAACAAACTGTAAAAGGGGCCGTACGTCATCAATGGATACGATGTATAGATTGCCCTTCAACAAACCTGTTTAAAGAATGATTCACGGATAACAAGTTCAGAAACCTGCTTGAGGATAGGTATTGCAAATAGGGTCGAGATAATTTGTGGACCGGCATCGACCAGCGGTGTGATGGAGCACAGGGTATAAACAAAATATGACCGAAGAAGCGACGAAAATGATGGCTCATCATTTTCCTTGCTTTTGTTAGTAGTCCTCTCGGGGATTGGCCCCTGGTTCTCTGTGTCAAGCCAAATAATCGATGGCAAAATAACGGCGATCGTTGTTCCGGTAACTCCGTAAAGAGATGTTCGAAAACGGCCATACATGCCGCGATGACATCTAGGTTTAGAAAAGCTCAAGCGACTGATATGGAGGGAAAGTGTACGGAGGCGCAATCGAAACATCCGCGGACAGTGATGGCCAACAGAGCGTTCCGGAAATAAGCGTAACCAGGGAACCCCGAGCTTATGTAAGTGGGACAAACCGATCGACTGAATTGATCCACCCAATGCGCCCGACAGCTAACCTAAATGCCCCACCCAGCGCGTTCCACAAAGAGCACGTGAATGGCCACGTGCTTCCTTTTTTTCGGAGAAGAAATTGTTTATTTTCTGTATGTAACTGATTCCGGTTTCTCACAATTTGTATTGTCTGTGATAATACATATTTATAATTCCAACAGCGGCCGATATCGGTGGTTCTTTACCCTAATGGTTAAGACCGAGCCTTGGTCGGTCCATCTTGCTTTAGGGGTTCCTGTTCGATTCAGAGTTGTGGTTTCTTTTTTTGTCGTTGTCGTTGTTGTCGTTGTTTTTTTTTTTTTCTTTGGCATCCAGAGTATTTGGGTTGGGGGTTGAGTGCTGGGCCGGGGGGTTGGGTGGTTGGGTTAGGTGGTTGGGTGGTTGGGTCGGGTGGTTGTGAGTTTGTGTCTATTCAATTTTGAATCGGGTGTTAGGGGGTTTGGGCGTTGGGTGGGTTGGGGGGTTGGGTTAGGGGGTTGGGAAGGGTCGGGTTGGGCAGTTGTGTGTTTATGTGTCTATACAATTTTGAATTGGTTGGGCATTGGGTCAGGGGGTGGTTGGGGGGGTTGAGAAGGTTGGGTCGTGGTTACGAACGATAGTCAACTTGACGCATTGCTTAGACTCATATTTACAATTTAAATACTCTGGTTGCTTTTGGAATCGTATTTTACATTTTCTTTTCGCATGCACGTGAGCGTTGTGGAACGTGCTGGGTGGGGCATTTAGGTTTAGTGCGCCCGACACCTCACAACAAGCTTGATGGATGGTAATAAGAGGCAGTGAAACAAGATATGCCGGAAATAAACCATCACATTGATGTATCGGTAATTTTTGACCACGAAACTGACTATGCCGGAACATGTTGAATCGATCGTTTGGCAAAAAAAATCATCACTGCCCCCGGCATGATTCGCCGCTGGTATGCCGCCTGGGAACCCCACTTGCAAGAAAATAAACCATGCTCGTAATAATGATACTCCGACCGTAAGTATGGCCCGGGGGGGGCCGCTGGGCTATGTGAAGGTTTCCTCAGTCTGAGTCCGTTCAGCTTGGGTGTGGTTTCTAATACTATCCTAGTGAAATTGTGGAGCTGATCGAGCAAACTGATTCTGCAGTTTGATCCGTTCGGGCTTCCCCAGTCTTGCTCCCATTTAGCCTTTTTTAGGTACTGTGGTGAAGCGAGGACCGACACATCACCGAATCGTTGCAGATATTACAGTTCACTCTAAATCCCGGCAGCATGAAACGGCTAAGGAGTTGTGCACATGGATGTGTGTTGTGGATTCCCAATACAACCCCGGGGTTCCTTGCCGGCTCATTTGTTCGTTGAACTGCTGGGTGGAAGGTCATGGATACAGCCTTGGATGCTGATCCATGCATACGCAGCTACTTGCCATGCGTTTTTCGATAATTTATTACCGGATCATGCAGGCTGTTTGTCAGATTTTGGGGATCAGGGATGCAGCACAGTATGCAATTGCTCACTCCCAATTGCGCCGGCACCCGTCTCGGCTGGGATCCTTCAGTGAAAGGAGCTCTACCAACGACTGCAGGTTTTCGCTTTCCTTTGAGCACTGGTAAAAGGGACCCTATTGCACGAGGGACAGGTCACTCTTCGTTTAATGTTCCTACTCGGTTGGGAAAATTCGTCATATCAAATTTGACCTATTGATGTTCTCAGGCGGTCCCGCATACTTGGACATCACTTCCTCCTGAACCAGGGTACACGCAGCCGAGTTTTGTGTGCTGGTGGAGGTCCATGACTACTTGCCGAATGATTTGGCTTGAAGCGCAACTGGATGAATTGCGGAATAGATGCCATGGAATTTAGTTCCGAAGGTGTTTCCAGGCGCGTACATTACTCATCCAATGATTCAACCATCATCCCCTGGTACGGACGCCACAACTGAGAACCTTATCCGAAACAATCATATCCCAAAGATTCTCCGAATTATTGGCTCATAGCGTTCGGGAAGTGGTTTACCCTGTTACCAATACGGGAGGGGCGGCTATGTGTGCCCTTGTGTGTCAATGTTAATATGGCACCTACGCTCATAGTATAGCCTATAAAATTTACGAAACCACATTGCATCTCAAATGAGACTGATAGAACCATCCTCCATCACTCGCCTGGAAATACGTCAAACCGAGGTTCCGCGTGCCACAGCGCTCAGCAGGCCTCTCGCACATTGGCTGCAGTCCTGTGCTGATGGTTTCAACACGTAAATGCCGCATTGGGCTGGGACGGGGTGTTAGGCACATTATTGCACTGCAGAAATTAAAGAATAGCCATTGCAAGACATTATAGTCCCTTCCTGCCTCCGCTTTCCTGATTTTCAGAGGGAATTAGCTGCTGAACGAAACGAGGAGGATCGTGCTTGGTTTTGCGGACATGAATGCGTCATAAGTTGAACGATGTAGTTAGGTTTAAGGAACCGCTCATCAAATACCGTGCACCAACACATACTGAGGGGAGATGGAAACAAGTCTCCCCTCCAGGAGAGAGTACGTCTACCGATGACTGGTGCACAAGGACCGTGACAGCATCATTACGTCGGAAGACGTAGAGCCTCTTTAAAGCAGACCAGATCCCCCACGCGCGTGGGAAAGCGCTAAATCATTCACTGCATCCCCTTCCTAGGTTATCATAACGCGAGCCCTCTTTTAGTTTTTGGAGGAATTCGTTGGGTGGCGCATAGTCGCCCAACAGCATCAGGGTCGATATTTCATCCCCCAACTCCAGTTACAAGCTATGTTGATAGAACGAGAAAACTTACGCAAATTACTTTTGCGTCAGGCGGCCTGGCACATAGAAAGAGAGGTAGCACTCGCCACGCAGGGCGGGCAGGTGGCTATTCGTGTTCGGCAAATCCCAGGGCGTGAACGTTGGATGAACCCCACGAATCATCTGAAACTCCAAGTGCAATAATGCAATCAACAGGAAGAGTTCGTTAGCGAGTATACCCACTATGCTTCGCTTTCCAAAGGTGCAGCCGTCGCCCACCTCAATTCTACCATATGCGCGATGTGTACAATGCATGGAAGGAGGAACATGTGAAGAACGGAAATATCACATACAGACTCGAGCACGAAGCCATCCGCATCGTGTCCCGCTCGCCCAAAGTCAAATCTGGCGGCGTAATTCTTGAGGTCAATCGTACAGGAAGTTAAGAGACCTTCCGCGAGACATTGGGTCAAGCGTGAGAGAGGAGGGCGAGCGAGCGAAGGAATTTGCTGCTATGTCTTTACTACACTATGTAGTACGAGCAAGACCAGAGCAAAATCGAGATGAGCTTCGGTGCGTTGTTTAGCCACATGTCCACATGTCGCACCGCCGAACGTTCGTTCTCTAATTCCCTCTACAGATCTTACTCGTTACCTCAATTCCGCAACGAGGACCCTTCTGGCTCACGCAGGCATCCTCCCCCTGACTTCGTTTCAGCCCCAACGCAGTCCAGTAGTACCGTAGGTGCATCCGTTTGTGCGGAAGGCTCATAAGGATCAACCCGAACCACCTCTTTCTCCACATGTTTTTCAGACCATATTTCTAGACAGAGACGGCTCGCAGGATCACTGGACGTGGACCCAGAAAAGGAAATATACGAGAAATGGCGGAAGCAGCAGAGTCATCGATGGCAGCACCACGCGAAAGTTGTTCCTTGGATGAGGTTTATTTCGAACTCAGTGGGCAATTATTTGTCTTTCGAACCTTAGCTGTTTGCTGGAGCGTAGACGGTGCTCAACATGTACGAAATTGGAATTACTTTTGGATTCGCAGCCGCATATCGTCTTGGCGCTTCGTTCCCTTTCAAGGACGATCCAAACTGCGCACGACTTTTCAAGCTGTATTTGGGGGTTGTCGCATGGCATGCGTGCGAGAAAAGAGGACCGTAACGATTTATTTGCAAGGTCTCCCAACACACCTTCGCTATTGGCCTGCATAGCCATGTTAGCTCGCCATCATCCGGTTCCCTTTGTCTGGATGGTGCCTAATGATTCATATCCAATTCAATTGAAGACATCGCACAGATAGCCCCCAAGGTCGATCTTAAGCTCCCGAGCAATTTCGTGCGCTAACTCAGTAGTGACATTACTTTTGAACGTCGTGGATCCTTCGAGCTTATCCTCCGAACTGGGGCTTCCGCGTTGAATGAGCTGCATCTGGACAAGTTCCGACATCTAAATAGCAAAGTCCATACAAAACGGGCCAAAATATGGCATTGTTTGTCAGTCGAAGCTAGCAGGAAAGCTTGGGAGACAAACACAAGAATGCAGTGCATGCGCGGCAAATAACTTACACACGCAAGGACCTGTACGCGACTTGCTTCGGTGGAAGACCACTCTTCCTCATCCGCCTGATCTCCACCATGTTCGAGTATCAGGGCTTCAAAGATCGCTTTGAACCGATCAAGCGGGAAGACGGAAGGACCTGTAAGGTGCCGCGGTAACTGAAGCATGGAAAGGGTGTTGATGAGTAAATTCGGATGTTATTATACTATAAGTGTTGATCTGCAGAAGGATTTTGGCAGATAGGACGTACCTTAGAGGCTGCACCAGCCACAGCCCCTTTTGACTTAGTGGGTGATTTCCGAGCTCCGCCCCCTTTTTTGAGGCGCACTCTACCGCCATCCGCCGATCGTTCGAACAACCTCGCATCAGTTTTAGATGGATTTAGGCTGGCAAGATAGCTGGCGACGAGCATCAACTTGGCACGCCAAGTAAGCCTTTGAGTGAGATTCCCTAGGGCCGTGTCTTCCTCCGTCTTCTTTTGCTTTGAGGGGGACGTGGAAATACTTTGGCTAAATGCTAAAGTGTCAGAAAGACGGAGTGTTTTGGGAGGAGCGTTCAGCTCGGCCCAATGGGGAGCACTCATGAGGCGAGGATAGAGTGTGTGGAGGGCCGAGACGAGGCCCTTATTAGATCGCCTAGAGAGCCGATGAAAATCGTCATTTGTTGGGACAGGATATAAAACGTTGAGCTCTTCGCCTGATTTTTCTGCGAGCTCATCCATATCCATGTCCGAAGGGGAGGTGTGAGTGGATCGCTCGTCAGGAGGCGGGGTCGACTGGAACGAAGCTTCAGTGTTTTCAGTTACTCTCTGACGCTCGCAGTAAAGAGCTTTCCACTCTTGCACAACTGGTGCGATAAACCCGGGCCAATGTGCAGATGCGATATATGACAGGTGCTTGGGATCCGAGGTCACCTCCGCACATACCATATACAAGAGATCAATGTATTTGGAATACGTCGATTCAAGGCGAGGGGTGTAGACATCCAGCAGCGACGAAGGGCATCTAGGGTACAACGAAACAAGGTACTGTTTGGTCTGCAAGGGGGTGAGAGGGGGAACAAAGACGAGCAGAGGGTCAGGAGAGGCTCCCCATGCGGGACGCATATCGATCCAAGTACACCGTGACACGAGAATTGTTGTAATATTTAGCAAAGACTAATTGAAGCTAAGTCTGGCTCAAGATGACGTCAGGGATTAGAACACACCAGCTCTGATAAACGGGTTAATGGGACGAGGAGAGTAGGTAAAGACGCTTCCAGCCTATCGGCGTTGCGGATCAAAATCACAATGCTTTCCCAAGGCCGCAATGCTCCCTCTGATGAAATAGGCTGACACACAGCCTTGAGCGCTTGTATGAAGGCATCCCAGCCCCCGTCCCAGGTACCATTCTCTTCACCTCCCCAGCACTCACACCCGCTATCCCATGAAGGGGTCCATGAGGCGAGCCCATTGATAATGCGCGTGTACAGCACGCGCGCCGAGAAGCACTCAATGGCATCAACGGACACAAATAAGCCAGCGGCACATTCAACCATCTCGTTGAGGCCATGGTAATCGAAATGGCCGAGCGGATCGTGAATGTAAATGAAGGAAGGGGGGCCAAGGGACAGCAACTCTGGCAATTGCTCGAGCATCAGTCCTCAGCATCACGCGATGTGATGGTCATTGCACGTGACTACTCAACCCAACTAGGTCCTTAGACTAGAACTTCGTACTCCAAAGCACGCAGCTGGACTCCCTACTCTCGCATTCGACACCCGTCTCTCTTTCTACTCCAAGTTTGCCTAGCAGGACTGGCCTGTTTTTATAGTTGCCGGCGCCAAGTAACGACAAACAACGATCACCCGCCATGGTTCGTTCTCAGCAATCAGATGCAACTAGCACTACTGCCGCGATGACCCCTATTCCGTTCTCACCTTTCTCATCTGCCAACTCCATTGGGAGTGAAGGCACTGGCACCTCCGAAGGTATGTCTTTGGTAGGATCGACTCATTGGCGCTTGGCGTTGACGCTTATATCCCGTTCTCCCGCCCTTACTCCCACGTCGGCATATATAGAACCTGGAGACCTCGGGGCATTCTCCACCATCTTTCGTGCCCTCACTCAACTCCATCCACGTCAACCATTCAACTCTCTTCCAGTGTTGCAAATGGACGAGGCAGGCTCCGGCGCAGCAACAGAAATGGATGATACGCCTGCTGAGTCGGGCCTCCAATTTCCTTCATCATCATCCTCCCTCACCTCCCCATCCGATTCTGATGGGCCCTCTAGTGACTCTGTCGCGTTGTTCAACCAAAACGGCGTTGGGTCCACCCTATGGAAACAGGGTGGAATAGACATGTACCTTACTACTTCGTCGCGTAGCGACCTTGAAGATAACACGGAGGAAGATGGGCCTACTTTGGGGATGCTCGAATCCGCTCTCGTCTTTCTTGCAACGGAGCGAGCCCGATTGAAGTCCAAGCTCGATGAAAGTTTTTCCACTGCGGAAACAGACGGCGGTCTAACATCGTCATTACAGTCGCGGCCCCCCAGAAAAGGAAAAAGAGAGCGCCGCATGGCAAAGAAAAAACGAATGAGAGACCTCGAGGCTGCCATTGATGGTGATGAGAGTCGCGCGGAGACTATTGAAGAAGCGTCTTCCAACGAATCTCTTGATCTCGGCGATGGGATTGTTTCCTCTAGGAAAAAAGCCTCCGTTCCCGATGCTTCGGGCATCACACCCATCTTTCGCCAATCGACACGGTCGTCTAAGCGCGGTCGAGCAGCAAACAAGCGAAGGAGTGATCATCTGTCTCCTTCCTTCCAATCGTCTATTGCCTCTGTCCCCACACCTGAATCAGTCACACTAAAGGCTCATCTCACTTCGTTGGCCTTGCGGTTATCCGAACAGTTTCCCTCAGACGCTAAGATATTGACAAATATGACGTTCGATACGGATCGACTAGTTGCCGGCGCTGCAAGTTTTAATTTAAGTAACCGATTGGAAATGGAGGGGTTTTACGAACCTAGGGATGTCACAGCGGCGGGATCCGTTGGGAAGCCAAACAAGAGTCTCATGCATGTGTTCGTTGATCAGTGAGTGCCTTTTGCCCGCAGATGGTGAACATTATTCTCATTCCCTCAACATCACAGTTCTAACATCCTTGTCGGTTTTCTTGAATGGCTGAAAAAACAACCACAACAGCCTTCTAAGCTTTCCGTACCTGGTGGGGCTTGGACTGCTCCAAAGATAAATAAGCCCAGGCTGTCGCATGCGTCCCTCATTTTACTCCTCGAGCGCGGCCGAACATGCGGTCGGCGCGTGCTTGTGGCCTCTTCACCCCTCCATCAGGGTACGTTAACCTCCGACACTTCGTAGATCCTCAGTCACAAATGTGAAATTGGTCAACTTTTAGGTGTCGATGATATTATTGAGATGGGTTACGAAGTAAGCGTTCTTCAACGCGTAGCCATTAAAGAAGGCTTGTCAAATGGTCCTGTAACTTTGAATGGGAAGTCACGCTGGGCGCCCGTCCACAGTCGCAACACCAGTAGTGCAAGTCAGAGCTCGTTTACTAGCAGTGCTGGTATTGGAAATCCCGTACAGCAATATCATGGCAACAGTTCAGCAGCGCAATTGGGTTCTGGTGGATCATCGACGGAGTCTGGAGGGAAAGAGATGAAGGGGTTGGAGAGGCACGGTAAACCATCGAACGGAAATGGTGCTCCGGTTGTACTGGGACATAGGAGGTATGGATCTGCACCAAGTACCTTCTCTTCGGGACAGACCACATCCAATCTCCAGCATTCCCGACTCTTCACGAATCTGCTCAACTCAGCGTCCCATTCACCTTTTGACCGGCCATCCCTCATTGAGTCGCCTTCTCCCCCAAACGGTGGCAACATCACTCCTTCTACAAACGCTCGTGGTGCAGCGCGGTACAGAGAAGAGGCAGTAGACGAACTCCTCCAGCTAAAACTACTTCAAGTCCTTGTGGCATCCACAGATAAGCCTCCCCGCGGCTCAACCATAGTCCTAGCAACGGGTGATGGCGCCTCGAGTCAATTCAACAAAGACGGGTTCCTCGGGTGTGTGCGGCAGGCGGTCGAACGGGGGTGGAGGGTGGAGTTAGTCGCCTGGGAAGAAACGAGAAGTCGTGCTTGGAGCGAGCTAGCATATGAAATAAAGAGGAGGAGGAGCAGTGGGGAAATGGGCAAGGGATTTGGTGGCGGCCTGCATCTCGTGAGTCTGGAGAGGTGGGGGCGGGACCTATTGGACCCCAGCTGTCACTAGCGTGCGGGGCAAGACCTGCCTTGTTTCAGGTGTTTTTTTGGCTCGGCACTTCATTCTCCATTGATCCCCAAATATCCTGCTCCCCCACTTGTTTTGAAGCTTGCGCTTTCTGCTGTTAAACCTCCGCTTGATTGTTCATGGGTTTCCCGCATGCTTTCTATCGCTGTTTATGTATTTTAGTGTACAAAGAACCTCCTGTATCTGAACGCCTCCAGGTAAGAGCAGTACACTTGCTGCTTGCACATTACATAATTACCTTGCTTGCAAGGTCATGTCCACAATTCGTGGGAATTTTGAAAATGTATTGACCGCTTCTCTGCACGTGTCCTTTCTTACAACTCTCGCGGTAAGATCTTTCTGGCTCATTTTTCCCACTACTTCGTAGCGGGTTCTGCACATTTAGGCCCCGCAAGTGCTGTTCACAGGATCCTTTGTAACCCAGGGTCCTCTTTTTCCAATATGACAATCACTTCCGCTGTAGTACCACTGCGATAAGACAAATCACTTGACCCCTCGTATAACTATGTTAGCTCAGACTTCAGACACCCAGTCGGCTCTCTGTGAGTACGAATTTGACTAACACTACACATTCCTCATCCCAATCTCAGTTTGAAACGCGACTCTTCCTGCACACTGTGGCTTCCTCTAACTCCATTTGCATCACTTCCGATTCAACCTCTAAACCGTGGTCATACTCATTTTTGAGTGTGCCTTGGACCTCGATCCATCCACCATCACTAATTAGACATACCACCTCCGTGATTCATATCAACGGCGCAATGCACTGCATTCTTTTAATCGGATAAAGCTAGTGGAATAGAGAGCGTTGGGAAAGCTAACTGGTGTTGGGTAATAACTAATGTAGTGTGCTCATGGCAAACAAAAAGAGGGGAAAGAACACCCATGACAGCTTAATAAAAGTTGCGCGATGGTAGAAAGAACCTCAGCATAATGGTGCAAAAAGACCCTACCAGTTTGATGGAAAGATCAACGATTCGGCAGAATGTTCCGTTGTGGCGGTTAACCTCACATGCAGAAGGCTTATCACAAGCAAGGTCAGGGCTGCACGGCAGCCATTTCTAGTACAATGAACTACCGACATTTCCCGCGTTGTTGCGCGATTGCATACTGTGATAGATATGTCACATTCCTACATGCGGGGTTTGGAAGCCGGGAGTCGAAAGCCTGAAGGGATGACGATATCCGTATTCGGCTGGCAGTCACCGTCAGCTGGTGCTCTTTGATTCAAGCTCAACATTCCCGTCATTCAGCAAAAGCAACGGAACAACAGAGCGGCGCACACACAGGGTGAGTGCTATCAGCCATCCAGCGCTCATATCATTGGGGCGCCATGATCGCACGCCCCTCTCATATGAAGCCTAGTTCTCTTCTTGATAGGGTATCAGCCTGTATCCTGCAACGTCGCAGTTGCAGGAATTTTTTTCGGTAACTCAGTTCACATCTGAAGCTCAATTCGAGAGCATCCAGTTGAACCCTGCAGACGTCTTGTTAACGCTCGCTGTCTCATTGTTTACGACTTGTACACCATACCAATAACTCTTCACGCCTCACTGCCCTGCAATCCTTAGTGACTGGAACTTTCCCTTGGCTATACCACGTAGTTGGGTCATTGATTGGTCTTATGCTAATCGCCTCCAAGTTACCTTACTGACTGGCAGGGTTGGACATGACACAGCACAGCATCTCCCGGGTCGAATGTTTGGAATGAGCCACCCGTGCGTTCAAGTAGCATGATACACATTAACTGGTCAGACGCCCGAGTGATCCACTGAAGCGAAGTGTCTAGGGTAAGGTGTTATTTTTCGCTCTAACCTGACGTTCCGAACATAGGAATTGAAACGTCTTTCCAGACCGCAACGATTGACCCCGGGCCATCTGAGCACGGTATCGTGCCCCTTCGCGAGCACAATGGCCGCGCATTGAGCCGCCCTGCACTTCGCTGTGCAGTGGCCTCGGTAATTTTCCAGCCCAAGCGAGGCTTAAACGTCGACCTAGCAACGGGCTGACAGCCCAGGCGACTGGTTTGCTGTCGGCCGACACGTTCGACGAGGGGAAACTGAACGAGGTCTCATTGTTGAATGTAGTAATGGCTGCGCCGTGAATTCAAGACCACTGGTCAGTTCATCGAGCCATGGCCTCTAAGATGCCCAAAGGCCCCACCAGGTCGGTAACTTTGGATACCGTTGGATGAATAGTGGACCATTGGCACCAGTGCCGTTGGACTGCTAATCCCAACAGATTAATTACCAAGCGCAAGCGCTTGGAAATTTGTACTTCAAAATGCACGCAGCATTCACCCAGTTCCCACATCATGTACTAGAAAATCACGCTCCGATCACGCATGGGCTCCACTTGCGAGCGCATGATCCTTACAGAACACTACTCGTAATCATCCTTACCGCCGGGGTGAATTCACAAGGGTTTGACCGACTTGAAGGCTCTATTTCAATACTTTCCCAATTGTAGCGACGCCGCCTGAAGCGGCAATACCCGCTACTCCCACATCGACGCAGCGTCGCAGCCCACTTAGAAGTCACTCTGGAGCCGTCTTTGCGCGCCGTGGTACTAGGTGGTACTACAAATGTAAAATATCGTTAAGTTTTAAATCAGGACCGCATCCCCAGTCTGCATATACAACCCCACTGACATTATGAACCTGAATTGAACGCCACAGCAGTATAACACTCCAAGACTGGCGAAGGAGTTTATGTGATATTATTTGGTTTCGGTGAGTAAATACAAGCAAAATGTCACGACAGTGTTCGAGAGAGGGAGGTGATTGGTTTGTCAACAGCAAGGAGAGCAATGCAGACGGTGTGTAAAAGCGCGCGCGAAACCTGAGAGTAGGCAGGAATCTGAGAGGACAGGAAGGTAGTCAAAAAGAAGATGGAAAAACAAATCACAAGAGGGATATTGAGAGCGGTGCGCAACACATGCACCTTGAGTAACAATCGCCGGTCAGGGCATGGCATAGGAGCAAATTCCATTGATCGTTGATTGACAATGAAAAATCATATAGGCCGTGAGCGATCGCTTCTTTGGTTAGATGATAATCGCAATCAGCTTCAGTGGTAAGGAGTTTAAATGGCCAGGGGCCACTTAAAAAGGCTCGGTGTGGAGAGGACGCCATAGTGTGGAGCAAGAGTTTGGGCAGGAAGGAAGTGCAGCAGGAGGGTTGGAGGATTTGGGCAGGAGAGAGTGGGGGTGAGGGACAACTTGGGTTAGCTCGGTAAGCAAGTTGAGGTAAAAAAGGGAATAACCAATAACGGTGCTCAGGTATTCAGTTTGTGCACGCAAGACCCGCTACAGAGTAGCGGGAATTAACTGAACTTCTGATCATCAGTATAGTCCTGATGCCAGGGTGTAGTGCTTAGCAGCTGAGACAGGTGCACGAAAATCTGTTGCTTCAACTTGCCGTGTCAAGAGCCATATCAACGTGTCCACCATAGCCCCAACCTCATTGAAACGCTTCCTACAGCCCTCCCTGTAGCCCACAGACCGGTGCGGATGAACTGGAATCCGAAGTGCGCGAAAAGGTATGGGCATAGAAGTTTGGTTCAGAGGATTATGTCGTGGTCTCCCAAGCTTGATCCTCCAAAGCTGAGGATCCTGTCTGAGGAACCTCGACAGGAATTGTTCACCAATGGAAGCTGACATGCATCCGAGGCCAGTGCGAGATTTGATTTCCCTAATGGGTAGGGGATGCCTGTGTAAAGAAACGAGGCTTGGCGGGATTTCCGACCCTGGAAAATGCATCAAACGAGCACCATCACCCTCTTGCTGAAGGCCACGACGTGCGCCACTGCCCAAGGCTTGCCAGATCACGAAGCTTTCGTGCCTGCAATCCAGCCGTTTAAACCTGATATATGATTATTCGCATAGTTGTACACGGAACTATATACCCCTCAGTCCATTCGTCCCTTAAGCGTTCGAGTAATAATCTTCTCTGGTGTTCTGGGACGGGGCCAACTTAGCTGAACCGATAACGAGCAGGTAAAGACTCACATGATGTGTACTATAGCCCCCCAACCGGAGAATGCATCACGGTCAACAGCATTGAGGAGTGTTTGTGAAATGGTCTCAAAGAGATCTTCCGGTTCCTGTATCGAGAGTTGGGACCGAAACGTGGAAGTAAGCGAGTGCGATAACGAAGGGATCGAAAGGGGGAACATACAAGATCAGGTTCCCACAAAGACTCCGCTGTTCCAAACAGCTTGTCAGCTGCCGTCCCGGCAACAACAAAATCCTTGGGAAGGGTCAAGCACCCAATCAAATCCGTTCCGGCAATGTATGGCCTACTGCCCTCTGAGGGCTTGGTCAGGCCAGCAATGATAGGCTCTATGTAATACGGCCCAAATCTACAGCGGGTTGTATGTGTAAATAAAGTGTGCAGAGAACAGAGTCATCACCACATGCCTTCGTTCATAAAGCGTCGAGCTGACGAGGTGTGCGAAGGTTTGTGGTTCGATCTCACGTCCTTCCTTAATGGTGTACATGTTTACGCGATAGCGTAAGCGTTCCTTCCTGAAATAGAGGTACATATCAGTCGCCCATAGAGCCAGCGTAAGGATAAACCCACAGCGTTAGAACGTCCGTCGCCAAACCGGGTAAACCGACGTATATACGATCTGTGACAGGGAATACCTAGGGGTAATGAGTCTGACGTGGCCTCGAAAAGAATTAGACGGAGACAGAATCAGGGACCTTCTCAAAATTCGTCGCAATCGTCAGAGCCTGGTTCCCTAATCTCAAATCTGAAGCAATCGCAACGCAGTTCTTTCCCGTCATGGCCACAACGGACCCTCCGTTGAGTTCCATAATCGACTGGTTAGAAATTACCATGACGCGTCAGGTATTAGCTGGGATGCCCTAACAAAACTGCAGGCTAACCATGATGGGCAACACGCAGGGTGGACAACAGGCAGTTAATGGTGTGAGGTTACTTCAAGAACGCGCAAGCTAATGGGACGCGTAACGGATGCTTCCGGATCCCAACTCAATTTGATTTTCAATGTCGATGCCAGAAATAGCGACACATCAGAGAATACCTGGGATTAGACATGATGAACGGAAGGTAGATATGTCACAAATGCGTAAATCAGGGTCCAAAAGAAAAGAAGTTATTGGGCATGATCCAAATACATGCATTTGCATGGCCGGGTGTTGTGCAGTCAAGCGCCAACACCTAAAGACGAAGTAATGGGAGATTAGGAAAATGGGGGGCCGGGCATTGAACTGGAGAAACGCTGAGGAGAGCGAATGTGATGGAGACAGATGGTAAAAAAAAGCACAACCTGGAATGGGCATTGAATGCAGACGAATTATAATGCACTATGTGGCAAGAAGTGAAATCAAATTATAGATGCCAACTTGAAGAAAAGAATGCGTATTTAGATCCACCAGGGCGAAAACCACTACATTACATATTCCGAAGAATTGCGAGCGCCCTTTCATACGTCTCAGGAGTCGCCTGTTTGGTTGTATCAATCACCATCACTGCGCTTTTCTTCCTTGCTTTACCCACTCCACCGCCTGGGCGCGGGCGGGGTGGAGGGTCTTGGTGGTCAGGTATTCTTCCGAGAGGTGTGCATTCGGGATCAACCCCTCTTGTGCCTATTCTTGCGTTCGAGCTTGCGCTCACGTCTAAGTAAAGATCATTGGTTGCTGTAGTGCCTCGTCTCTTTAAAAGCGACACATTGATGTCAGCCTTGGTCGCTACTGCTGTCGTTGGATCAAGTTTTCGTCTCTCCAGCAAAGTAGTCGCAGCCTTAGCATCTACCGCGCTTTGGCGAACAGCTACACTGGCGAAGCGAGACGACAAATCGGAGACATGGTCGTACGTCAAGTTCACAGGCTCTCCAAAGAACTTCATGAGCTTCGCAGCTCGTCTCCTTCTCACTTGAAATTCTTTAAACTGTTCACGAGACACTGGAGAATCGCCCTCTACGACAGTCACAGAGGACGAAGCTTGTTTGATGCGTCTCTGTGGCGGGAAATCGACTGGCGCTGAGCATGGGCCAATGAACGTTCCTTGACGTTGAAGGCAGGATAAGGATTTAGGAGCAGAACCACCAGCATCCGGCTCAAGGCCAGCGGAAATTGTTGGGACCTGCGTTATAGGGGTCGAGGATGATCGCCCATGCTGTTGGTAATTTTTCCTCGACGATGATGGATGTGCTCGTATTGTGGGCATCGTTCCCACAGATTGAGGCTCGCATGGGCCTATAGTCGTTGCTCCTCGGCACCTGAGACGTGGCAGGGGTTCGGGAGTAGGAGCATAGGAGTCGGAGTCAATATTGGCAGAAACTGTTGGGACGAGAACTGAAGCGGCCGAGAGAGATCGCCCATGGTAATCTCTCCCACGCGAAGAAAGCACCGTCTCCACAGTTTGGTGTTTGTGTGGATTGGAATGAATACTATATGCAGCGAAAGGCTCGGGTGACGGAGCCTTGGAGGGCCAAGGAAACCGCTCATTTCTCATGTACGTAACCGTCGCTCCTGAGTTTTCCGGTGGAACTTGGGTTTCTGTCGAGGTGGTAGGCGTAGGAGTGCGCAAACAGTGGTACCGCAGAACAAACATGCACGACTCCTCCGAAAAGGCCAGGGTACAAGGGCTCCCCTGATTTTTGTGTGTCTGCGCCGTTGCATCCCCATTGAGCGTCGCCGTATCCACGTTGCCGTCATCTGAAGCGGTCGGTAGCGACGAGGATGTCGTGCTGTCAGCATAGAGACTAAAACAGAGGCTCGATCGAGAGACCTCGTACGAGTCAGAGTCAAGATCGATGAAACTTTCGTTATCGTGAGCATCTTTCGGGCCCGCTGATTTAGACTTGGAAATCGGTTGGCACACGTCGGAAGGAGGGATCGCTCCAAAAATCTGTGGCGAACCAACACAACGTCAGGAATAATTGAATGGCCCAGTTGTAAAATAACATGCCTTGGAGACTTTCGACACCCTTCTAACCAGCTCATTTCTCTCCTTTGTGCTCATCTTCCTCCCACTAACGCCGAGATCAGCAATCTCCGGTCCCTCATATTTACGTATTCCCTGTGCCTGGTTGGAAAGATCGGTGTCATTGACCGCAGGAACCTTTGACGGCGTCGGTCTTCCACTTGATACTGTCGCTTCTCTGCAACCCTTGATGGATGCGCTGGCGGAAGGCATCAAAGAAATGCTATCAGAACAACGGGATATTTCCAAATCCTCTGTACCCCGCGCCCTCGATTCCACAATAGGGCCAAACCTCTCCACACTCACGTCTTTGAGCACAAGTTCGTCCGGAACATCTCCACCCAGAATCCTTTTTAATTTGTCGAGTCTGCTTCGAGCTCGGCGGAGTTCTTTCTCAGAGGGAGTAGGCGACGGGGGTGGTGACGGGGAGCTGATGCTGAGGAACGAGACGAACGAGACGGGAGAGGACGGGGGGCACCCTTGCAATTTAGACTTGGAATCAGACTTGCTGAAATAGGTTTGGGAATGGGATGTAAACTTGGGCGTAGGAGATTGAGAACGGGAGCGAGGCACGGGTGATCGCAGAGAAAGCGGAAACTCTGATGCAACTGCTGTCGACGTCTCGGGAGATGGTGAGACGAAGATCTGAAGGGGCTTCTTCGGTCGCAGTTTCTGTCGTTTCATCCCAACCTGACCCGACCCAGTCCCGATATGATCGATAGGGGGCACGGTCACTCGGATTCCAGGCCCTGCAGAAGTCGATAGAGTGCTTTGTTGAGCATTGATAGAGGCATTAATCAGGCTCTTCGCACCACCGCTACGACAGGATTGCGTCGTTCGTTGCCTAAATAAATCTGTGGCCAATGGTGATACGGGGGGGATAGGTGGTAGCTCAATGCCCGTGCGCGAGGAAAAGGTGAACTGGGGGATGGTTAGTGTCTGGGTTGGGAGCAACAGCTCTCCTTGAGGTTCGAAGCCATCCGACATGTCTGTCCAAATTCCAACGCAGATTTGATATCGCACAAATCAGGCACGGAGTCTGGGAGGTTGAAGCGTCGGGGTTCGAAGGGCTCACAGCCAGCTTCCACAAACGATAGCGAAAGCAACAGCCTGTCTGGCAAGAGGATCAACTGGGAGCAAAACAATGGCCGATAACGGAACAAAAAAAAAAGAAGAATGCCCAGCAAATCCTGGAAAAGCCTTGTTCGCATCACTCCATCATTCGAAACCCGGAGGAACGCATACCCAAACGAATTGCAGTCGGCCGCTTCGTCGTTGACCCCCAGTATAGGAGCAGAGGGAGAGAAGCCCTCAACCGTGCAGCTCCCTGATGGCCGTGGCAACCGCCTGTGGACATCTTGCAATAGAAAACTCACGCAATCGAAGGTCCGTTATTCCTTAGGAACTCTCGGCATTGAATTGGCTTGCGGCAAAAATCGTGTAAATTCGGCTTCTGCCGCTCACATTGATATGGTTTTAGAGTGTTTAGACATATGTAGCCTCGCCCCAAATTTGTCGAAATAATTCACCGATTTGATTTGGACGAATACGGAGTTACTCGCCAAATGTAGCAGTGATGAGGCGGCTATCAAATGCGTCAGCGCTAAACTAATTATGTATATATATATTTGAGTGACTCAGATCCCACCCATTCAGAATGAGCCATTTGTAAGTGGCTTGATTCATCTCACTCACAAATATTCCCACAAGTCGATCCTTGTATATTCAAGAGTGGGAGATCTGAGGAGAGGCTGCTGTACCAGAGCAGGGAATTACCTTCCAAAACAGTGGGAACTTATCAATGCGGCGAGGGAGATATGGTGGCCGCGGCGTGGACATTGCAGGGACCTATCAAAGATTCAAACGAGAAACATTTGGGGGTGAGAATATGTAAGAGGGATGTTCACTCGACCTGCTACCATTGTTGTTGTTCGATCCGTATGACTAGGAGCGCCAACGAACACGTGGGAAGCCCTTTGTGTTGATGCACGGGTTAAATGACGGCCGGATGGGCCCCTGTGCGGGGCGCCCACGCCCAAAGCGCTTGGAATGCGGAGACCGCCACCCTTGGTGCATGAAGAGAAAAGAAAAAGAATAGAGAGCCGCGTGCGGGCGCTGGTGTACAGGAATTAGTTACAAAGTTGTAGACACAACAAAGAGAGGACAAAGTTCAGATTCGCCTCAGTCGCACGGTCCAACAATTATGTGTTTTTATAATCAAGCGCTATGGATGTGCACTGACTGTGGCAGCGAGTAATCCAAAATAGGAACAAGAAGGAAACTATAGACTCAACATCAACTTGGCCACAGCGTACGCCTATATTCCAAGAAATCTCATACTTTAAACGCATTGCAGCAATGAAATAGCCACCCCGCTTGCCCATGTCCTGATCACAGGTGCCGAGCCCGTGACGCTGCGGGCGCGGGTTGAATTGACGAACCGTCAAGCAATTTAGTCCAACCAACTTAAGACATGGACAGCAAGTTGGAAATAGTTCACCAACAGTACCCTCGGAACGTAAGGCCACACTGTGAAGCTAGAGTAGAGTAGCTTAGTTAGATATCGAGTTTGCATGCACGGAAGAGAAATGGTGCCAACAAGATAAGTATTCGTGTTCACTCAATGCCAAAAGGGGTTATATACTGTGCATGTGGCATGACACGGAGGGCAACCACTACTTCGAAATGATGGGACCCAAGCATCATACGGGCTGATCCACTCACGCCGCTGGGCTGAAACTGGATCGATCGGATTAAAATTCAAAATAAGTTGGGGGGCGCGGCACATGAGCATGTTTTGATGTCAGCCGGAAAGAACTGGGCATCAGCACATTGGCAGTATGGAATCAAAAAATAATTGCCCACATGGTCGCTGACATTCGACGAGGGCCTCATTCAGTGGACCGTTGATTGCAACCGGATGACATTACCCGGAAAGCACGATCGACATGCGGTTCACATATGAGAAGGGGCAGTAAGTTGGCCACAGGCCTTTCCGGGATCCCCCCGCTTAGCTCTTCAGTCAAGCAAGTGGTTAACAAGGAGGGGGGGGGGCTCGGTTTGGCGGTAAACCCATCAGGTCTTGTGAGTCACACCGATCGGAACTTAGTTTGAGTGATCAGGAATGCTTCGGACGGCGCCGCCACCCGCGCGATAGGCGGGGAAGCTCACGACAAGAAAGGAGAACAGCACCGTGTTGCATTGAAGAACAGCATTGGACTCAATGCCTGGCACTTGTGAGCGTCACGAAAAGAGGCCTGAGGATGAAGCAGATGCACCCCAGCCATTCAAGCCAAGCGACAAGCGCAGTGATGTGCAGGAGACGGAATCGATCCTCATTCATGTGAAAAAAGTAGCGCTCCTGGTTGATAAACCACATGGAGGGTGCACTACACACTCCAAAGGGAGAAAGAACAATTATTTGACCAAATGAAGACGGTGCAAGGCCGCGCGATGAAACTGGAGTGCGTGTGTGAAAGACTGATGTGCCAGACAGGATGATGTGGGGCTAAACAGAACCTATCACTGACATAGGCACAGCTAAAGGCGCGTAATAACCCAAAAAGATTTAAGCAAGAGTTGAATGAAGAACTTGTATCCGTCCCGACCGATGCTTCACCACAAGATCTCGCTTCGCACAGTGAACAGAATGATGTGAGCTGCATCTTCCCACTCCGTACAGCCCATTCAGTGAATGTGCTCCAACCGGTGATGCCTTCGGATCCGTACATGGTGTTTCACAAGCGGGACCATTGTGCCAGTGATGTTCCCAAAACACTCCGCCTCTAAGCATCAATGCGGTGAGCACTCCGGAAACCGAGACCATCATCGGCTCGGGGCTACAGCTCGGCTACTAGGGAGTGGAGGCCAGGACCTCCTAACTACGTTACTGTTACTGGTTACCTGCAACTAGTTACCATGGTGCATTGCAACAATGGTTTCAAGTCGCCTATCTCAGCGAGTTGTATGAGAGACTGAGTCGTAAGGGGCATAGTGGCAGAAAGACAAAGGCCATTGTAGCAAACGTGATGAACATAGCTCTCCATTCGCGAGCCGGTGACAGCTCTAGGAAGTTTTCGCTTGAGGATCAGGGCACAGGGGTGGACAGCTGCACCTCCGATGAGTGCCAGTATTAGCGGTATGTGGAGGGGCTCCTCGGTCGAGCAAGACACAGCGAGACCGGAGATGATGGATACCGAACCGATGTCGCGATTCAAAAATGAGAATGATGAATCACAGAATTAACTAATTCGGGTGTGTGAAACGCGCCCCCATTGAGTTTGTTGACAAGGAAGGTGAATGGAAACTGAAAGCCACAGACAAAATCTAACAGAAATGAAAATCTACATCTGTGAGCTTGGGGCTTCGGAGGAGGCGCGGAGAGCGCGAACGGCAGGCTGATATATCGATGCGCCACATTCCCACGATGTATCCCGGCTGTTATGTTCGGAGTATGGTTCGCTTGTTCGCTTGGAACTTGCCGAATTTTTGCTGCCCCAACCTACTAGTTCCGCAAACTCAGTGGTGAAACCGTCCTAAAGTCATTTATGGCAGGCTACACAATGGGCTGCCCAGCAAATCATTTAGTCGGTTATAGCGGCTGGGAAGACAAATCACCAAAACATTTTCATAGCCCCTGGCACAAATGCCCAAAATCTGTGTTCACCGGACTTCTTATTGACACATTCCGATTGATCACGGCTACAATATGCTCATTCACCGCAGTATAGAGGTATTCCGATCGAGGGGCACTGCCGCCCGAGTCCACAATGGGGACACATCGCCCAGTGAAGCTTAAATAGCTACCAATCCTGCAACAGATGTCCATCATCAAACAGAGAACTTGGGGCGCAACATAAGCTGCAGTCGCCTGCTTCAGTCATCAGTCAACGAGAACCATCACTGACCCAGAAACTGAACAAATGTCTAATCAGAATTCCCTTCACCCTGGTCAGGCTTGCCTTGAGTGCCGTCGTCGAAAAACCGTACGTATATCTAGTTGCAATTTGTCTTTGCACCCTAGGACTCACATTTGTGCTGTAATTGTAGAGATGTGATGGAGTTCGACCAACATGCTCCAGGTGCCAGCGTCTCCGAAAGGATTGCGTTTTCGAACCTGAAGCCCGACGACCCCAACTCGACCGTATGGAGGAAAGACTTCTAGAGCTGGAAGGCATTATCGGGGAACTGGCCCGACGGCCTGTCTCACTCAATCACGAACTTATCCGTAGGCTTATGCGTGATGATGTCCCCTCTACGGACAGAACTCCCGCCCACAGGCAGTTCTTTCCACTTTACTGCGACCCCCCGAGGGTTTCCTCGGGCGGTGTGGTCACCGGCTCTGAGATGTCAGAGGGTTATGGAAGTGTCGTTCCACGTGCCCTGCTAGATGCTGGCCTACAGCGCGTCACAGAAGAGGTGCCGCTGGAGCTGGCAGATGACCTGTGAGCCCACCGCACTCATGTTACAGCTGATCAAATAAACTGACTCACAATGTCATGCGAAGCACGCGACTATTGCTGCCATTCAGGGGTCAATTCCATTTCTACGTTCATATCCCTCGGTTCCTTCATAAGATTCGTCTCCAGCCCTCTGATGCTCAGGCTGTTCACCCCGCTCTCCTCAATGCTGTTTTTCTGGCGGCGTGCAATGTCGGTGGTGGATTCATGGCCACCTATGAGACTCTTTTTCTCAACCGTACTCGTCATTTCCTCCAACAATCACTTGCCATGGCCGATCGCTTGGTCGACTTCATGTGGGCGAACGTCCTTCTTGTTTCTTACTATATCCGTGTAGGTCGAGTCGTTGAAGCGCACAACGCCCTTGCCTCTACGGTGCGCTTTGCCGTAGGTGCAGGTCTCCATGACGCATCCGAGGGTCAGACCGGACTGGCAATGCCTCCCGCTGATAGTACCGATAGAATGGAGAGAACCCACCTCTGGTATGCCCTCATGCTATGCGAAGCCGCCATAGGCGTAGGTGCTGGCTTACCACCTTCGGCCCCGCGCGAGGTGAGCGTCTTTCACTCACGTTTGAATAGTAAATGTATTCAGAGGCTGGACTATTCCAGCATTGCGCTTCTCTTAAGGCTCTCTTTTTCGGTCGGCAGATTCCAGTGAGTCCATTGTCGTCAGGACATCGGTCAGGTTGCATTGACCAAGGGTGTTCAGAGCGGCGCAGTGGAGATTAAGACGAAGGCCGCAGTCCTCCTTCACGAAATAAAGAATCTCATCGCCATCCCGATTGGTGAATCGAATAATCTCTCCTCTCTCTACCTCTCTTACTGTCATCCCTCAGGCCCCAACGGACGACCGTTGTCCGACTTCTCCCAGCGTTACAACACCCTAATCGCAGCGCATTCCACACTCCGTTCAGAATTGCCTTCACTTGTAGACCCTTGCGGCCTCCAGCCCACTGAGGCAGTATCCTATGCAAATCCGGACCTCGTACAAGCGCACTTGTCGTTTCATGTTTGCACCATTCTGCTTTTCAATATACAGACGTCGGGAAGTCAAAGTGCGGCCGCCAGCGAACAAGTCACTCACGCTGCCCATTCCATGGCGAATATTGCACTGCATGTCAGAAGAGGCGTGGTCCTGATGCCTATCCAGGCACATTTAACCTCTGTGGTATGTGATTTCCGGAAGCACTTTTGAGGGATTCGCGAAAATGATTTGCTCCTTTTTCTTTCTGTGACACCTATGCAGTGGTATTACCATACGGCATGTGAAGTACTTATTCGAGAGATAAAACGCCTGACAACTGGTGGCTCTCCTGGACCTGAGGGGGCCGTGGAACAGACGGATAGAAGCTTGGCTGCCCTATTTGATACACTCCTAGATCTCGTTGATCTATATCCACGTTGGCGTACGTTTTTCACCTGCTTGCTACTTTTTATGCGGCCGCTTCGTGCTTACGGAATGTCTCACCGTCATAGAGTCCACTATTCGCAAGCTACCCCAGCTATTCGAGAGTGATGAGTATGATACCATTTAGGTAGAGGCTGTATGAGCCTGGCCTGTCAGCTATGTCCGGCCCCACAATCTGCTTTTTTAGTTCGATTTCAGTTTTCCGTTCGTACCAAACGGTAATTACCATTTTCGGGCATTTCTAAAGTGCCATTTTTGCACTTAGTGTGGACTCGATATTTTCTCACAAAATCCCATGTATAATTGATAATCTTTCGATAGAATAATATATCTCACCATGTCCGCTTCTACCTTGTTGTTTTCGGTGCCTCTCTGCTGCTGATAAGCGCCCATGGTCTGGAAGACCAAATCCGAACGGGCCTCCCGCATTTCAAATCAAGAATCACGCTCAATTTCATATACTTATCCGATCGTGAGCACGATCAGCCTACAATTCCTTCCTCCTGATCAACTAAACAAGCGGGACACGTTTATGTAAGTGACAGGAGTCACTGTAGACGCTGGAGGCAGGTCTGACCCGTACCTGCTCTTTCAAGTATCAATTAGGGTGTGCAATATTCCCGAAGTCAATGCATCCTCGGAACGCTGTGCAATTCGCACACTCTAGGGGAAGGCCCGCGCTTGAGGGATGCTGATTGAGTCACAATCACTCATACACATTAAGGGCGCGGGTGCCATTCACCATGATTTAGAAGGTCGAGATGGTCAGGATTGAATCCCCCAAGGAGGGTTGAGCTCGATCAGTAGGTATATTAGGTATGCTCCGCCCTGATCGCAACGCTCTCCCCCGGGAATGAGACACTGTCGTCTAGTCGGGTCAATCAACCTTGTTTCAAGGGCGCCGGCACCGCGGCGCTGCAGAATCAGATGAAATTCTCCTATCGACTCGCTAACACGGCCAACCCTGCCGCGCTCCTAACTGCTGACTGCCACGTGTTAGTCCCGTGTCGGTACAAGGACTCTGATGCCAACATGAGAGCTAGGTCGCCATGGTGGGAAAGCTTGGCATGTGTTTGTGCTAATTCTAGGAGCGAGTCCTCTTCTTTTTTTTCCTTGATGGCGCCGAGGATGTGCCCTCAAATCTCGTTAACCACTTAAACTTCCCATCAAATGATAGGCAAGTTACACCGAAATTACGAACTCAAATTGACTACAACCGGGTGCATGCTTTTCATGACAATCGACCCTCAAACTTGATCATTGCCTCCTCCTATGTTTGCGGCCTTTTCCCTGGAATTATCTTGGATATGCATCGCCCATAGCGGCCTTCATGCGATCGACGCGTCCACGCGTCCATGCGACTCCTGTTGGGGATGACCCAGAAACTCATGACAACGCCTCACTCGAGGCTTATATAGACGCATGCGTACCACCTACTGTCGCTATCTCTAACGAATCCTTTTTGTTGGTCTCCGCCCGAAGGCAGAAATACTCCTTCGACGTCAGTAACTGACTTGGGCGGTCTACGCTACACACGCCCCGCAGACGGAAATTTCCAAGTTTTTGGTGGATGGCAGCTCCATCGTCCAGTGTGCTTCCTCCTGGAACAGCTTGTGTTGAATGCCGCAGGAGGAAAACGGTTTGTGCTGCCCCCGATTCCTGTCTCTTGGCTCATTACTCTGCGCTGGTAGAGATGCGACGGAATTCACCCTGAATGCTCTAGATGCGCAAGACTAGGGAAACAATGCAGATATGAACCGCCAGACCGTCGTCCAAGAATTGACCGCATGGAGGGCCGTGTGCAGGAATTGGAAGAGAGACTCGAGGAACTCACGAGAAGACCTCCGCTGTTAGAGCATGAGCTCATCCAAAGACTTATGGAAGGGCCGAGACAAGTGGGTCGGACTCCTTTCGTCCGGCCGTTTTTGCCATTTTTCTCGGAGTCACCGAACACAACATATACTGGTCAATCTACCATTCTTCAATCTGGGCTCCAAGAGGGATACGGCAGCACTATTCCCCGTGCCCTTCTGGATGCGGGACTTCAACGCCTTCACCCGACTGCTGATGTGACGCCTGAGTTGAGTAATTACCTGTGAGTCATCATTTTCAGGATGGCTGCCACGTGTTTGCGCTTATCCTGACTCATAGGGTCCGCGTCCTTATCCCATCTCGCGGTCAATTTCACTTCTACGTAGATGTGCATCGGTTCATCTATCGCCTCCGTCTTCCTCCCGGTCATCCCTCCGCGATTCACCCTTGCCTTCTTAATGCAATCTACCTTGGAGCCTGTTCAATAATTGGCGGCGCTTCTATGATTGCACATGAGCAACTCTTCCTGAATCGAACCCGCCAATCGTGCGAACAATCTCTCGCCTTCGCAGATCGCCTTGTTCACTTTATGTGGGCCAATGTTATTCTAGCACAATATTATTTGCGTGCTGGTCGCGTCGTCGAAGCACATAATACCATTGCCTCGACGGTGCGGTTTGCCGTGGGCGCAGGATTGCATACAGACGCTGAAATGGAGGACACGGAAACAGGAGACATGACTTCTCTAGCACTTCCCCCGGCGGATCCGATCGATATCGAAGAACGAGTGAACCTATGGTTTTCCCTCACGATGTGTGAAGCGGGAATCTCGCTAGGAACCAGCCTGCCATCTTCTGCGCCGCCTGTGGTCAGTACTACACTGATTTGCGATCGTATGAATAGGGTGATGTTCTGATATACTTTTTGAAGCACCGCGCTTCTATCGATAGTTTATTTTTTAGAACCGCACCATCTGCGAGTAACTTCCTCTTCCTGTCTCTTCTTTGTATTGAAGCCAGCACTATTCAGTACGATACCCATTATTCTGCTATAGAACTCAAAGCTCGATCGGCAATTCTGCTTCACGCTACAAGGAACTTTTTGCCCCTCACTAAAGGTAAGCCATTTCTGACCGTTATTCCAAGTATTGATGGGAGGACTGCCTGGCTCAGATGGTCAAGTTCGCCCCGATCTTCCCCGATACGAATTGCTTCTTGAGGCTCACTCTGCCATGGAACGTGTCATGCCGGACTCAACTGACCCGCGTGGAATCCTGCCAAGTGAAACATTCTCGTGGTTTAATCCTGAACTCGTGCAGGCCCACTTAGCCTGGCACACGGCGACGATTCTATTACATAATGTTCAACGGAAAATCGGGCTCCAATCGACCTCGGCAAGTGGGAGAATGCTTCAATCAGCAGAAGCAATGGTAGAGTTTGCCTCAAGGCTAAGGGCCTCTGAAGGCCTGATGCCTGTGCAAGCGAATCTGGACTCAATTGTGAGTTTCTCCCTAATGCTAAAGCCATCACATCGACATATCGTGGGTTGGCGATGTGTTTTTTAGTGGTACTACTACACTGCTTGCGAAGTTTTCATTCAAGACATGAGGCATCGTGGCGCTTCTGCCTCAGCACAGGATCATGCCGTCGAGGAAGCAGAACAAAGTCTCACTTTGCTTTTCGATATCCTTCTCGACCTCACTAACATGTATCCATCCTGGCGTACGTGATTCTATTATCTGCAGATGCTGTTCTTTTCCTGAGGGATGTGTTCTCCCAGAACGTTCCATTCAGAAATTACCTCAACTGCTGTTAGGAGACATAGGGTTTGAAACTATAGACTAGTGTCGGATCCTGTCACCTCGCCTATTCCGGCGCCAGCCCCGACCATAAACAATCCGGCCTCTGGAATACATCTCCTCCAGGGCACATAATAGCTAGGACCCACGGTAGTCGGTTGGTTGGAAAGAGGCGTCTGTAGGGAATTGTTTGGGGAGGTATAGTTGCCGAGGTGTGTGATGGATTCGACTTTCACATCAATCTCAGGGGTCGATTCGATTGTGTATTATACGCCACTTGATAATTTGGCCTTTTGACTAGCGTGAATAATTGGCGCCATCATCTTTACGTCTCGGGGAACAAACACAAGGGGGAGGGTAGACGCTGAAGATGTTGATTCAAATGTTGAAGGAGATCGATTGATTAGTGTCAGTGCTTCAGTTGAATTGTCGATTCCAGCTCGAGGGAGGGTGAGGGAAAATAAGAAACCACGACTAAGATTCCTATGCAATACCATATGGTACTGGTTGCTTGGCTTCACAGATCAGACAGGACACAGCGCTGTGGATAGCCGAAGCGTCACCTTCTGATGCTCCACACGCTTGTACGGGCATTGATGGCGAAGGAAGTCTTCCGGCCCCATTCATTCACTACAAAGGCTGCTTGGACCGTGGGACGAGACGCCAGGAACAATATTTCAGTCTAAATAATGAAATCCTAACATTCTCACACTGATTCGGCGCTGAGGGGCTTCCATTCCCGACGGGGCTACCAGTCCAGATTGTTCACGGATCACATGTGTGATAGCCTGTGCACAAGGGCCTCCACACACACACATATCGGTGTGCATGCTGAAACATCCTCATGGAAAACGAGTTGGGTCATGCTCGTGCTAGATTACTTCCTTCGCCATCAGAGCGCTTCCAGTCCTTGTACAAACTAGAAGCACACTTCGGCCATCCACGGCCAGGGGACCCCGAAAGCATCATACCATGTGTTATCTACGAAGCGACGCGGTGTAACCGCTCAGTTAACAATGTCCTTGAGACCGGCAGAATCTGGACCAGGACGTAGGCAGGGGCGAACAGCATGGTGATAGCATTATTGTTTTATAATAGACAACATTAATCGTCTGTGCCTCCTTGCTCCCTGACTTCTCATTGGTTGGTGGGAACTAGAAAGGCTGCCGCGCCAACCCAGGCCTTGCTCGAGGTCCTGCCCCTGTTCTCAGTAGTAGGATCTTGTCGGAACGTTACCCTACAGCACAAGGAAAACATGCTCATCTATTCGGTGCATACCCGGTCTCTGTACCCTTAGATTCAATGAGACAAAGTCAACAAAGCGACAAACACTTTATTTAGGGGTTCCCTGGATAAGTATGAAGGAACGAAATTTAGCCCCAAGCGACACCAGCCGTGTCGCATCGTCAAGTAGTCATTGCAGGCCCCCATAAACATTTTTAGCCCATTCCTGTGTGGTCTGACAAAGATTGGCCCCCCAACTTGGTTGGTGAGAAGCTATTCAGTGCGAAATGGATTCCAAAGTGATGGTGAAGTCAAACTCTGAAGTTGCAAGCGGGGCTCGGGGGGAAACAGCCGGAGCAATCTGAGGAGGCAGTGACATAGGGTTGAGGGTAGCCTTGAGGGCCCACCAGCATGGATTCTTGAATTGGAATAAGATACAGGAGTAATAAGCACGCGGTTTACGGTGGGAATCATGCCAAATTTCCTGAGTAATTACACGAGCTTGGATTTCCAGGCGGAATTAGCAAAGTAAAAATAGCTCCCGGTCAGGGGGGAATACGAATCCATTGATGAAACCAACGATCGAACATGTCGTTTCAGCCCTTTCAGAGTATGTTACGAAGTCATAGAGGCTGGAGCCCTGCCTACTTCCAGAATTTGGTGCACAAGCTCACGCAGTCCTCGCGGACTCCTGATGAAGGCCTATTCACACAGCCGGTAAGTCGGAGAGTGGACTCGCGGTTAGAGTAAGATGACTTGAATGCAGAGTTGTTCAATTGCCATTGGATGTATGCCCGTTCAAGCGTGACTCCATGGAAACGTGACCCAGCTACACACGCGAACCCCCTCAACCAGAAGGTGGATTCCGGTGTGTCAATATGAGATGGCCGTACTGCCATGTGATGTGACGAGGCATCACCACTCAGCTTGGCATCAGATGAGAAGGCGTGCGGTTTCCCTCAAGAGAGTTTGAGCAGGGTTTGATCCGGACCATAATGGTACTCATGGATATATTCGAAAGGAGAACTTCAGCGAGCGGTCAGAGTGTGTGCTGCGCTTTCGGGTTTCAAGCGACGACCTACGATAGGATCTGTCATGTAGGTTTGGGTTCCTGTGCACATTCAGTGGCGTGCTTGGATATTTTTAATTGTCACTACTCTCATTTCCTTTTTCCCTCACAAATTTGGAATTCCGAGCTTCTTGAAGTCGTTCGTTCGCTGACGGACTATGACTAGAAATGGACCTTGCTCGCACACGTGCTACGAAGGGTCTCCCTGAACTCTGTCGGGGGCAAATGCCTGGCCTCGCTTACCGGAAGTGCGCTGAGTGCAGTCATCCGTACACACTAATTCCGGCATTTCTCCGTGGCGTATGGAAAGCACATCTTGATGTTAATGGTTTGCCTCATTTACTCACGAGAGAACATCTTCGAGACCTGCATCAACTCCAAGCAAACTGATCGCGTTTCATGCACACGTGGGTACTACGCTCTGATCGGATCGCGCTTGCTCAATTTGCGCGAACACCCCTTCTGAGCTGATTGTTCTACTCAAAACGTGGTGGTACATGTCCTAATTACGTAATGATGTACGTTCCACTGCCGACTCCTATTTGGTATGGTCCGTCGGACCCAAGCCGGGGAGTGATCACTGACGCTGACGACTAAAATCCCTGACCCACGGGAAAGTCCAGCTTCTGTGCCCATTCCTTTGTTTGTCCAGAGATCAACCAAATTGACAGGATCTAGCCCTTCTGGACTCAAGGTTCAAATTTATGTTTTCATATCATCTAGATTATGTAGTCGGGATAATTTGGAAAGTGCAGTCAGAAGGGTCACCACTCTTGCGACAATGATTATATACACCGGGACCAACATCGCAATTCACTGTCCCAATCTTCCCGTTTTCAGTTGGCCGACCTCGGGCTTTTTGGATCCCCAAAAAGGGACGGCAATCCCTGGGACATGCACGGGCCAGATCGAACCTACGTGTCACGGACAGCAGTGTTGACAGAGACGCGTATTGAGGATATCAATTCTCATGTAGTACGGATATATCGGATAACAACTACACGTGGGCGTGGGTAGTCCACTTCCATGCCCTCCATGTACGAGCTACGCCCTACTCTGGTTGGGGACCAACTTCTCTAGAACGCTAAGGCAGAGCTTTCACTTTCCCTCGCGATATTTACTGTAAAGGCTGCGCCAGAAAGAAACAATGGGGGGTCAGGGTGCCATTCAATCCCCTGTACGGGAATGGACGAGGGAGGGGTGACAGCAGATGTATGATAGCCAATCATTCCTATCACGGACAGTCCTGGTATAGCCCAGGAATCCCCAGTTCATGATCACACTCTTCGAACACAGGGTCATCAGGAAATGGATTCGTTGGACACTTTGGTTGCAATTGGAAGCAGCAGGTTCATAAGGATCGACCAACCTAGTCAACTTAACTCCTGTTTCCACTCTAACGAAGGTGTCTTGGCCAACGTATTTCCGGGTTAAAACCATTTGAAGTGTGGTCGTATGTGATACGTCCATGAGAATTATGGGAGAAAGTGGGCCGCGCGGTGTTACCCAGCCGCTATGCGGTTCTGGAAGCTATTCGCTATCTACGAATGCGGCATACTGAAGGAGGGTTGATCGCAACGGACATGCGGTTATGCCCAAGGCTGCGGCTGAGTTCGGCTCTGAATAAAGGGCCGGGTCGGATCCTAGAGTCGTTCACTATGCATATTTCCGAAGTATCTTGTCCCCTTTCTCCCTGAAGCCCTCATTATTCGATATGGGAAGCGAATAATGAGTCTCTGCAAGCAAGCAAGATGATCTGAGCAGTTGTTACTGCCTTGCAGCTCCCATGCATGCTCCCACACGCTTCTGTTTGCTCTTAGCTTCGTTCTCAGTGTAAGTACTTTATGGAAATTCCTTCTTCCAGACGTGACGTACATCCCCAGCCCCGTGGATTGCGATCGCTAACTCACCAATGAAGGATTGGACACCAGCACAAATGAGTTATTCGATATAGTTGTGCATGGCGGTCAGGGCACTACCCATGTCGCGCATTGAAGCAACAAGT